CAAGTTTTAATTTAAGCAGTTGCCGGTAGTAAGCAGTGCACAGTAACATGTACCACTGAAGCCAGTTGTAGTAAAGAAAAATGGCGTTTACAGGCGGAGGGAATTATGAATAACCCTGCATTAAGGACAATGATTACGTAACAGCTTGTGCAAAACTGTATTATATTTACAATTATTATTCCGGTACAATATTGGATAAAAAATGTTTGACGATGAGTCAACATAATAAATACTTTTGGTAAGTTTGCGACGGTTTTTTCCACCTATTCTATTAGAATAAGTACTTTCTTTGAACATTATTATAAATACATTTTTGTCTTAATCAGGGGTTTGCGAACTTTCAAAATTTTTAATGCAACTTCTCAAAATGAAGTAAGTTAATTTTAACTAAGAATAATTTGCTCCAGTAGCAGTTTTCTTGAATGCCGGTGAGTTAGCCACCGGGGGATTTGCGAACCCCTGGTCTTAGCACAGTTGTATTTTAAAAGTTCTTTTTACGCATTTCCAGAGAACATCGAACCAAAGTAGTACTATCAAGGAATGATAATGGTACTTTGACATACAAGCAAATTCGTCATTGGTACTTCGAGGCTGATAAATCGAATGGTACGCTAGATGACGTCATTACTTCTCTGAATGTTCCTATGGTGGTAATTAGATTTTTTCTTTCTACATTAAAACTACTTCTATTTACTCTACTACTTCTATTTACTACTTCTATTTACTCTTCTACTTCTACTTACTACTTCTATCTACTTTTTGGATCTTTCCAATGTTAGTTTCCATGAAAGCCTCCCTACCACGCTTGATAAGAAAGACTGTGTGCCTGACTTCCCCAGACAATTGTCCCTGGAAATCATCTATAAAATCCCTCCAAACGACATCAAAATGTACTCTGATGGCAGTAAAAGGGATAAACAGACAGGTTGTGGAGTGTTTATTGAAACACCTCGAGAGAACTACACTCTTCATCAACGAAACCCCGATTTTTGTTCCGTCTTTCGAAGCGAACTAATTGTAATCGACCGCGGACTAGAGAAAATCTTGAGTGAAGGGCACTTTGGAAATACTTGGATACTATCTGACAGCCGTAGTTTAATTCAACACCTCAAAAATTGGGCCCTCATTGGAGATAAAACCAGTTTTTCGATCTTACAAAAAGTAAAGCTCATTTCCCAACAGCATGAGGTCCACTTTCAATGGATCCCGTCCCACGTCGATATCCACGGCAACGAGTTGGCTGACACTCTTGCAAAGAAGGGACTAGACCATCCAGTTCCCTCCACCTCAGAGCTTACATACCTTGAACTTTTTGCAAGGCAAAAGGCCCAGAACAAACAAAAGTGGCTGCTTCCACCTATTCACTACTGGTATAAAGCAAAAAGACCAGGACTCTCTCTATCTCTCCCTGGTGACAGGCAAACCAACACCTGCCTATCCCGACTGGCCAGTGGACACCTGAAAAGTCTCACATTTTCTGCAAATCAAAAGATCTTTCCTCTTTGCCCTAAATGCCAACAAAACCAGGCATCACTTGAGCACATCTTCAACTGTTTAGGGCAGGACTGGAACGTCATTCATTCCACTTCCCTTTTAGTTTCGGACTTCCTAACTGTTAACGGATTCAGATGGGAATTAGCAACAACAACACTACTTCTATTTACTGCTTCTGGAAATTAAAAAATTGTTGTTAATAATGCCCTCTTTGTACACGTGTTATTTTCTCTACTAAAGTTAAATGCATTTGAAAATATTTTAAAACTATTATTTCCTAAGGTATAAAAAAACTAAAGGTATTGTGGTTGGTGCGGGATAGGAAGTAATATACGAAGCGGTCTACATACTTTGTTTTATAATCGTGTATTGACGGAGCATAAATGTAAGTGAATTGGAAGCTATAACGTATATCTTTATAACCTTATAAATATGAACAAGACCCTGAAGGCAAGAATTTCTAAGTCAAAGTACCAGAAAAACCCACTTTCATGAATGACATAGAGAGAAATTGTCAGCGTTAACACTATATATACAAGGTAAAAATGAAGAAAACCAACTCAGTTATACGATAAGTAGTATATTTTAGCCCATTATCTCTTTACATCTGTAGACATTTTAACGTTAGCTTAACACCTCAATAGCCTTGTAATTTTGAATCCAAACCAGAAGCCAAGGGAACTCCTGGATCAAGTTTTGGGAGAAATTTGCTTTCGTGGAGGACTCTTTGAGGGAATTAACCGGCATTTGCGTTGCATGGAGTGGAAAATCATGGAACCTCCCACAGTTAGTGTGACGACAAGGGAACTCTGACTCATAATCTGTCTACCATTGAGGATATTTTTTATATATTATAATCGTCGTTGAACAACATGCCCAATTTTATGGGCTTACGACTACTAATGTTACATCTCCGTAGCCTTGTAATTTTGAACCCAATCCAGAAGACAAGGAAACTCCTCGATCGAGCATTCGGAGAAATTTGCCTTCGTGGAGGACTTTTTTGATGGAGCTAACCCTCATTCGCGTTACATGGAGAGGAAGACCACGAGAACCACCCACGGTTAGCCTGTCCGTAAGGGGACTCTAATCCATGATCCGTCTACCACTGAGGATATTTCACGTCAGCACTGTGGTCGATGCAAGCCGGATGCAGAATTCGTATCAACTGGGATTCGAACCCGGTTCGCCTCATGGAAAGACGAACGCTCTATCACCTGAGCCATCGCCGCTCAGCGTAACACTAGAGTCGATGCAGGCCCGAATAAACCAGAAATCGCTAGGAATCGAACTTGGATTGATAATTTTTGTAGTGAGCGCTTAATACACGAAACCAAAATAGCCGAGATTGATAATTTGATGATTATTTTATATGCGCCGATGTTTTATAGATTAATGATTTTTCTAACATGATGAGGTTTAAGTAAATATTTTATTTGTATCGTTTCATAAAAAAAGGGTTCCAGTTCTGCTTAATACTTTTCGAAACAAAACTTAAAAAAACTATTTTTTTGCTTTCTCTAACTAGATCATGTTTTTTTTCAGATCCTATTTTTTTTTAAAATGCTTTCTCTCAAAGTTGGCAAGACTCAAGTTCCTTCTATATTTAAAGACTCTTCTAGTTATTTTTTATAATTTACGTTTAACAGTCGATTTATTTACCGGATGGGTAGCGTTTAATATTTAATCTAATGATTATTTTATTTCTAATAGGATGGAGGCTTTGTAAATATTTCATTTTAGCTTATAATATCAATTCATTTAATGGATGTATTGCTTTCAGTGTCTACACATCCGATATTGATGATTTTTTCTAACATGTTAAGGTCAATATAAGGATGCTTTTTTTAAAAAATTTGATATAGCCTACATATAAACTATAATTTTTCTTACTTAAATGAATTCACGATAGAATTTATTTCTTCAGACTCTTTTCAGGCAGCTGCAGCAAAGGCGAAGAAAATGAACCTAGTAAGTTTTTACTTGGGCTTAAATGCTTTATTCGCAATGCTACATCCTAGATGGTTTATTCAAAAACCAGTGAGAGAGCTGCTTTTTGATGGATACTCGGATATTCTTGTAACACTTGGCCATAAATTCATGCATATTCCTTATGACAAGTTTGGCTGGTTTTATCAAGTGAGTCAGATATTTTATATTTTCATTGTCATTTAATGGGTCGATTAATATTTACAATATTTAAATGTATTGAATAGCAGTTAAGTCGTTTTCGTCTATGGCGCAAATTACATGTTTAGAAAAATAAGACATACTAGGAGGCTCCGCCCCCTGCTCGCTAACGCTCGCCAACCCCCGAGAATTGCTACGCAATCCTATGTGGTTCACGCCGTGAACCATGGCTCGCTGCGCTCGCTCGCCAATGAACACAATGTTCTAGCACAAAGACATAATATATTATCATCAAAGACATAGTATTTTATCATCAAAGACATAGTATTGTACTTATGTAGAAGAATTCTACCAATGTTCTTATTGGCTTTTAAAAAAGTATATTAGCTATTTAGATTGTACATGGTGAAAAAATCAAAACATTAGCTAAATAAGAAACATATTAGCAAAATAAATTATCAAATATTGCTTCACTAATATTCTGCATTTTAAAGCGTGAAAATTCAATGCATAAATAAACGCGAAATATAAAAAAATTCAATGCATTCAATACAAACACTTAAACGTTTTTTAGACGTTTAGGTAGCTCCCAGTAGAAAAATATCAATTCAACAGCGGCCTTTTAAAGCATTCTCACTTCAATTAACTAATTAATTCCTAATTGAGTTTAAATTAAATATTATCATGTTTTTAGGGCATGAATCTGAATTGAACAACCTGATAATGCTCACTCTGGTTATTGTTTCCTTTTTTAAAAGCGCTATATGTTGAGCCACCTCATTAGATTTGCCATGTGACATTTTTAGCAGCAATCATTGGTCTATTTTCTAACGTTGCCATTCGGGGAGTTGTAACGAGGCATTTTTTTGGTGCCGTGTAAGAGAAATATATATATAGATTTGTTTTTTTATTTATTTGTTTAAAAAATTTAAAAAATTTGTCTTTAGAACAACATGCAGACTTGAAATGTACTTTTAAAAAAAATCGACATAGCTCAAAATGAGTGAATAAAGGCTATAAAAAATGATTCTAGCATTGTTTCTTAAACTACTCCAAACTATTGTATTTTAAAAGAAATATTGTAGTTAGAACAATAAAGAAATTAAATGAATTTTCAATTTTTTTGGTGCTTGCCTTTGTCATGTTAGAGTTACAAACTTGAGGTCTTTATTTACCATTGAAAAAGTATATGTAGTGTTGTCCAGTTTCAATAACAAAATTTTGAGTGATGTTCATATCTTCAAACACTTATTTCAATTTATGCCTGTCTTTTGAAACACATATTTTTAAATATATCCATTTTTATCAAATGCCCATTCCAGTAGATTTCACATTTTGCATAATTTGAGCTATCTGTAAAATTGAAAGATCAGCATGATGGCATTAAAAATACGCGCTTAATTATAATTTTTGAACGAATGACATGTTGATATAAATGAGGAATTGCTCTTAACCTATAAAATTACTGCTCATAAATCGATTCTGTTGTGCTTTAAATCAATAATTACGTATTTAGCCTGCGTGCTCGATATGTTGTAAGGAAATTTCATTAAATAGTAGTCCTATTAAAATAACAATTAGTATACTTTTGAAAGTTAAACTTAATTTATATTTTCTTTAAGTTAAAATTAAAGAAATTCAAGATTTCTGCTAACATCTGAAAAGTTACAGAGTTTAGTTTGATGTACGACTATTTCACATCCTAATGACATTGTATAATCTAATAATAATTACTTTAAATTCTAATTTTTTTTACAGCGAAATGGATCAGATGATGGAATAATAAACATCCATACTGGGGAAAATGATATAAATAATATAGACGAAATATTCACGTGGAAAGACCAAAAGTAAGCATTAAATCTTGTATTTTTAAGAGATCTATAACATGACACAATTTGCTAATTTTTTACACAAATCATGACAAATTATTTTGAAAGAAAACTGCATATTGTGACTGGAAAAGGGTTTTCGTCAAAAAATAATATATTTGATTCTGTGACGCTAAAAGTTATTAAACATTAATCATTTCTACATGTATTAAAATCGTTATTTACACGTGAAATGAGTTAGCATAAAATTTATTTGTCCAATTAAAATAAAAAATGGTGTGCATTATTTTCTTATTCCCATGATATTTTTTTTCCAACTCACACTTTGAAAACAACCTTCTCAGATGAACATTGCATTGAATTCTGATTTGTTTTATTTTTTAATATGGAAGGTATAAATATTTAGTTATCGCTATGTTTTTATTAATAATAACCATATTAAAACTCGTCATGACGTATGGGCCTGTAGCCTGGTATTCTCAACAATAATACACTGCTCAAAACAGTTAAAGGATATTGAGGTTGTGGGTAAATCTTGCACATGGAGAATTGTTTGAATGATTGATATATTATATATGATATATACTGATTGATATATTATATTTAATTGATTGATATATTTAAATATTATCGTCAGACGTAGAAGGATATATGAGATAAAGAGGACATTTGCTTGTCAGAAAAAATGCGTTTTATTTAGCATTTGGGTACAAAAGGAAGAAACACAATTTGTGCATATTAGATAAACAAATAAAAAAAGAGGTTTCCTTAAAAGAAAATCGTTTTTACTAGGGGGTATGGTTTCCCTGAACTGCCAGCAACGTTGAACACCTTTGAGGCATAGAATCAATGAGGTTATTAATGAGCGGCTGGGGTATTCTATCCCACTTCTCCAAAAGAGCTCTTTCCAGTTTGTGGGGATGGTAGATGTTCAGCAATTCGTCTGCCGAGAATGTCCCAATAAGTTCGATTGGGTTCATGTCCGGAGAACACGCTGGCTTATCCATTCGTATGATTCCTTCCTCCAAAAGGAAATCATTCTCCAAGTTAGCACGATGTGATCTGCATTTGTCGTCCATTAACATGGAGTCATCTCCAATTGCTGAAGCGTAAGGGGCTGTAATAGGTCTCAGGATCTCATCCCTACATCGGCGACTGGTCAGAGCTCCATTTTGAATGATATGAAGATTGCTGCTCCCATCAATGGAGATGCCAGCATAGACCAGCACTCCCCCACCACCAAATCTTACACTTTCGTGCTCGAACGCAGGATTGTTTCTAGTGCCACGTACCCTCCAGAGGATAATACGCCCATTATCAGGATGAACAGAACAACGGGACACGTCTGTGAGAAGAATATACGCCATTCATTTCTCCTCCAGTTCACATGCTCTACTGCCACATACGCGACGGTACCTTGCTGTTAACGTGACACACACCATTGGTTGGCGAGCATACAAAACAACAGCATGAAGGCAGTTTCCGACAGTTTGTGTTGAAACTGTAGTGCCAGTAGTCGAGCAAATGTTTTGTAGAAGAAGAGTGGCATTGTCGTTAGCGTTAAATAACGGTCTTCATCAGGCGTTGTTGCACGTCTACGCTCTTGCCTTGATCTTCGGCCTGCTTTTCCAGTCTCCAAAAAAAAGTTCCAGATACTGGAAATCATACTTTGTAAAACTCCAATGGCTACTGCTACATCGGCTTGTGCTTGACCCTCTCTAATCGGCCAACAACGTCCCAAGTTTCTGATTCGGTTTGATAACTTCGTCGAGACATCGCACTCATCGAAACAAGGCGTTTACTGAATGTCAATCATTTTTTCTCATTTTGCTTTGCATTAATTGAAAGTTAAATCAAATTCGCTGCCGCTAAAGCGTCGTCTTCGGCGTCAAACTCATAATTTGCATACTGCGAAGTTTAAAAATAAGAAAAAATTGCAGTTGTGATTCCTTTCTTCCATTTTATTCAAAACAAATTTGCTTATACCGTTATTTTATATAAGACACCGAGTTAACTTTTCATCTGTTCAAATATCTGCTTTTTACATATCTTGCATTTTTACNAATTGTTAATAACTAATATAATAATATTTAAAATCAGGTATTTATTTTTTTTCTAGTAGAGGATAGTCTACTTTACTCGTCTGTCAATTAATACTAATAATATATTGGATTTTTTGTTAGTAAAAATAGTTAAGTAAAAAATGTTACAATTGACCCCACTCTCCCCTACCGTTATTTTATACAAGACTTACAGCATTCTTAAATTGTTTTGAGCTGTGTATTTCTGAAGGTAAAGGTTCATTTCCTAGTATTCCCTACACTGATGATTCTATTAATAGTATATTATTAATAATAATCGAACATATCAGATAAAATACAATTTGTGTTTTTTTGAGAAAAAAAGGAAAGCTTATAGATGGAGAAAATGTTCCTTTTCTTTGGTCGTCAACTCAGTAATATTTTTTTAAAAAGAGAGAAAATTGTCTCTCTCTTACTTACATGCTTCTCATATTTCATACTTAGCCTAAAACTGTCAGTTATTGCTTACAACTACAGTATTTTATACATTGTCGGTTGCATATGAATTTATAATTTTTTTAAAATTTTTTTTCTTCAAAACTCCCCTAAATTAAAAAAAAATATTGACATGCATAATCTTCAATACTTTTTCACATTTGTTGTTCCGTTTTTATTTTTGTTTTCCATTTTTTCTTTCAGTGAGACAGCGTCATATGCATCTCCATGCAACAAGATTACAGGGTCTGGTAAGTAGTAAATGAATAAATCACATAATTTAAATTCTTTATATTACTAACAAAAGAAGCTATAAACTCTAATTAATTTTATTTAAACTAATAATCTACGTGTCTAGAAATTTAATCTTGTTCTCTCTATAATACGCCAACATATTGTATGATATGTAATTTTTCACTCAGCAAAATCACTCATACAATTTTAATAATTGTGTAAAGAATTGTATAATGAATTTTTTTAAAAGTAATAATATTTTTCTTAGAATTTTATCTAATTGTTATGATACAATATTAGCATTTGCATGATAAATAAACAAATAATGCTACAAATTAAATTATACAATAGTTAAAAATTAGTTTACAATAGTTGAATTAGCTTAAAGGTTTTTCTGTATAAATAAAGAGGCAAGTGTATGAATAAATTATATAACATGAAAACGATTTTGAGATAATCGACTTTTAACTCTTTTTTATATCTTTTCATATCTCTTTCATTACACTAATGAAGCATATATGCTGCACGCGTTATTAAATGGATTAACACACGTACTTTATATACCACAATAAAGTTATTTTTTGGCTATAATGTTGTGTAACAATTTATATTATGCATTGTATAATAGTATATCATTAAGAGCATTTTAGTTATAACTTTATAACGTTATAAATAATGCATTTTATTTTTAGAGGACATTATTTAAAGATGGAATAAAATTTTGTACCGTATGTTTTAAAAAAAATTATGAACTTTAATTCTACCCTTGAAATTCATTCACAACCTTAAGTATTAACCGCCTTTTCTTTTTAATGAGTTGATAAAAAAATTGGCTAAATTTTAGTATAAAAATTGTTAAATGTTATGAATATATTTTGCGTAGTTTCTTACTTAAATAGGAGAAACTAATATATTTAGTTATTATTATGATTCTTTTTATTAAACGCTTTTTTACAAAAGTGTAGTAGTTAGCTCCTTAATTTCGTATTATGCCCTTACCTCTAAATCTTTAAGCTTGTTTCAACCATAGAATTGTTGTAGAAGAACATAGAATACGTAATAGAAAAATTCTAGTTGAAAGTTTCGTTTCTTAACTAAAATATTGAGGTTGGGTTTTCTTTTTAATCATTCACATAATAAGATAGTTAAATTGTTATTTTGTATTGCATTAATTTTTAACCTTGTATCTGTTTTTGTTTTTATAAAATTATATATTCTGTCGTATTAATAAGTTCCTTGAAAACAATTGTGATACTTACATTTCAGCTGGAGATATGTGGCCCCCTTTTATATCTAGAGAATCAAAGATTACCATGTTTGTTCCAGATATATGCAGGTATTATATAGATACTTTACTGCTTTTATTATATGTTTTATTTGTTCTTCGTTTGCTTCTCTTTTGAATATTGTTAGAGTGACAAATAGAGATATATTTTTTCTTCTTTGATTTTCAGAAAATCATGTAAAAAATCTGATGTGATTTTAAAGTAGCAATTAAGGCCATTTTATAACAGGGAATTCAACAATGAACGAGTTGATTCCTAGTATTGTCATACTTTGTGTTACGTAACTAGATGTTATTTGGTGTTACGTAAAAACGACTCTTTTCATATGCTTTTAAATTCTGTACATTAGCAGTTAAAGCTTTTTTAGTCCAGAGAATTCAGCAATAAACGAGTTTATTCCTTTTATTGCTGAATTGTTAATTGCATATTTTACATTATTGGTGTTACGTAAAGACCACTCTTAACACATACTTTTAAATTCTCTTTATTAAAATAGCAGTTAAATCTATTTGAAATATAGAGAACTCAGCAATAAACGAGTTCATTCCTTGTATTGTTATTTGTATGTTTGGTGCTAGGTGATAACCGCTCTTAATATATACTTTTAAATTCATTATTCAAAATGAAAAAAAAGGTATGTACATTAAGACACACATAATTAATATTGGAACGAGAAAAAAAAATTGAAATCTGAAGAATCAATTGTGAGGAAGACGGGACTAAAATCATTTACCTCCTAACTTGAAATCCCGAGATAGCTCAGGCATATAGCTTATATCAGGCATATAGCTCGAGGGGATATCTTTTTATCCTTTTACAAAATAATTGTTCAGTTAAGGGGTTAAAACCATTCTGATTGCCGGTGGAACTCGGAAACATTTGCAACATCTCTCTGTTTCTTCCGGCAATCTATCAAAGTCTTATGTTTCTCTTTATTTTTGACAAGGATTCTTAAAACATACATTAAGGGTGGTCAATTAGGAACATTTTTCTGTACATTGAGATTAAACCAAGGCTACGTTATCTTCAACTTAACTTGTCCGACTGTAATTTCGCTACTTTTTAAAAACTAGAAAGGGATGAGCGAATTTTAATGTGTAAACTATACTAATCGAATAATTATCTGCGAATTTAATCTTCGTAACGCTTGTATAGAAGAAAAAAAATGGAGATACGTTGACTAATACAGAAAAGTTACAAAATCTTTGAATTTTCGAAAATATAGAAAATTTCGGTAATTGTAGATAAAGAAACCTAAATCTTGAAAACCTAATCGTGATTGAAAAATTCTTAGAATGCGAAAAATACATGTTTTGAACATAATATCTGTGCTTCTTATAAAGTATACTTATAATCTTTGAATTAACAAAATAATTCAAAGATTATAAGTACACAAGTTACAAAATCTTTGAATTTTCGAAAATATGGGAAATTTCGTTAATTGTAGACAAAGAAACCTTTGATCTTTGAATTAACAAATCTTTGAATGATTGTGTACCTATAATCTTTGAATTAGTAAAGTTAACAAAGTAATTCAAAGATTATAAGTACACAAGTTATAAAATCTTTGAATTTTCGAAAATATTGAAAATTTCGTTAATTGTAGACAAAGAAACCTAAATCTTGAAAACCGAATCGTAATTGAAAAATTCTTAGAATGCGAAAAATACATGTTTTGAACATAATATCTGTGCTTCTTATAAAGTATACTTATAAAGTATACTTATAAAGTATTACTTATAAAGTATTGTGGTGTATTATGATACAATGAAATGGTTTTAAAGTGTTATAAGTATTGTAGTATATTTGTGACTACCAATATCTTGAATTGCAAATTCCTTTTTTAAATTCTATATTCAATTCTTATTTCTATACAGTTGTATAACATGTTTCTTTCACTTTTTTTTAGATCCATATCCTTCACATACTTAGAAGACGTAGACATAAGGGATATAACAGCGTACAAGTTCTATACAGATAGAACACAATTAGACAATGGAAAATATGATAAGAATAACAAGTGTTTTTGCTATGAAGATCAGTGTCTTCCAGCTGGTGCTGTTAACGTCAGCGTCTGCAAGTTTGGTAAATAATTCCGAATAATTTTCTTTAATATCGAATTTCAATTATGCTTTTGACATGCATTAAGATCATTTACAGATTTTCTTTAGATGACGTGGCTCAGGAGCATATGTTCACAAGGTTATAAATTAAATATTTCATACCTATTAAGATTTGGATTATGTAAAAAAACATCTTAATTTAAAAAATTAGTTGAAAAAGTGCTTTTTTTTCAAAGTAAACTTTTTCTCATTTTTTGTAATAATTTCTTTGTTTCTTTTAACAAAACTTCTGAATTCAATGTCTGTAAGCCCTTACAGAACACTTCGCTGTGGAAAACAATGAAATAATAGATAACTAAATAAATAAATAAATAAACAAAATAAATAAGAAACAATAGCGAGTGTATGAATTGAATTAAGGGTATATATTATTGATTTCCAGCTATAACAAATTAAATTGTTATTATTATAATTAAGTTAATGTTATAAAATTAATTATAATTCAATAAATTTTATATTCTGTTGTGGGTTATTTTTCACACAAGGGCGTCGAACAGGTGTAGAACAGGTGTCTCTCAATGAATCTCTCAATAACCTCTCAAAAGAATGAGGTTAGAACTAAAAAGAAATTATCATCCAAAATTTAAAAAAACTTTAACAAGATTATGCGAAATATATTAATTAAAAAATAGATATTTTGCCGAAACCAAAATGTTTTTAGATTTGCTGAAATCTCTCCAGGGTCTATTATTTTTCATAAATTTTCTGACTGGCATAATTTCGAGAATTTTCAAATTATAATGAAAAATTAAAAAGTAAGCATCCTCCTTACCTTTTTAAATTTAAATAGATTAAAATTTATCTGTAACAGTACTGAATGTATAGTTTTAAAAATGTTTCACCCTCAGAATTACTTAACTCATCAGACACATCATCGAATACGGCTTCCTAATTTGTTGTTGTGTTTCCCATTCGAACTTGGAAAAACAGGAAAAGGTACAGCTAAACGCTGCCCGCATCATCACTGGATTGAGACCTAGTTGCCCTTCCGATATAGTCTTTTATGAGGCTGATCTACAACCTTTGCACATTGGAAGACAAGCCAAGATCAAATATTACAATAAAAAAAATCTCCAGCTTTGGAAAATACATCCGAACTTCTAAATTCCTAAACTATTAAAAGCTCAATCAAAGACTAAAGAAAAATAGCCAATTTAGTCAAGTTCCGTCACAACATTTAATTGCGGACAATGTAGAACCGTATTCTCTTCATAGTTTTCTGAATCCTATGGAAGACCTTTCCAGAGTTCACTTTCACTACAATTTTTGTACGCCTGTTAATAAGATGGATTTTGTTCCTGACCATCACAAATGGCCTTAGTGGTTATAAATATGATTCATCAGTGTGAATTTAAGATTTACACTGACGGCAGCAAAATCAACGATGGAGCAGGCAGTAGAATCTACATTGAAACTCCACAAAGCAGATTAACGTAACTTAATCAACGTAATCCGGACTTCAGTTCTGTGTTTCGAAGTGAACTGCTGGTGATCGACGCAGGACTTCAATCGGTCCTGAATGAGAATAACTCTAACAACCTTTGGATACTTACTGACAACCGCAGCTCGATTCAACACCTGAGCAACTGCACCCACATAGGAGATGAAACAAGCTTTCTGTTTGTCATAAAGAAATTAAATCTAATCTCCAGTTCATTTCCATTTGGTCCCTTCACACATTAACATCCATGGGAATGAAATAGCTGACAGTCTTGCTAAAAAAGGTTTAAGTCATTCCTCCCCCTCTTCTACATAGTTGACTCACTTAGAAATTCTCTCCCGAATAAAAGCACAAAATTAGAAAGCCTGGTTGTCACCTCCACAACATTACTGGCATAAGGGTAGGAAACCGGATCTATCTAACACCTCCTAGAAGAAAGAAGGCCTCAGCACGGATCAATCCAGTAGTCCGACGTCACGAACATTAGTTGCGCAGTGGATGAAAAATAAGAAAGATGGCACTACTTTCGGAAGATGGCACGCTCGGGCTACTAAGCTGGGCAGTGGTGGTTAATACGAAAAATATCATTAGGTTTGAACTACTAAGGATCAAATTTCTTGTTTATGGTATCCCGTCCTGAGGTCTTCTCTTTTCTAAGAGGTATTGGTTTACCTGTAACACTTCCTTGCGACCGGAGGTCTAACACCAACCTCTCACTTCTTGCCATCGGCTACATTAAGTGCCTACTATATTCTGAGGGCAGAAAGACCTACCCCACCTTGCCCTAAATGCCACAATACAGAGCTTCACCTTAACACATCTTGGATTGCTCCGAACTTTTATGGAGAGGCATCTGTACTTCCCCCATACTGGTTATTGATTTCATGCGTGTCAATGGATTAATCGACATGGTCTGACTCCGACAGACCAGACTGGAGATTAGAAAACAGCAACCACAGAAATGTTATGTAAAATAATTTATGTATTCAAACAATATTCGTCCCGCAGTGGACTGATCGTTAAGACCCGGTTCTCAGCAGATCACCGAAGTCAAGCATCACTGGCTGCGGTCAGTGTGCGGGTGGGTGACCACTTGGATCAGTCTGCGTAGGGACCGAGGGTGTGCGGTATGGGTCCTCGTTAAACTGTTCTACCGTAAAGTGCTCGACTTCGCTTGCATGTCGTCGGGCTATCGAAGAGGGGATGCCATCCCCTCTGCAGAGGATCAAAATTGTGATGGCATGTCTTCGGATCATCCTTAGGGATGTTTCCCAGACTGTCGCCAATACCGGTCAGCTCTAGTGCGACGTAAGTTAACTACAACAACAACAACNCGATATATATGTATCCTCAAAAATCTTAATTTTTCTCCAACTTTATTGACTTGACATAGTTTTTTATTTTTAGTTATGTAACATAGAATAATTTTCAGAAAAATAATTTTGGGGAATTTAATTAAATGTTTTTTAAAAGATTTTATTCAAGAGAAGCTGCCTCTCATTTGATGGTTGTAAGAAATAGAACTTTATTTATATAATATGTTCTGATACTTGTTTTTGTGTATAATTAAGGAAATTAAAAGCGAACAATGTTTTCCAAATTTCGTTGAATTAATATTGTATAATTATTTTAAATATTTTGATAAAATAAAATATAGACGTTTAGTGCTGCTCTCTGCTTTTTATTTTTAAAACTAGAAATTTACTGTGAAATTGGGATGTAATAATTATAAATAATAATAGTAGAAATGTTAAAAAAGAAATTTTAAACTTTCGAAAAACAATATTCTTTTTAATATTTTAAAAATAGATGTAAGGTAAAACATAAAGTGTTTAGCGCTGTTATTTTTTGAATTAATAGAAAATGTTACAGTTCTTATGCAGTGTAAATTTTGGAATTTTGTGCATATTATGCATGGTATGTTTGTACGGCTAATATATTATTTATTAATTGATTTTTTTAAAAAATTTTATTTTCTAAGCAGCATTTTTAAAAAAAAATTGTTCTCAGTTTGTTTAACATCGATCATTAATTGCTACTACGCTCTATAAAATTGTTCACGTTATAGTTTAGTGTCTAAGCTGTTATATAAATTTTTTTCCAAAAAAAATTATTGCCTGTAAAATATTTCTGTGTACTGGATATTGTATAAAAATACTTTCGAATTTTAGAACATAAATTTTTTTTCCCTCGAAATTTTGTGATGTGATTAAATAATGTTTTTGTGCTGCCATCTATTGTATATTTAGAATACTATTAAAATGAAGCTTTTTTAATCATTGTTTTTCGTTAAATAAAATTATTATTATAATTTTGTCTTTTAGCAAACCAATTATATTATTTTTCAATATAATTATCTGATCAATTTCATTTTTTAAAATTATCATTAGAGAAAAAATGGATTTGGAGTTATTGATGGAAATAAATAAAATAGAATAATTAAAATTCTCGAATATATGAAATAGTATACTGGAATATATGAATAGTATTTACTTATTTGAATCAAAGGAAATAAAACTATCTTTTATTTTTAATTAAATATAATTATTTTCGAAATTTTGAGACTCGTAACTGTTTGAACCTTCATCTACTCAATGTTTGGAATGTCATTAAACTTTTGAAAATGACGCGTTTTTCACATTTATTATTTTATCACAAGCATTATTAATAATAAACTGTCATTATTTTAACTGCCAAATATTTAATTAATTAGTAATTTATCGATTATTATTCTTGCCAGTTTATTATGTTGTGACACTTATTTGGCCAATGCAATTTATTTTTTAAATTAATCTTAGTAAAAGGAAAATTGATTGACACGTCCTTTTGTTTTAGATGCACCGGCTGTTGTGTCATTCCCGCATTTCTTGTTTGGGGAATCTATCTACACCGATGGTGTAGAAGGGCTGGACCCAGATCCCGAAAAACATCTTATGTACTTAGATCTTGTACCAGTAAGTTATTTACTTAACTGTGTAATACGTATTTTTTAGTCCCTAAAGTTCATGTCGATTTTCGTTAAGCAGCATACAGAAAAGGTTTGAATATATAAAAATTATTGATAGCAAATATTATGATTACATATTTTTTTAAAAAAAAAGTGAATTCACAGAAGCTTCTAATTAGAAGAATTAAAAACAGTTAGCGGAAACGAATCAAAAGGGGTCATCATTCATTAGAAAAGTGCACAGCCTTAAGGGCCATGACAATTCTGTTAAAGCCTAGTTGGGATGTTTTATGCCATTCACTATATTCACCAACTCTACTCTCAGATTTCCAGCTATATCGATCACGTCGCGATTCCCTTACTGCAGTGTTTCCCAAACTTATGACTATCGTGTACCCTTTCTAAATTTTTCGTAACGATGTGTACCCTATCAACAATCAAATGCACTTTCTGAATAATCGACTCAACGTTAGTCAATAACAGTGTTTCCTAAACTTATGACTTTTGCTTACCCTTTTTAAATTTTTCGTAACGCTGTGCACCCTAATAAAATAAATAAATGTATTTTTTTCTATAAAAAAATTGCTAAATTCAAAATTACAACTAGTTGTTGACAATACTAATTATTCACTGTTAACTCTGCAAAAAATAGCCAATAGAGAAATACATAATCGTAAATTTTCATGGCGAGCTTAGTTTTTAAATAACATTTTTAGAAATTTTCTTTTGTTGCAAGAAATTTCGCATAAGAACGCGTACCCCCACTAAACTGTTCCTGTACCCCTGGGAGTACGCGTACCACACTTTGGGAAACACTGCCTTACTGGAAACTAGTAAAGAAGAAAGTCAGTTACAAAATGCATAAATAATCGTATATGATATATAGTGCATATAGTGCAATATGAAAATCAAACAAACATATATTAGGTAAAAATGGTGCCGAAGAATTTTTTTAACAGTTTTTTTTTATTTATACTTTAAGGCATGATAACTTCTTTAATTTTCTTCAAATTTTCTTAAAAATTGTATGATACGAATAGGACTAGTTTGCCTTTCATGTTGGAATCGGTTAAAGAGTAAGATTAACTAAATGACAATCGCGGAGTTAAAGGCACGAAATTCGCCAAGAGCATTATTTTATCATTTTTAATTTAATCAAAAAATTATAATAAAGAAAAAGCGTTAAAAGCATTGCTTTACAAAAGCGCCTTTTAAAAATGTGTGATATGTTATTCCATTTAATATACGGGCCAATGAAAAAAACACCGCATTTTTCTCATTTATATATGAACTTGAACTTAGATGCTTACTGCTTTATTATTTAACAAAAATTTTTTTTTGAAAAAAACTTTAAATGGCTTTCTCTTAAAAAAAATAATTTTAGAAAAAAAAATTGCATTTTCCTGGGAATAAGCTTGTATTTTTTACATATTTAATGGGTACCTGTAAGTAACGTCATCATAAGTAAATCATGGCATTTGTTGATTCAGAAAGCAATCAGGTTTGACACACGCCTGACGTAGCTTACAAGTATCGAATTAAATCTGATTTAAATCACATGGTTAGGCACAATCATTTCACTTTTTCTCGAAATGCAAGCACCCAAATAATATTCATGTAATTTTTTTTCAGGAATTAGGTGTGCCATTAAACGTTGCTGCCAGAATGCAAATCAACATAATATTTGAACGTGTTCCTGAAATTTAGTTAGTAATTCTTTATTATATACTATTTTTAAAAATACATTATAATTTTCTGATTTTTTTAACAAGTATATTAGAATTTGATCTTTTTGTGCAAAGTAATAAACAACACTACAATTTGATATTTTGGTCATTTGTAATTCTACCATTAAAATGCTAATAAAATTTTTCAAACTATTTGTTGCAAAAAGTTTTCGCATAATAATAAGAAAGATTTTATTTGTCATAGATGTTTTTAAACAAAAAATAAAATTTTCATTTTGACATAGATTGTCCAATTCGAAAGAAAGTTATTTATTTCATTCGACATAGCAATTTTCATATTTTAGAAAATCTTTATTTGGCACATACATTTTCAAATACAAAGTTAGATCAATTTTAATATATTTTCTGAAAAAGGAAAAAATAGTAAATGCATGGATCATTTTCAAATTTGAGGCATTTTTGAAATTTAAATAATTTTAAAAATAAAATTAAAATTGTTTGTGATTAGGATTGATCATTATATTTTTCTTGTAGATGTTTTAAAAGTCAAATCAAGATTTTGAATTAAAGTTTAGACTTGTGGTTATCTTATTCTTATCTTACATCATTAGGTTTATTTAATGTTTTCCACAAAAATATACTATGTACATTTATAAATTTAGATGTATTATAAAAATCTGAATGATTTCGCTAAATGAAATTATAAATCTCTCTTGCAGTAAGTAATTAATTGAATAAGTTTTTAGAATATTTTGTTAAAATGAATATTTCTTATTTTTCCTTTTCAGCCAATTTCGGAACATCTCAAAGACAATATATTTCCCTATGTTTTGGTTTAGTACGGTGAGAATTTTTATAGCTTTTTTATGTGGTTAATTTTTACGATTTTAAGATTTTTTACATATTTAGATTTTACGATTTTAAGAATTTTTGAGGCTTTTTTGTTCGGTTAATTTTTAAAAATTTTAAGAATTTTTGAAGCTGTTTTGTATGGTTAATTATTACGATTTGTTAAAATTTTTTAAATATTCTAAAACATTTTTGTAAGAGCAACTTAAAATTTCACAAGACAAAACGATTTTATTTCTGATGGACTGAAAAATCAAGGGTAATCAATCATATTCAAACCTTTAAAGATGATTTAGTTTAGAAATGGGGATGAAGTTAAATGCTACCAGACATTGCCAATCCAAACACAGCCAGATTGTTGATAGTGCCTATACTGTTAAAAATTTCTAGGAAAAAATGGTTAAATAATAATTTATTTAATTCTGATTTTACTTTCTTTAAGCAGAACAGGCAAATAACTATAACTAAGATGGTATTAAAACTATTGACCAAGAGAAAAATCATTTATTGACTATTTTCACATAATACGGTTAAACAACTAGAATTTTTTCTGCACCAACTAAGTTCACAGTCAATGAAAAACGACCTCACGTTCTTAGAAAGCTGGAAGTTAATCCTTTTTCGATAAGGATTACGAATCAGTCCAGCATCGTTCATCATCATATCAGCATCATCATCATTCATTTATCAGCATCGGATTGTCTTTTAATCTTTCTAATAATCAGATGCCTAGTAATAAATTTGTGATGAACAGCTTATGAAGACATTTATTTCCTTGCATCTGAGAACACGCGTTAGCCGAGAGGTCTAATCGATGAATTTCTTGACCAGCTGAATGGGGGATTGAATCCCAGCGTTGACACTACACCATTTCCTCTCTGTCAACATATGAGAAGTTTCCAGTATCTTGCTTTTTACAATTGGTAATCCCGAACTATTGGAATACGAATTTCTCATTTACGCATATTTGACAGCACCACAGAGCTGTTTAACGCAAAAAAATCTCGTTTTTTCCATCTCTCATGATAGATGATAGTAGCCACATTCTACGATTCACTTAAAAAAACAGAGTTAAATCTCAACTCCAAAGTTCATTACCTTCCAAAAAGCCTAACATCTAACACCAATGCACTGTAAAATTTCATTTTCCGGTTTTGAAACCATGCTAGTAATAAATGGTTACAAAACCGTATAGTTTTGCATTCATGGTTCTTTAAACGTACCAGTTTTTAACGGTTTTCATACCTGTAAAGCTGAGAAAATGTTCTTAACATTAAACTTTGCGGTTAATTGAATGGGATTACTGGCAGTTATTTTAGCGTTGTTTTAGAATGAAAATTCTAACAGTGTATATAAAATGCTCCTTAAAAAGTCCTTTTATGAAATGTTTTTGCCCATTTGATGTGGGTTACGCCTAATAAAAATCATATCACCTTTATGAAAAGTTTAAATGAAAATCCACATAATTCCCTTAAAAATATCTTTTGTTTCCTTTATTTGTTTATTTTTTTGAACGTTTTTGAAAATCTAAAAGCTACATATAAAAAAATTGAAAGGATATTGATTTTAAAACACGTTATTACATTGCTTTTAATATACAGCCATTATTGTATGTACTGCTTTCGAGATTTAAATCCTTTGAATTATTGAATCTAACCCAAAACTTTTAAATTAAGTGTTCTTCGAGATAACTATTTAAGTAAAAGTAGCCGACAATTGCGTTTTACGAGGGAGAGGAATCTTGAAAATTTTACGATTGTGAGAGGTCCTTAGTGATTCCAGTCCAGGGGTCCTATTACCAACTCACTGATTCGTATTTAGCGTATGATTCAGCAAGCTGTGACCGGAATTCGAACCAGCAATAATTTTCAATCAGAAGCGAGTTTTCAATCCGTTTCTTTTTATGTTGTTTACTTACTTTTGCATCCCGCTTCTTAAAGTAGAACCTATTTCAATTTCAATACTCATTTTCTTATTAGTTCTTAATTCATTATTAAAACTTTTTAACCCTAACAATTTTTCTTTTAAATTCTAGAATGCAGTAACTGACGAAGATGTTGCATCCCAATTTAGAGTAATTACGAACACTTTACCAACTGTTGCCTTAGCAGTTAGCATCGTTTTCATTTCAATTGGAGTAATTCTTTGTGCCATCGCCTTATATCTAGCCCGTCCTTGGAATTTATTAAAAAAGGTAGCTTTTTGATTCTAACGTTCTCTTCGAATTCTTATACTTTTAAAATAATTTTCTAACCCAGGACTATTCATAATTTTTGGATCATTTATCTAAGAAGGATGAAAACTGACATTACAATTTTATTACATTGCAATAAAATTATATATTTAGGTTTATGCACGTGGCAATGAACTGATAAAAACGGAGAAATGATTAATTCCCTGATCAATTTCCTGAATTGATGATTCGATCATCAATTCAGGAAAGATGTTTAAATAACAACTATTTTCCTAAAACCCCCAACCTCTTTTCCCAAAACTTTAAGGTGATGAAGGACATATGATAAGATTTGAAAATTTTATAGCAACCCACGGCCAGAAATGCCCCCGTACGTTGCTCGGTGCTTTTCCTTATTATTAACTTCTTCTTTTTCTGTTGGCTTTGAACTGGTATTTTTATATATCTAAATAAATCATCTTAATTTAATAATTTCAAATAATTATTGCTGTTGTTGTCGTAGGCCTATTAAGTCAAGGGGTGCTATTGTTCTTGTTTTCAAGTGGCGCCATCTATGGACAAGTGTAATTTTCACTTGAACCAGAGAATGAGCAATCTCCAATTCTATTTTTATATATCTGAATAAATCATCTTAATTTAATATTTTCTAATAATTATTGTTGTTGTTGTCGTAGGCCTATTAAGTCAAGGGGTGCTATTGTTCTTGTTTTCTAGTGGCGCCATCTATGGACAAGTGTAATTTTCACTTGAACCAGAGAATGAGCAATCTCCAATTCAAAACCCGAAGAGCTATAATTTGTATTGGGATAATGGAGGACTTCGGGACCCGACTGATTTAATGTGCATCAGTGACCATTTACTACAAGGAGATTCTTCGATTGCCTGGATTCGCCTTGCCAACCAGGCTATCCCGGTCCATAATAATTATTAAAAATTACATTCAAATAGGTTTTAAATAAATGTTGTTTCATAATTTAATGATTTCGCTTCACCTTTTACAAGCTCGTCAAATCACTAAATTACGGCAAAACAACTATTCTGTCACCAATTTTCGGCTTTAATAAACATAAATTTGCATAATATTAGGATATTTTAAATAAATAAAGTTTCTTTAATTTATTCTTCGAATAATTCTTTTGAATAACTCTTCTTCAAATTTTGACTTTCTCATCATTGAAAAATGATTATAGTCAGGATCTATTTTTTCTATTTGCGGATTATTCAGAAGTTTCATGTGGATTATTCAGAAGAAGAAATTGTGATCCTTGTGTTGACTCTAAAATCGATTCGTAATACGAAAATAAATAAAATACATTAAAAAAACTTGAATTTTTTGTTGATTAGAGTTATTTTTTAAAATAATATGCGTGTTTATTATTTATCTTTTTAACCTGTGTACATTTTTTTCAGGAACAACCTACTTACGCAACAGTAAATGATGAGTAAAGGCCAAAAAGTCATTCCAAAGATCATCACTGTGAAATATTATATCATCATTTTTATAAATCATCAGATTTTGATTATTTTTGTTTGTTACTTTTTAATGCCAAAAAATAAATGTTATATTTTTACTTATATTTTCTTATTATTTACTCACTGAAATAAATTTAGAAATTCCTCATGAAGCAATGTTGCTCTGGCTAAAGTTCATAAGAAAGTACATACGAAAGATTTTACACGTAAATATAAAATATTTTATGAAAACTTTGCAATAAGCGGCAATAAAGTCATAAAGCTGAAGGCGTAATATTTGGTTTTCTAATAACATATGACTTTTTTCAAAAATTTTTTCGGTGTGCAAAGTATCTAAAGGCTTAAGGAGAAAATGCGTATGTTGTTTCAATAACACTGTGAAAAATTCGGGAAATTCCGGTGAAAAGGACCGGCACTCAGTGTGCCTGTGCTTTTTATCGTAAAATTCATTTTTACTGGAGCATGTTACGGAGCCAAAAATCTGATGCACCATAATTTTTACTGTAACATGAAATCACTGAATAACTCTAATTAAATAAATATTACTTTAAAAATTATGGCATAGTATTTATAATGGATTTCATGGTAAAATTGATTTTACGCATGATTTACCCAAAGTGCCGGTACCGTACTTTTTACAGTAATTTCATCCGGAATATTTTTCAGTGAAGTGCTTCAAGTTACTTCAAAAGAGAGGAAATAGAGACATTTGTATCAGAATACGGGTCTTATAAGTTCGAATTTTTGTATGACGGAAGGATACACTTTGAGCAATTTTGAATTTAAATCCTACCAGCAGTCATCAAATTATGTTCAAGGTATTTGAGAAGTGGAAATGGGTGCTGCATCACGAGAGCTTTTTATTGCTTCTGAGTGTTAAACAAATAAGAAACGTAACCATGGTTTCTCAGTTATTTAATGTATAAAAAATTTAACACTAGGGGAGGGTGGCCTAAAGCTGGTAGGTTAACAATAAACTCTCAAAAGTTGTAGTTTTTGGGCTTTTATCGCAGCGTTTTTGATTTTATTTCTTAAGAGAGATCTTGAACTATAAAATAAAAAATGATTAGTGCGTTATTTTAAATTTTATGATTATCTAGTATCAAAAATAAAAAACACTGAAAAAACCCGCTTTGCCCGACAAGGGGCCTAAAGCGGGTAAGCCATTCGGGCAAAGCGGGTAAGCACCATAGATTTTACAAATACAAGCGCATATTAATTTTCTTAAACATTAATAATGAGACCTTAATCACACGTATAATAAACGTTAAAAATAACATTTAAATAACAATTTTAGACTTATTTTATCAGTCTCAAATTATGATTTGTTATTCTTGACATAGTTCGCAAAAATAAGACCCTCTTCCTGAATAAGTTGTGCAAGCTTCATGAGCCCAGTCTTTACAATCTCCACATTCAATCCAATCTTCTAGCGGTGGGTCCTCATAAGGCCCCCCACAAACAAGACAAAAATACTCTTTTACAATTTTTTTCTATGAAGCTCTTTGTTTTTTAGTTTTACCTGGTTTACTTGTCGAAGGAAGATTTTTAAATTTTTTTTAACAGCAGCATTGTTTCTCAGACATTTCTTCTTTTCTTCCTTTTCTATTTGCATATTTTTAAATGGTGAATGGCTTCAGCTCTTTGAGTTTTACGTTTATGACTAGTTTTGTTCGGAGTAGGTTTTGGTAGCGGTCTAATATCTAAAGGCTTCACATGAGGTGTCAATGACTCTTCTACTGGTTGAAATGAATTGCCACTCGTTGTCGTAGAACATGAAGGATCATCTTCAACAGCTGGATCATACGAAGTTTCTTCGTTTGTGGTCGTAGCGAAATCCTTGAAGCTTGAGAGTAAATGTGATCCACGTTTTCAAATACAGATGTAGAAGTAGAGCTATCAGAATTATTAGAAAGTCGACCAGCATTAATAGATTGAATATGTGATGGGCTATCGTTGGTGTTTTCAATAACTTCAGCCCTGTCTGTCAGACTAGCTGGCAGAAAGTCAGCATCACTAAATATGTGTCGTTCCGTGGGCCATATTCCTGAGGATTTAAATCCTTGAACAGCATTTTGCGCACTAGCTGCTTTCAAATAAGCTTTCCCAACAAGTGAAGCTACGTCGTACTGAGTAATTATTCTACCTACATGGCTTCGTTGAAAAGTTAAAACTTCTTTTTCATAGCAAGTTTTGAACGGTCCATAAACGCAGCCGTCCAGAGGTTGCCTGCGATCAGTTGTTTGAGGAGGCAGCGATACAAAAATCACATTATTTTTTCTAGCATATTCAAGGGCGTCACTATATTTGTGAGATTCATGGTTATCTGATATTAAGATTACTTTTTTCTCAGGAGTTGACGGGTATTCTCGACGAAATAATGAAGCCAATCTAGGAATTTTTGCCCATTAATCCAGCCGTTGTCGTTGTCAGTGCAAGTAGCAAGGGAACCAGGGGGTGCTCCATCTAACAATCTACCAACCATTCTTTTTCTACCATAATTAAAAATGGAGGTATAAAAGATCCAGCCGCGTTACAGCAGCAGATAACAGTCGTCGATTTTCCTCTTTCCGCTCTTGAAATTACACCCACCTGTTTTTCCCCTGATTTTGACAAAATTTTCGGAAATTTATTACTGGATGCATGAATGCCAGTTTCATCCATATTGTATATTCTTGTTGGATCAATGTCATGCTTATCAATTTCTCTTTCCAACAAATCATAAAATCTGCAAACTTGAGGCCGATTGAAACCTCGTGCTCTTGCAATTGATGTTGGCTCTGGTTGCCTAACAACTATATTAGAATGTCGTTTTTTAAAACCCAAGTACCAATCATTTCCAACACTGCTGTTCTTAAAAGGATGAACGATATTATTGCGTTCTGCATACTCATAGACTAGTTTAAAAAATTCATTTTTAGTTAAGCTGTAGAAAAGATAATCGACTTGAAATACATATTGCAATAACTCAGCTTCTTGCTCATCCTTGAATACTCTTCGATATCCTCCAAGATTTTTACTGCAACTGCCCTTTTTCAGATGTCTTTGTAGAGTAGAAAGTGGGATACCATACTTTTTAGAAGCCGCAGAAACCGCAGTGGTCTCAGATTCCTTCATTGCATTCTTCATGGCCGTTTCACACCAGGTCGCCTGTTCTGTTTTTCTCTTGTATTTATTTACCATCGTTACAAAAATACAGAAAAGTTAGTTTAAAAATGTATCGGGGCATAGCGGGTGTCTACCCGTTTTGCCCTACCCGCTTTGCCCAAAAGCATATTTTTTACTAAAAAAATTATAACCTCAAATAAAAAAAAATTAAAAAAAATTGAGCATCGTAGTTTATAGGTCAATAGCGTTAGAATAATATAATAATATTGACAATAAAAAAATAAGTCGGCTTTCGACTAGCCACAAGTTACATACCTTGAGTTTTTTTAATAAACTTATTAATATTTTATTTTGTGCTTGGTTACGCCATGTCGCTTTACTTCTGCTCCGCTGGGATTGATTGAAACTCGTGAGTATTCGGGTAATCACGGCATAGTTAGATATCGGCGCTTGAGCGCGCTGCGGCAGGATACGAATGGCTACCCGCTTTAGGCTACCCTCCCCTAATGGAAAAGTTTTTGAAAGATTAAGTAAAAAGAAAAAGATTTAATTTTTAGCTGATAAAATTGTTATGAAATATTTTCAATTGTTTCACAAAAAATAAAAAAATTCAATTAAAATTTGAAAAATTTAAAAAGTTTCATTTTTTAAAAATTATTAATTTCTAGGATCTATTCATCTGCTTTTGCAAATCATTTGGTTTTGCTTTTTAATTATGTTGTTTAAGAACGTGCAAAACTTTGCATACCTCATTCTTCAATTTTTTGAATATTCACGAGTGAAATAACTAAAAAATATTTTAAGATATTATTAATATATATTTATGAAATATACATTATTATTAATATAATATTTACAAAAATATTATTAATATTTTAAGTTATAAGGAAATATTTTTAATTGTATAAATAGTACAAAATTGATTGTTGAAAAATTGTTTGGTGAAAATGCAAAAAATAAAACAATACTAAGGAAACCAAATTTTCATCCAATTTCCTGACTAAACTTTTGGGTTGAAATTTTTAGGCTTTCAAAGATAAGCAAATAATAATCCATTAAAAATGCATTAGCGTTAAGAGAAAATAAATTTTCTGCCAAATTTCGTAAATTGCTAAGATATATAGCTCTAGTTAATTAGATTATTTCTCCTACAAATCTGTTAGAGGTGACGTTTTTAAGACCAAAACAACCAACTGTCAAATCTTTGATATTTCTTTTTTATCTCTAAACAATAAGTTTAGTTCAGATGTTCAATAAAAGCGAAGTATATAATGATTTTTGCACGCAGGTCAGATAAATACTTTTTTTCGATTGTCTAGTCTTCATTCTCGTTTCGTCATTCTAGTAATCAATTTCCCACAATGCACTACGATCAGGTTTCGAGTTGAGTAAACATTTCCTTCATACATTTGTTAATCACAAATCACGTGATTTTGTGACGAAATGATTTTCAAAATTAACAAAATACAATTATTGTTTTTTGAAAACGTTGAATCTTTATTTGTTAAATAAAAGGAATGATACATGAAAACCAGTTTAAAGTACAACTGTATCTATACATTCAATCAAAATCACGATTCTTTATAAACATTTTATTACAGTACACAATTACCAACAATGTCTCCACTTCAAAAATTTTACTATGAGCACCATGTACATTGCGCAAAAATCAATTATTATTCATATTCACAGTTACAGTAATATTGTATGTATAATACAAATTCTTCAGACATTCCTAAAAATAAAAAATAAATGTTTATTTTATGTTGAAATTTAACGACAAAATTATTTCTATCATATAAATTTTATATAACTTTTATCATATAACTTTTATTTCTTAAGTATTATTACCAGTCTCTAAGCTATATTCAGTTTTCAAATTGAAGAAGAAAGATAGTTTTGCCTTAGTTAAAAGAAAATGAATGACGCTTTTTTTTAAAAAAGGAATGTAATAAATTTTTTTCTAATCCCTTTAAATAAGAATTTGATCAATAGAATAATTCTGAGTGTAAACTTCAAACTTTAATATCTGCTTGCGAATGTAATATAAAGTGTTTCGTAAAAAACAAACAGTTGATTTCTTATTATATGAATATTTTAGTTAATTTCCTTTAAAAATCATTGAAATATCTTACTTTCGATGAGCGTAATATTCCTTGCTGAAAGAAAAGAAATTCTAGTGAGAAATTTTAAAGTAAGAACTGATAGGTTATGTGAGAAAATAAATTTGAACTACATTACGATTACATTCGGGAAATAAATTATTTGTTGTATTTATACATTTTTTTCAAATGGCATTTTTAGTTTATTTTTTGTCAAAATGGCTAAAGTTTAAAAACGTTACAGATTACAGTAAATTGCTACTTCTTGGCGAGTTAGGGTACATCATCAAGATTGAAATTGAATTGGAACACCCATGCCCGGAAATCCGGACGTACACCGCTAGGGGTGCTCTCTATTATAACCATTCTAGATGCATATGAAGAAACAGTTGATGAAGGGATTCACTCCTAGCGGCATATGATGGCATTTCCGGGAGTGGGTTCCTATGCAGTTTTAATCTTAATGGTGAGCTTTAACTCTCCTAGAAGTTTGTTGCAGTATTTATGCGATCCTCTGTCATATATAACGTTTTTAAGCTCGTGCATTTCCAGAAAAATTGAACTAAAACTTTCATTAAAATAACAAACAAACTATAGCTTAAAGAGGGAAATCGAATGCAGATTTGAAATATCCAATATCCGTTAAGAAATCTCCAGCTATAGAAAACGAAAACAAATTTGTTCCAGTGCTATTAGAATAATTAGTCAATAAAACAGATTTATGTATGCTGTATATGATATTTTTCTTTATTTTATTCGTATGCTTTGCTAGTCATTTTATAAAACTTTAACTGGGTACATCTGAATTTAGACAACCTAATTTATTCTAGCGCTACTTTTACAAAATAAAAATTAAAAATTTTTTATTGTAGAAAAATCAGTCTTAAAAAGAGGTAACCCGTTTCTCTTAAGAAATGTCCTCTACCAAAAAAAGGTTTAAAAAAAATATAAAGCAAGAAAATCATGTAAAAGCATTTCAAATAAAATTTGGCTCGAAAAGTTTTTTTGAAAATAGTCGGACCAACAGTCAGACCATCATGAGCTATTAATGAATAATTTAGATGTTTTTATTTCAGCATGAAACTGCAAACATGGCAAATATATATTCCTTGAAAACTGAACTTTTATCTCTCTTCGAATGTAAATAAGAAACCATCCAGTATATATATATATTTTTTTTTTGCAAATAGAAATGTTATTTTAGATGTAAAAAATGTTTACTTATATTGTTTGAAATTAAATTGATACGGAAAAGAATAATTAATTTAATATCTGAAAATAATCAAAATTGAAACAATAATAAGATGTTTTAAATGAAATAATTGTTCACATCTTGGTGCTATATTGTATTCTAAAATTATGAAGAAAATAAAAATAATAATAAACTAACTTATCTAGGAGGATTTAATAAATTTTCTTTAGTGTATAAAGCATTATTTACCCATCAGTTATTATTATAGTTTAATTAATATAAAAAACTAAAATTATTATAAAAAACTAAAATGAATGTGCGAAACTAAAACTATCACAACAAAACTAAAAAATCAATTTAATTTTAACATAACTTTGAACCAAAATAGAGAAAATATCCTAAATTTATGGAGATAAATTATATAATACTTATATTTTAAGCTAGTGTTTTTGTCGTGCTTTCACTAGTTAATTTTTTGCATATAGCTCAAGTAATTTTAAATTTAAATTTTTTTTACTATTCCTATTTAAGTAGGCAAAGGACGTTCAAAACAAAATAGCACAATTTTTATGCGCAATATTAGTAGCAATAATAGAAGTCTGTGTGCAAAGTTTGGAAATAATAATAATAATTAGCTTTAAAGTTATAACAAAAAGTATAACTTTTAGTTGATGGTAATTGAAAAGTTCTTCGGGAGCGAATTTTAATTTTGTTATTGAATTTTTTACCCAAATACGTTGTTTATAGACATTTAAATAAGTGTAAGTGGTTATGGTGACAGTATAAAAATGTAGCGTAACTAGGCATTAAACTTTTATTTTGTCACCAAAAATTTCTTCAAAAAACACGCTTTAATTATGTTTGTTCAGTCATTAAAAAAATTAAAATGCGATATTGAGTAAATAAAATGCATTTAGAATTAAGCAATACATATAGAAGAGGATCTGAAACTTTTTTAATAACAATAAAACGATAACTGGTGGGCAAGGAACGTTTTGAAGTTGGGAGGACATTAAAAAATATTCATCAAAATCAATGATTTACGCTAGTACATACAATTTTTTAAATGAATTATATGACAAATTTATAACGAACATATTGTATATTTTGCATTGAAATTTATAATAAACAGGATAAGGAATAATAGGCTTTAATTTCCTTTTTTTGTTAGGAAAAGCTTAACGGAGTGCTTCATAAATAGGTATTTTTAATAAAATAATGTAAACTATATATATCTTAATAATGATGCGTGATTACAACCTTTTAATATCGTGATAAATCATTTAAATGTATTGATATTTCCCTATGTATATTGTGTTATTTTTCTAGTTTAATTAATTTGCATTATTTTCACATTGGTCAATATTTTCCCAATTTTAATAAAGGCCACGTACACTCTCGATAATATCGTATTGCCCGTGACATCATCGATACATATTTTATTTTTTAACCGTCGTTGAACAGCCGGCCCAATTTTGGATTTACGACTATCAATGTTCAACTCCGTAGCCTTGCAATTTTGAACCCAATTCAGATGACAAGGTAACTCATATATCGAGCTATGGTAGAAATTTGCCTTCGTTGAAGACTTTTTTTGATGAAACTAACTCGCACTTGCGTTACATGGAAAGGAAAACCAAGAAAACCTCCTACGCTTAGCCTGATGGTAAGTGGACTCTAACTCATGATCCGTCTACCACTGAGAATATTTTACTTCAGCACTGTGATCTTTGCGTGCCGGATGCGGAATATGAATCGACCAACCATTGCTGGGATTCGTACCCGGTTGACCTTATTCGATGACGAGTGCTTTATCCCCAGAGCCACCACTGCTCTATCGATATATATTGTTGTTGATAACATTGTAGAACAAACGTCTTCTTGTTTTCTGTTGCGTGAGATTTTTTGAGCAGATCTTAGATATTTATTATCGCTGATTTCAAACCTGTAATCGGTTTCTCTGTCCAAGCTACTTGTGCAAGCAATTTGTGTCTATTTTTTTGACGAAATGTACAAGTTTAAAAATGTTATGTATAACAGTGAGCAGTATAAATCTTGCAACAAGCTTCTAGGGGAGTTAGAACAAATCACCAAGAATAAAATTGATTTGGAACCCATGCCCGAAAATATCGTCATGCTTCGCTAGGGGCTCTAACTTCATGAACTGTTTCCTCCTGAGCTTCTGAACAGGTCATAATTGGGAAGCTCTCTCAGCCGCATACGACGAAATTTCCGGTCATGGGTACCTACGCAATTTAAATCCCTATATGATCTAACTCCCCAGAACTTTGTTTTAACATTTACGGGACCTTCTGTTATATATAACGTTTTACATTTCGACAAAATATGAACTAAAAATGTCATTCAAAATATATATATCTTTAGGAGAGAAAATAATTTAAAATTTGAAATCTCCACAGCCAAATTAGACAAGATCAAGTATTTGTATAGGTGCAACAAAAAATTTGTTCCCCAGTATAATGATTACGATATCGTAAAATTTAAATTATCGTTAATGAAACCACTTGGGACATTTTCTTAATCGTTATTTACAGCTGTTGACATTAATAGGTTGACATTAATAGCTGTTTCATCTTTGTTGCGAACTGTCATATATTCGTTAGTTATGATAAGACATGATATTCCCTACATATCCTGAGAAATTCTTTTAAAATACGGTGAAAAATATCGATATTTCACCATATGTAGATTATTTGAAAGGCTTAATTTTGTTTTATTTGCATTTGGATTGTTAAAAACGTGTTTATTGGATTGTTGCAGGATAAAACGACAGAAAATATAATTAAGAGCATTAGTTTTCCCCCCTTTATAGATAATATTTTTTTGATGGATAGCAGACCAGCGCCATTTCAAAAAATTTTCAAAACTTATAATTTAATCAAATTTAGAATTCAATAGTTCTAAACTTTGCGTGCTCTATGAAGATAAAAATCAATTATTGTTTTTATGTAATTTTTATCATGACATCTAGTGCACGCCATCTTGCGTTTGTAAAGCATTTAGTTTGTGTTTCCATGAAATAATTATAAAGTTAAATTGCTTAGACAAAAGAATTATATTGCGTAAAAATTGAACATAGAACACGCGAAGACTTAACAAGTTTACATTGCTTTTTTAGTAAAGAAAATAAAAAATTAAAATATTGTGTGCGAAACTTTGACTTTAAAAAAGGAAACAAAAGCTTTATAAATGCATTCAACCAAAATAAAATCTGCTTCAGAAGAAATTTTTTGTTTGGTAAGTTTACATTTACAGCCATAACCAAAATTTGCATTTATTTTACGATTTTAATTTAATTTACTTTCGAACTAACTGGTAAGCCCAAAAATTAAAAGCAAATGCAAGTTTTTTCCCTTAACATAGTTTCTAACATTCGAAATGTTTAAGAAGTATTTTTTCAGCGATGATAGTGTAGAATAATCTAATACAACTAGAATTTTTGTTAAACATTAGCTGGCCATAGGCGCGGAATTTTCCACAAACACATTTTTCATTATTTTGTATTAGTTTAGCTAAAAATTAGTAAAAAATATTATATTTAGCAATTTAATAATTTATGGTTATGAAATAGGGATAGACAATATTGGCAAATTAGAGAAAATGTGTCCCATGGAAAGTATGGACTGACGGCTCAATATTTTTTTTCCAAATTTGCCCTTATTTGCAGTCCTTTAAATCTAATAGAAACAATATTTCATCATTGAAATTTCTTTAATTTTCAAAATCAATTATTGAATATGAATAAAAAAAAATTCAGACTACTTTTTTCTGGATTTTATATTTTAGAAGAAATATAATGTCAATAATCCAACAAATTATTTTAGAACTATTAGACAGTGTTTTATAATTTAAAAAAAAACTATATTTACTTGTAGTTAGAGCCTCAGGAAAAAATGTATAAACACCGGTGAAGTTCAAAAAATATGTCTACTCCAAAGGGTTATAAAATGATTTATATTTTACTGCTTTTAAATTTTAATATAGTTCTTAAAGTTAAAAATATTCCTTACAGCTATCATGTAATAATATAAATAAACATAGCTACATGATATTTAAATCAAGATAATTATCAATATCATGTGATGAACAGTTTATACTGCTGTAGAGTTAAAAGTGCCAAATGCCATGTCTGAAAAAGATTATAATGCTTAGATGATGAATGACGAAGATGGATGATGGAAAACAATTTATCAGTTCCAAATAATATTTTTTATTGTTTTTACTATCGATTCGGTTAAAAAAATATTAATAATATTTATACCTTGATAAATTTATATTTAAAAAAAAATTCTAAATTATTTATTACTTGTTATTTAACTGGAAGAAACTGAAATTTTGTGATTAATTTTAGAAAAATTTTGCTTGTAATATTTTTGTTGCTTATTGGAAAAAAAGTGATATTAATCTTTCGAGAAATTATAACTTAAGTGTTTTTATTTATATCCAAACATATATTGCATTACGTACTTGCTTGCATAAGGATGGATTGGAAATTTGAGATTAATTCTTTTGAAAATTGCTTTTACATTTCTTAATTACAGAGGTTAAAACTACTCTCATCATTTGCTGATTTATTTCAAATGTGTTATGCATGATATAATCTAATATAAATATTAGTAATTTTTTAAAAGTGTCATACGCAATAATTTTAGAAAAGTTGGACGATTACTTTTTATGCTTGTACAATTTCAGAAATTTAATACTCAACGAGTATTAAAGACCTTGCTATTTTATCGGTATTTCGCAAAACTTGCAAAAAAACCTGCAAAAGTTCAAATTTAATTGCATTTAAAATAATGAATTTATTCTGTACCACATCATGATCATCCTCCTCCAGGTCACCAGAATCATCATCATCATCTTTTACGTCATCGCTTTCACCCCAATAAACGCTGAATACATCATCAAGATCATAATCAGACTCGTCATCATATTCAGTGTCTTTTGTTGAAATGCTTAAATTTCGTTGAAGTTCAAAGAAATGGCCAATGCATTTGCTGATCTTTAATAAATAAATATAAATATACAAAATTATTTAGAAATTTAAATTAAATGAGCAAAGTTTATTAGTTTGTATACATATCATGTAAAATACAATAAGTTTCATCAAATACATACTTTAGCAGCTATAAAATTACTGATATCTGGTAGAAAATGTGTTTTAATACAAAGAATGTATGTTTATTAAATTTATTCAGTTTTGACTTTTTATATAAGTGATTTAAGTTAAAATGCGTGATATAGTCATGGCGGCCACCAAACAGCTTTGTTAATGAAAACGTCAATAGTTTAACTTATCAAGGAAGTAATATTTTAGCTAGAATTGGACGAATGACTATTCGAAACTTTAGTCCTCTCGTTGTTTGTGGTGTGGAAGTTTGGAGAGTTGGATACCAGTTTAGGCGCTAGCCATGTCGTCTGATTAGGGTCAACATTACGTGGCATTTAAAAGCAGGGCTGTTAAAGGGTAGATCAATAAAAATGAGGCTAGGTGCTTGGCCATAGTGGGGAGATGATGATGATGTTTAAGACCAATCAAATGATGTCCAATGAATGATGTCTAATTAAAGGATGTCTAGTGAATGATGTCCAAGTAAAGTACATTTTAAAGACTAATAAAGCTCTTATCTATGATACTCATTAATAACCTTTATTAAAAGTATAATTTGCCACTAAAATATGGAAATATAGTGATATAGTTGCTTAAATTTTATCAAGGGGTATTTTAAATTAAATAAGAATAAATAAGTAAATGAAAAAAAGTAATGAAATATTACATTGTGGGAATACATCACATCGTTGCACATTGTTTCTATGATTTGATCAAAGCTTCCATTAGTATCAGGTCGGAAGACAAACCCACAACTTCTTATAACAATTTGATCCTAAGAAGAAACGGTTTTGAAAAGTAATGTTTACTGCTATGAAAAAAAAATTGTAAAGAAGAAGAAGAAAATACGAAGTTTAAAATTATCAATTATTATATTATGGTTATTAATTAGATGAAAATGAAATATATTTAAATTGTTTGAAATAAATTATTCTAACTGACTGAAAAAATATCCTCAATGGTAGACGAATTATGGATTGGAATCTTCTTGTCATTGGGTTAAGTGTGGGACGTTTTCGTGGATTTTCTCTCTATGTAACGCAAATGTGGGTAAGTTTCATCAACCCACATTTCCTCCAGGACGGCAAGTTTGTCCCAATACTTGATCTATGAGTTTGAAATTACAAGGTTACCGAGTTGAAGATTGATAGTCGTAAACTAAGAATTGGCTCGGCTATTCATCACTGGTTATAAAAAAAAAAATTTTGTGGTTTCGTTTTACATGTCAGTTGGAATATCTAAAAAGATTATTTTATTTAGTTATTTACTGTTCCAGATTAAATTTTTGTTTTCTGTTTCATCACAATTCCTGTTAAATGTTGATAGCATTCTGAGTATGTGCCCTATCCGTTACCTTTCTTATTGCTATAAGAGTATTTATCATTCTTATCCATTGTAAGAATGTCAGAATTTTTATTTTATATTTGATATGTTTTTTCAGTTATTCTTAAACACGGGTAGAAATGGGGAGTAGAAACTGCATGAAATAGAAAGTAATGATATCAGCTTTTGCGAAGTTCTTATTGCTATAAGAGTATTTATTATTCTTATCCATTGTAAGAATGTCAGAATTTTTATTTTATGTTTGATATGTTTTTTCAGTTATTCTTAAACACGGGTAGAAATGGGGAGTAGAAACTGCATGAAATAGAAAGTAATGATATCAGCTTTTGCGAAGTTCTTATTGCTATAAGAGTATTTATTATTCTTATCCATTGTAAGAATGTCAGAATTTTTATTTTATGTTTGATATGTTTTTTCAGTTATTCTTAAACACGGGTAGAAATGGGGAGTAGAAACTGCATGAAATAGAAAGTAATGATATCAGCTTTTGCGAAGTTCTTATTGCTATAAGAGTATTTATTATTCTTATCCATTGTAAGAATGTCAGAATTTTTATTTTATGTTTGATATGTTTTTTCAGTTATTCTTAAACACGGGTAGAAATGGGGAGTAGAAACTGCATGAAATAGAAAGTAATGATATCAGCTTTTGCGAAGTTCTTATTGCTATAAGAGTATTTATTATTCTTATCCATTGTAAGAATGTCAGAATTTTTATTTTATGTTTGATATGTTTTTTCAGTTATTCTTAAACACGGGTAGAAATGGGGAGTAGAAACTGCATGAAATAGAANATATATATATAAAATTATCTTATCTAATTATACCTGTATCTTAGGTTTCTAAACTATTTCTTGTGCATTGAAATTTGCATAAATAGTTTTATTGACTTAATAGTTTTTTTTAATAATTGTTATTTTTAAGGATTTTCTAATGTAGCATTGATAGAAAACCGGAAGAAAATTATTAAAAATAGTTATTGAACTGGCTTAAACGAATGCTTTGTGATGAAAATATATGTATGAACTTTACTCATATACATTTACTTAAAAGGAAAGTTTTTAGTTAAATAAAATGAAGTTGATTACCCATTAAATGATGTAAAAATAGACATATAAGCATTTATTTATAATGATCGATAGGTTTTCAGAACAACAAAACTTTTGAAACAAATACTGACTGAATATCATCAATTGACTTTTGAAATTTTTGAACTTAATTGGTTTTGCTACTTTTCACTTCATATTTATATAGAAAGCTAGTTAAAATTTCATCAATTGAGTTTTGAAATTTTTGAACTTCCCTTCATATTTGATTCCCTTCATATTCTTTTTTCTTATTCCCTTCATATTTATATAAATGAAAGCTGATTAAAGCCCTTAATCACCTTGAAAAAAGGTGAATCGTTTTAAAGTTAAAAATTATTTCATGGACCTTAAGCTGTAATTAATTCAATTATAAAAGAAAAGTAAATATCATACCACACATATGACTGAAAATATTATCTTGTAATTGAAAACAACTGACACAGATGATTGAAAAGCTACAAGTTATAAGAAATGATATTATTTTTAACTTTGACATTGCTATCAAATTATTCCCTGAAAATGACAGTTTAGTATTTGAAATTAAACAAAATGACATGTGTCAATGTTTTATATGCTTTAAAACGCTCTTTAAAAGGTATTCAAAGCCCTGTTCTTGGCACCCAAGGTCGGTACACAATTATAAGTTTTGTTATTATGGGGTGATATAAAAAGTGTGCAATTAAAGTGTTTAAAAAGGGAAGTGTATCATTCTCTAACGCATTTCCTATGCTATCAGAAAAACTGGTTCTACGTTGAACTATAATATTGAAGAGTGCTAAAAAATTCTGGCGATACTACCTGGTGTATAATAATGACATTTCTGGTAAAGAAAACATAATTCTGGTTAATAAAACCGAAATATGCAGCATTTAAACCATTCATTTGGCGATTTTTCAATTCTTATATTAAGGTTTTATCGGAAATTCTGGTTTTCAAAATTAAAATTCATATTACAATACATTTAGTAAAAAATACAAAACTGAAAAATAAATTTAACCGAATAAATGGTTTCTATGCAATGCTCTAAGATATCATAGTAAAATTACCAAATTATACCTCTTTTACCAAATTTTGTCATAAATTACAAAACCATATTTCGTAGTTAGTTTTACCAAGATAAACACGAAAGCGCTTCGGTAAAAATCACAGAGCTTTTTTTTTTGATGTCTGTTCGTTATATATTCTGTTAGTTTCGACTATATATTTTTTTTTCTCAGTGTGGTAACTTACATGCAAATTTGTAACAACCTTAATAACGTATTGATTAGAGCCACCCTGTGTTTACTCAAAGTAAAACTATTCGTGTTATTAAGTTTAATTAATTTAATAAAGATAATTTAAGTTCAACGATAATATGGTTTATATTTACACTATATTAACTTTGCAAGAAAATTTAATCACGTTGTGGTTCCACGTACTCAGAAAATTTCAAATTTCGTAGCACAGTGAAACGCGTGTCATATGTGCACATATCATTGTTAGAATTTCCATGAATTTCCAGAAAGAAATAATAAACATAATTTCACTGTGCATTGTGCAAAAAAAGGTTTTTTCCAACTTTTAACCGGATCTTGATTTTTTTTTGTTGATTGGATCTTGAGATTAGACTTTAACGTACTATGACTCAATCTTAATGGTTAGAGGGGTGATTTTAAGTATGCTAATTAATTAGTGCAAACTATATTTTAACTTATATGAAAGTAGACTCAAAAAAGTATTTTCTTTGCACAAACATGCCTATTTTTTTTGACGGATTTGGATTCTGATTCTCAAAATATGGGGGGTAGCCATAATCTGGGAAAAGTCTTTCCAATAGTATGGCCAGGAGGGAGGTCAAAATTTGAACACTTCAATATTAATTTTAGTTTTTGCTATTTCGCTAAATCTTAAAATTTCTTTAAGTGAGATTTTTCTGAGAGTACTTTTTTGTTCTTTTTTAAGCATATTTCCTTATGTATTACATCTAAAAAACTTATAGAGAAAATACAAGGTATGCTACTCAGTATATGTAGTAAGTATTATACTTTATATACTATAACTAGTCTACTTTTGTGTGAAAGACAGTTTGTCTAAGCATATATTTCATAATAGATGTGAGATATAATAGATAATAATAATAGATTTGATAATTCATCACTGGGGAAAATCCCAATCCATTTTGAGATTGGTGTATCACCCCCGTTTTGTTTTCGATATTTTTTGACTCTCACCAGAGTATTAAACAAAAGTATTGTTTTATGTGAAGAATAATTTTGTGTTCTGATATGTAATTTGTTCTAAAATGTTGAATAGGGAAGGAAATGGGACCTCTTCTTTTGTTTGACTTTTAAAAAGCACCACTTTTTGTAGCTTTTTTCACGGCTTTGTTCCAGTTTTTTGTAATGTGCCAAAGAAATAGTATAAACCGTAAATAAAAGTCATTATTCTTTTATTAACTGCTGGCATGGGAGCTACGTTTTAGGGAATATTTAACAAAAATGTTCGTTTGTATTTTCCTTTCACAAAGAGAATGAAGCGCTTTCAAAGTATGATAGGTATTTAAGTTTATAATGTAGCACAAAATGAAAATGCAAAATATTTCAAAGCAATTTTTTCGTTTCCGAATTTACATTAGTTTAAATGTTTTCTTTTAGCTGAATTGATAGCTACATGATACATGATGAAGTGTGTAGGGATTTGAAAATAAAAAAAATTGATTCTAATCTTATTTTCAAGTTTTTGCTCCTTCATGGTATTGTTTAATTCATTAATCCCAAATAACAATCCCATATTTATATATGGAATCCCATTAATTCCATATTTAGCATAAAATTAGCTGCATAACTACAAGATAATACCTTGTGTGTGAACTTTTTTGTTTTATCTATAAAGATTAAAAATGAAAGATGTAATAAAAAAAAGAACGGAATTGAAATTATGTGAGATTTAAAGAGTCGAATAATTTTTAATATGAAAACAAATATTAATTTTAAGTAAATATTATTTTCAATTGTGCTGAATTGAATATTATGATTAAAAAAATGAAGAAGTTTGGGTAACGCATCAATAAATCAAACTTTCCAATATACTTTCCAAGAACAGACTATTTCTTTAGAGTAGTTTCAACTTTTCCGAAATTTTCACTGGATAGCAGTATTATACAAAAGAAGATCTAATTGACTACAAGAAAATTATAACATTTTTAACAAAAACGTTTTCCTGATTATATTGAAAATATATATTATCATTACATTGTTCTTAAAGCTTTAATAAATAAATAATTAAAAGAAGCTAAAGCCTTTTCTTTAACATTACAATAAACTACTTTTTGAATATGAAAAAGTTACATTATCAATCAAAAGTTTTGATCAAATCATTTCTGTTAAAATGTAAAGGAAATGAATCCTTAAAAATAATTTATGTCAAACTTAGGTGAAAGAAATTAATTTATTTGGTTACTGATGTATTTCTAAAACCGTTTGTTACAGTAAAAAGTATGGTCAAAACTACCTGAATGTAATGTTTACTTTGTTTCTGTCTCTAAGAGAACACCAAAATCTCAGTTTTTACCGAAGCGATTAGGTAAGGATTTTGGTAAATTTAGCAATAAAATATAACTTCATAATGAGCAATAAAATTTTGTAAACGTGATCAAATTTAGTAATTTTATCATGATACCTTAGAGCAGGGCTTAAAAACTATTCATTCAGTTAAATTTACTCTTCAGGTTTGTATTTTTTACTAAAAGTGAGGTAATAAAAACTTTAATTTTGAAAACCAGAGTTTTCGCTAAACCGTTACCATATGAACGGAAAAATTAAAAACTTAATGGTTTAAATACAGTACATTTTAATTTTATTAACAAGATTTATAGTTTTTATAGCTGGAAAAATGTCATTACCATATAGTACGGTAGTTGTAAAATATTTTTTTTTCACCTTGAAACCGTTCTTAAAAATATGTAAGTGTGTTCAATATTAGATTAAGTAAAATTTATTTCCTTGATAGTTAGAGAAGTAAAATACATAGCAAGCAACTCATTCATAACGCCAAAATTCTTTTCCTCTACAAATTGTAAGTAAGAGTAACGGAGATTAGTTCTCCGAAAAATCGTATTTTTATTTTTTTGATTGACTATTAAAATATTGTCTCCTATTGCGATTTGCAGAAGTCAAAATTATTATTTTTGCATACTTTTAATTTTGACAGCTACCAAACTTTTGGGTACTAGTTAATTTTTTAAACTAATGCTCGCATTTTTATAAGTGAGAAGTGATCCATATTGCGAGTAAGTTATTATACTAGTCATAGGAGTCGGTCATGAAATGAAATATGTAATGTAATTTTAATTGGAAGTAAGATTCTTTAGATTTGTGCAATTTTAATGGAAGATAGTAATATGGAAGAAATGATATCATTTATGAGAATCATAGGTAATGAAGAGTCCAAGGGAAGAGTCTAAGTGATATAGTCTAAGTTTAAGTAATCAATTTGAGCTCAAAGTTTATACATTGGTTTGACGAAATAAAGAATATTCCTTGCTATAATTTCATGCTCGGAGGTTTCAAATTGGCAACATCCATAAATCTCCAACTCTCATTTAAACCTCCATCGATTGCTTGTAGCCGCTTTCTTTAATTTTGAAAACTTCCAAAAAAAACTGACCAATTTTCACTTTCATCCGTAAAGATCTCCAAAATTTAATGACTGTGCAAAATTAATTAATATTTTAAGAAGATAAGAGCTCTAAATGATCAACATTAAATAAGATCTTTCTCCATGAAATCACAATACCTTCAAAAATCTCTCTTAGCCACTTCGTTTACTTAAAGGTCCTTATGTGGATCAAAGACTTAGACAGATAACATTACATGCAATTTGATATTAAAGCTTATTAAAATAGGAAAAAGTAAAGCAAAGTATTTAATTAAACTTTAAAAATATTTCAATAGTTTAATTAATTTCAAAAATATGTGGTATAATTTACACATAAAATATCTTAATAGCTTCAACTCCTACTCATAAAAAGTTTCATTTTAGAAATTTATTTTTCTATAATTGTCAATGCTTTATAAAATCCCTATTCCCATTCCAGTACAGAAAACAAAATCCTCAAAAAAGCAAAATGTTGATATTGCAAGCTTTCTTTATGTTTGGAGCTTTGATTTTTACTGTTTGGAGTTCAGATTCCACAGATCATGGAGAATATGGAAACGATAATGAATTCAGGAAGTCTATTTGTGGTATGTTACACTTAAAGAATTTTATTTCATTTTTAAACTCTTTCCTTGGAAACACGCTGGGTAAGTTAAAATGAATGCCACAATTTTGTAGGTGCGCAAAGTAAAATGTAATAAATAAATTCGCTGAAAATATATATACAAGTGAGATTTGTTTGGAATCCACAAATATGTTCGATATGCACTGCTTTTGTTATACAATATACATCAAGTTCGTACGTGATTTTTTACGAATTCTCAAAAGAAAAAAATTCGCATGGGTTCAGATCTGGAAACTTTGGTGACCAAAGCAACATTGCATTGTCTGCTGTATATACAAAATGCTTTTTTCTGTTGCATCGCCTGTTCACGAAGGCGTTGTTTTTCTGGCCGTTTCACTTTAGCAAAAAGTAGATAGTAATTTAAAACTCAGTGTCCTCTAGTGGCGGCTATTCAAAACTTGCTTTTATTACCTTTGCATAGGTCTACTTTCTTAATCAATTTATTGTATATTGAGGAGTACACCTATGAAATTGGAGCATTCATTTTGTTTTACCCTGTATATGTACGCAAATTTATAACTTGTTTCCTGAAGTTTTGAAACTGATTTTTTATTATTAGGTGTACTGATTATGAAATATACTAATAGTTTTGCATTTCTTGAGATTTAAAGTAGTACTTGGGTTGCAAAATAGGTGATTTAAGCAGACTTCCAAAAGTTATGTTTATGTTGCTGGGAATTTTAAAACTTTTATGCTCATGTTTTAGAGCTGAAGCCTATAAGCGTATAACTACTTCATATGTTTACTTCATACTACCTCAGTTAAACGAAAGTAAGGTATTCTAAAGCTTTCAACGTATCCAGATGAAAGACAGATGAACACAGATTAGACAGATGAAGACCATTTTAATATTTGAAAAAAAATCATATCAAACATAGAAGAAATTGTTTTTTCGTGATTGTAGATACCACTCATGCTTCCCAATATTATTTTGTTTAAAAAAAAGCGTAATTTTATTGAATAATTATTATAAGATAAATCATTTTTAGAAAGTGAAAGTGAAGGCCTGCATTCTGATATGGAAATTTGTTTTAAACTGGAGACAAAGGCGGTAAGTTAAAGTTTACAAATATTTATATTTACTGTATAAGTGGTTCTTTTATATTTGATGGCAGATTCTTTTATACCGTGATATTATAAATTATCTGCAAACGTAAAAATAGAAGCTTGAAACTAGTCTTATTATCAATTTTATAATATTTACTTAAAAATTATTACACTGTGAAGAATTTTGGTGTTATGAAATCTTTACACTGTAAAAGTTTTGGTGCTACCATTTTTGGCGTTGAGGTAAACTAAAATGTTTTACAGGGCACCTAGTCACATTTTTGATTTACTTTTTGCTGTTATACATGTTTTTTTTTTATTAAATTATCCATTTTTTGTTTGTTTGTTAACTGATAACATATATCCCCCCCTTAGAATCAATTTAATGGCTTCATGCACTAAAATGGCTTCATCGTTTATAAAAACAAGCATATTTTTAGTACTTTAATCAAATTAATTCTTTCAAGTAACAGTTATTTTGACGATTTTAAATGATTTTATGTGATGATTTCCTAGATAACTGTACTTGAAAATTTATTTAGTTTATCTCAACTCCAAAAATAGTGGGAAATATACAACAAAATGTTTTACAGTGTACGTAATTGAGATAATCTATTTTTATCATATTAGACGTATTTATTTGTTCTATTTTATAGAATACATTTAATTAAATTACACAAACCTAAATATTTAACACCTTTAACGTAGTTCTAAAAGAATTCATGATATTACATACATATTTACTACTAATTTTATCATTGCATTTTAATTACAGGTACGTGAAGGAATGTTAGAGTGCCTTAAAAAAGCCTCCCCTGATACAGAAGATAATATTACAGCCTACGTTAAAGCTGCATGTGAAAATAAAGAAATATTTCACACGGTGCGTGTTACTTTGTTTTTCGAATGAATTTCATTTCAGCTGAAAATATAGTAAAAATCGTTCATAAAGTGGAAGCAATTTTCGCTATAGTGAACTATATGCTATAAGCAATTGCACGTATTTATTGTTAAGATAAAAAAAAACTGCATTATAGTACCGTACAATGGTTTGATGGCTTTGATAACACTGATTATTGATTTCAATACTTAGTTTGATATGTTATTACCGGCGTCAATTTTCAACTCCGTAGCTTTGTACTTTTGAACTCAATCCGGAAGACAAGAAAACTTCCGGATCAAGCATTGAGACAAACTACTTGGAGGACTTTCAGATGGAAGTAGCCCACATTTGCATTACGTGGAAAGGAAAACCACGGAAACCTCCCACGATAAACCCGAAGGTAATTCTAACTCACTGTCCATCTACCACTGAGGCTATTTTAAGTGAACACTGTGGTTAGTGCGAGTCAGAAGCAGAATTCGTATCAACCAGCCACTGTTGGGATTCGAACCTGGTTTACCTAATTGGGAAGCGAACGCTCTATCTCCTGAACCATAGCGGCTCTTAGTTAGTAGTGAGAAAGGGAAATAAGGGATCGTGGTAGATTAGCCATTACAAGCACGTTTATTTGAAGTGTGCAGAAGAATTCCTGAAAAAAAAACAAGTGATTTGATGTTTCGTTTATCTTTAGGATTTAATTTATTTGTTTAATTTTTCATGCATGTGCAGCGTAAAGGAAAACATTATTTCTTTGCGCTGTACATGAACCTTTAATAAGTAAAACCACGATATAGCTTTTATTTATATAATTCGTACCATTTTAGCTTGATGCTTGTTATGAAGGGATGAAGAATCAAGCAGCGTCAAAGAAAAAAGTAAGTAACATTTAAAAAATTACTGAAACACTGAAAAAATTAATAGAAATTCGGAATTTTATATTTTAAATCATTCTTTATCGAAACAATTATATTGCAGCTATTCTATATTGTGTTTTATTCAACAATGTAAATCTTAAAAATATTTTTATAATAATAGTTTAATTTTTGTATATTTTAGATGGAAGTTACAAAAGAAGCTGGTGTAAGTAAATCTTCTAACTTTATAATGATTTTAATTTAGTATGAAAATAAGATTTTGGTTTCTTTTTGTAAGTAAAAAAACTTACAATAGAAGAGTTTATTAAAAGCAAATGGCATATTTTAATGGTTATTAGAAGTTAGATGCATTTGAAACATTTGTAGCATAAAATTTAGTTTCTTGGGTGCTTAATTTTATCTGATCAATTTTTGTCTTATACAATTCCTAGTTGTTACAATGCCTAAGGAAGCATCAGTGGTTTGATTATAAAACAGGTTTGACCGACATTAATTTTTAGAATTTAACAAATTATTTAGTGAGTAAGCAGCGAATTAACACCCGTATTTTCCGTTTTTTCTCCATCTACTATTTTTAAGCAAATTCAAGGAAAAGTTGCATTTAGAATAATTTTTATTTGGTGAAGTATTTTTTTATAAGTTCGCTTTGTTGCCATTTATCATAAATTTACACCGAAGAGCCATTACATTATGACCACCCTCCATCTATAACAAAGGGCTCACCCAAGTTTTCATGGTTTCTCGCCCAGGAACAATGTTTTCATGGGGCACATTAGGACCCATAATCCTCATAGAACAATCCCTGACGTATCTAAGCTACTTGAACGTAGTTGCAGACCAGGTTCACCCATTCATGGCAACAGTTTTTCTTGCTGGGGATGGTGTTTACCAACAGGATAATGCACCATGTCATAAGGGTCGAATCGTCATGGATTGGTTTGAGGAACATCCCAGTGACTTTCAAGTCATGTCTTGGCCCTCAAATTCACCTGACCTTTATCCAATAGAGCATTTGTGGTCCTACTTGGAAAACCAAATTCGTGCTGCCACGCTACCCCCTCGCAATGTGAGGGAATTTCAGGACCAGTTGGTGAGCCCTTGGTACCAGATACCTCAGACTACCTATCAGCATCTTATGGAATCAATGCCACTGTGGGTGCTAGCAGTTTTGAGGGCTAAAGGTGGTCCTACATGTTATTAGCAGGGTGGTCGTAATATAATGACTCTTCGGTGTGTTGCAAATAGTTGAATTCTTTGAGTATTTAAACTAGTATACTAAAGTCATTACAATAATCGTTTACTTTAATTTTTTTAATATGTTTTTTTTAATTGCTTGGCAAGTAAGCAAAATTAAGAATTTTGATTGATAACCTCTACAACAATAAAATCGATATTTGATACAGCATAAAAAGACAAAGAAATCTTCAAAATTTTTTAAAAGAAAATTGAGACACACAATGAACGAATATCGTTTAATAGAATTTTTTTAGATACTTCAGTTTACAGTTTCAAACTAAGTTCATTTAAAAATTTCTGTTATAAATAAATATTCCAGAGTCTTTATGCAAAATAATTATTGACACTTCATTAGACAGTGTAAAAGTTTCAATAATTCTTTTAAATCCTTTCAAACAGTCAATTATTTTCCTGGTTATGCTTCATGTTTAGTAGATCAAACTACCTTCAAGTGAACTACTAAAAATTTTGGATCAAAATACTGTAAAACGTGCCACCACTCAAAATGCCGGTTATTTTAAACGTGTCATGTTACGAAGCAAAAAAATTGATATGCCGTTATTTTTACAGTAGTAATTATTGTAAAATCATTAAATCATTGTACAAATCACGGTATAATATTTTACGGTAAAATGGACTTCCCGGATGATGCACCCAAAGGGCCGGAACTTTATACTGTAATTATACTGTACGATTATTCTGTATTTTCACCTCAGAGAAGTCCCGCAGTGGACTGATCGTTAAGACACGGTTCTCAGCAGATCACGGAAGTCAAGCATCACTGGCTGCGGTCAGTGTGCTGGTGGGTGACCACTTGGATCAGTCTGCGTAGGGACCGAGGGTGTGCGGTATTGGTCCTCGTTAAACTGTGCTACCGTAAAGTGCTCGACTTCGCGCGCAGGTTGTCGGGCTACCGGAGCGGGGGTGCCATCCCCTCCACAGAGGATAAAAATTGTGATGGCATGTCTTCGGATCATCCTCCGGGGGGTTTCCCAGACCGTCGCCAATGGCCCATCTTTCAGCTCCAGTGCGACGTAAATTAACTACAATAACTACTACTACTACTCACCTCAGAGAAGCAAGAAAATTTATGAAATAAACCTCAAGGGAGAATCACTTTCAAGGATGGCTTCTTTGAAGAAACAAACTGTTTTTTGTTGTTGCAAATAGGAAAAAAAAACTAGAACTGCCTTCTGCAATTCGCCGGATGTCAAGATGATCCTGAGGGTAATTCTCGGTGAATACGTTTCACGCACTTCCGATTACAGTAGAGGGGGAATAAGAACCAGATTGGTGAAAATATTTTCAGTTAAAAACTCACCAATGAAGTTCGAAATTTTTCTGTCCGGTGATTGGATGTACTTGAACAGCATTCATAGAGAACGGTCCACTCGCGAATCTTCGATTATTTGTGACATTTGTGGTATATCTGTGGTCAATGAATGCATCAGCGGATGATCCATCCACTGTCGGAATTTATATCTAGTAATTCTTATTGTTCAATTCCAGTTGACACTAAGTCACCCGAATTCGCTTTAGAAAGCAAAATTGAAAAAGGAATATAGAAAAGGATTATAATTTTAAAAGTGGACAAAAATATTTCGTTAGTTAATAAAACACTTTATAAAATATTAAAGTACTTTGATGGTAATATTGTACAAAGTTTGGTCTGAAAATTTCTAGAAGTCACCTGGATTTACAGTATCGTACAAATAATTTCTGATAGAGCTTAAAATTACTTGAACATTTTATAAACCAGCCAATAATTTCAGCGCACTCATTAATTCTGGAATATTTGTTATAATAAATTGTTTGAATAAAAATGAGTTATGGAATAATAACGTGCTTTATCGTGTCAAATAATATCATTTTTTTAATTTCAGGAATGCTATATGGAAGCTGCTAAGAAACATGGATTAGATCTCGTCATTACTTACTTCGATGAAGTATCGAAGTAAAAAATATGTGTTCTTCAAGAGGAAAATATTGTAATTCTCCCGAGTATAAAATATTCCGAAAATAAAATTACTTGTTTTGAGTTTTGATGCAAAGTTATTTACTTCATAACTTGTATTAACGAAAGGTTGAGTAGTGAAAGGTATATAAGCTGATGATAATACCTACAACTACAGTTGTTCCTTTTAAAGATTTATACAAGTTAATTTTATCTGGATATTTACAAAATAATAAGAAAGTAACTGCCTAGGAATAGAAAAACAAGAGTTTTGTTTTAAATAAAGAAAAAGTTTTTTTCATTAGAAAATATGGTTTTCTTATATTTTACATTATCACCCAACCATAGCCAATCACCTAGCTTCATTTTTAGAACTCTATCTTTTTACGCGTATAGTAAGAATGCCACGTATTTCGACCCTCCTCGCGTGATGTGGGCAACATCTGAGAAGGTATACCTCTTTCTAGGCTTCCACACCATAACCAACGAGGGGAATTATATCCAAGACAGATTTAACGTACCCCATGTTCCGAATTCAAGCCAGATTAGTGCTTAATTAACTTAACAATTGCGTTGGCAAGTGGTGCCCCTTTATTCCTATTAAGAGTTTCACAGCTTTTGGTGCTGCGGCAGGACCCCCAGAGTCTAGTCACTTGAGAATACTGTTCTTGTACGCATAGTGGGAAAAATATATTTTATTTCGACAGGATTACATCTTTAAATGTGAATGAATTTTAAGTATCAAATCCTGTTAATATTGTTTTTAGTAGTTAAAGTCTCACTTTGATCAACATTGTAGCGCAAAGATTAAGAAGGTTTATAAAACATATTAAAACCCACAAGAATGACTCCCTAGACAAGCAATCGAAATAAATAGTTGAAACAGTTATTGATCATAAATGTATAGAGAGTAGCCACAATCTGGAAGAGTCAAGAGACAGGCTTAATTTATGAGAAATTTTTAAATTCTTGGGTAATAAGGGAGCACCGTTCCCTCGCTGCTGATATGGAGCCCCACTCTTCATGTTTACTTTAACATCAAATTTGTTTTTTGACGATTAAAAGTAAGCAACATTAAAATGAAATACTATTCAAATAAAAGGTCTTAAAATTTATTTATACCAATATAATTAACTCGTTTGAGATAAAATTTAAACAGAATCATTTTGTTTGGTTGCCATTTCAACCATACTTACAATTTTTTTCATTATATTTATATATAACTCCCTGTTACTATAAAAATTCTATGAAAGGTTTTCACTGAAAAGACTATTTACCATCGGAGCAAAAAGTAAATTATTTAATATCAACTAAAAGCTTTTAATGCTTATTTTCTATTAATTATTTTAATTGAATACGTTGACTATACACAATTTTACACACAAATTATTATAAAATTAAGAAGGAATTTTTTCAAATGCAACAATAATTTATAAACCATTAACTAATTGTAATACGCTTATTAAATATGCGTGGAAATAAGTAATTTCAAGTTATAAACTTTAATGTTTTAGTCTTTTGCAGATTCGTCTCCCGGATGGAAGTGAAGAGAAGTCAAGAAATAATCAGTTAATACATGTGACATAAGACATCGTGTTCTATAAAAGAACGAACAATTTTTTTTCTGCATGTATGAACAGCCAGTCCTTCTTTGGCCGATGGCCTGATATCTATCATAGGATTAAGATTGTAGATGATGATTCTGTACATATTTATTCAACATTACGATTTTTAGATTTAAGTCAAACATTTAAAGTATTAATAAATGTTGTGTTCCAGTTTACTTGTGCTTTCATCATTTTAGCGTACTCTGCTTTGTGGGTTAAACCCAGAACATGCTTATCAAAAAATGCTACGCAATAAGATCATTTCAAGCGATTACTTTATATTTTAATTTAGAATTTTTTTTTAGTTTCAAATCCATGAAATCAAATAATAACTAAAATAGAGCAAGCAATAAATCGTATTGAAATCAATAACGTAATATTTAGAGAAGATTTTAAATTCTACAAGCAAATACCGTTGGATAAGGGATAAATAAATAATTTATTGATTTTCTGCTGATGGCAATTTTACGGATTTTTTCTAATAATTAGTGCAAACATATTAAGCTAAGCGAAAACAAACATTTAAAGTAAGTTTCCAGGTGTAAAACTTTCAAATCTTTTAATATTATGAAATTTTAAATTAAAGAACACAAAATTTATCCGGTATCATTTCTCTCTTTATCAGTCAGTAAGGATTTATCCACTAATCTTTTATATTCAGATGTAATTCAACAATAACGCTTTTCAGAAATATTTTAATAGGTTTAATATATCTAACTGTGATAAAACGTATCTTTAATGTTTCATTGAAAAATCAACAATTATGGCTATCATTTATAAACGACATTTGGGAATATTAAGAAAGGTATCTAATTTTATCGTCTAAAAATGTATAAGTTTTTAATGAGAGAAGAATCCTTATTACTCCGAAACGGTGATTGGTGTTGAGCAAAGAATATGCATTAAATTTTCCTCGCAAGGAAATTTCTTCTATAAAAAAATTTTAAGTGAAGATAAAAGGGGCCGTAAAGATGAGTATTTATCAAAAGTATTGGTTTGGTACAAAATGGTTAGAGATTGTAAAAAATCTGTCGAAGCTGATCAGCGATCCAATTTCGATTATTGATCATTATATCGATTAAGTCGGAGATCTGTTACTCAATGTTCATCTTTTAACAATAAAAGACCTTATTAAAGAAGTACTAATTATCATTCACTATATCAGACTAACTATCATTCACTATATTTACTATTTATAAGTCACTACATCATTCGGTTCCCGTCAAGAAATTTTAATATAATGTTTATGGTGTAACGTATTGCTTACCGAGTTATTCCAAGAACTTTGAATTTGTTATCCAAAATTTCCTATTTTGCCACTTAAAGTTGTTCTCTTTAAAATGGTGTAAAAATTTGTATATCTTACAATTCAAAATATTTTCGACTATCATTTAATAAAATAATAAGTGTTTACTGAAAGTTAAATTTTGCAAGGAATTATCTTTGGATAAACAAATTTTTTAATTGCGTGTAAAACAATTATAATTCTACATTTCCCAGAATGCGGCTGCATCCTTTATTTTGGGAGTCAGAAATCTGAATCTGTAGAAAAAAAGCTATGTTTATTCAGAGAAACTACGTTTTCGTGTCTGATTTCGTAGCCAAAAGTATCATCTGCATTAATTAATTAATTAGCATATTTGAAGTCATCCCCTCAATTGAGTTACAAAATCAGACATAAAAATAATCTGCTCCTTCAAAATTTTTTGAAACCCTGATTTTGAACTATAACTATATGGGGTACTCACTATATGGAAAACATGGTTAAAATAAAAGGGAAGCGACGAGAAATTCCACACACTATTGTACTTAATTTTTGAAATTAATTATAGGTATCAAAACTTGTTTGCGCAAATTTATAAACTTGTTTTCTTTTAATAAAAACATATAATAATTATTCATAAGAATTTGCTCTGAATTTTAAGGTACATGAATGTAGGTATGAACCTTGAAAGTACAAGGTACACGAATGTAGATATGAACCTTGAATGTTCAAGGTACATGAATTTAGGCATGAACCTTGAGTGTACCTTGTACATTCAAGGTACAAGGAAACTATTTCACCAACTTTGCTTATGTATTACATTTAGTCATAAGAATTTTAAAGAATAATAAAAAGGTTTGACTACTGCTAAATCATGTAAAATTATTATATAAATATTAAAATGGCTATTTTTTCTTAAATTCTGTCAGAAAAAATAAATTTTAAGGCTGATAAAGTTTTCTGATTTACGAAATTGTAAATTTTGTTTATTCGGAGATAACTCCATGCAAAAATCCTTTTTAAGAATAATAATTATTTTTGGTTCTTTAATTGAAAAAAAGTTTTTTTTTTATTTTGCACACTGTGCTTTTAGGAAGTAACTTTGTTTTATGTTGCATAAAAAGGGAGGTCTTTTAAAAGTTGTTTTTAATTTTTACTACTTTCATTACTTTCTGACTGAGATGTTAGTGTTGGATTCATAATTATTGAAATGTGTCATTAATCATTAGACAGTTATTCAATTTAAAATTGAAATTTTTTTTAAAATGATTGAAGTAACTTATATATGATAAGTTATATATGACCTATAATTTATATTTGACTCATATGCTTTACCACTATTTTAAGTGGATTATGTTTTTCTCGAATAATTTTACTAAACTTCGTGTGTATAAAAATGATTCGTTTTCACGCAAAGTTGTTTCTGATAATTTTCTTTAATTTTCTTCTTTTTTGATAAAAATTGTTATAAAAGAAAACCAGCAGTATTTGTAGTAACTACATATGGTGATTTAAATATTGTAAAACAATACAAGTGACTTACGCGTGATCCATTAAATTGCAGAATAACACCGTAATCGATGAAAATAAAGTAATTTTATTGTGAATTGAGGTAAAATGTTTTTAAGCAAAAGAATTTTGAGGAAAAGAAAAATTACATGTTTTTTTCTTGACTCTAAGACGTCGTTTATTTGCATAACATAGTACTTGTAAATTTTCAGAGTTGCTCAAACTTTGGTTTTTTGGGTATGCTTTTTATTTTTAAAATAATTTCATGTACATAAACGGAAATGTTAAATAATGAATGTATTTTCTTTCTAATTTGTTTATAATCGTTATAATTATAATTTCTTTCTAGTACTTGAATTTCAAAATTGATAATACCACCATTTAAAAAAAAAACTTTTTCTTCACGCTTATTCAATTATTGAATTTAGCATATTAGGAATGTCTCTGTAATAATGAAAAATGTAATTAAGATACTATATCATTCTCGTTCTGAGAACAATTACAGTTTATTTATTTTGAAGCTATCAATCAAAACATTTCTGTATTGAAGATCTTGATAATGATTTAGAAACAGTTTTTAAAATTATAAATAACATATTGTTAAAACACTGTAAATAATTCATCGTTAAATACTTATAATATTTATCAATTCTTCGTTTTATGCTACAACTATAATTGAAGAATACAAATTATGAAAGAAATATTTAATTTTGAGATGGGTCAATGAATTTGAACTACATATTTTCTGGTTTTTCCCAAATATTTAAAAAAAATATGTACATATATTCATATATTGTTATTAAATTCAACAAAGAAATACGGCTGATACGTTGTTAAAAATAATCCAAATATTGCTAACAATATTATATAAATGCTCTATAATTCTATTCTATAACATTAGATCTGTTATTGCTTTATTTAAATCAGATGAGTTATCATTTGTTTAAAGACTTAAAGTCCAAACTTTTTTTGTTTTTGCAAATTTTGTATTTAACAGTCAAATGAAAAGGGTTTTAAGAGAATTTAAAAGGAAACTAGAACATAGAAGAGTTCCGTTTATTTGTGTTTTTGACAAGTATTTACAAAAATGAACAGTATTTTACACACTTCTTTTTAACATTCATTTATAAACGGAAAAACTTCACCGCCTTTCAAATGTTTCTCTTTTCGAATTTGTCTATAGAATAAAGGGTGGTGATTTATCTTTTCAAAGATGATTTCATGAATAATGCAAGCAGAGAAAAAAACATGGTTTAAAAAGAGGTACTTTTTATTAAAAAATAACTAATGTACTGCTTTATTAGTTGGGTAAGTTAACTTTATTGATAGTGGTTGATAGCACAAATATCTTATTAATTACTGTAAAGGATAAAAGTAATTAAAAAATTCTATAAATATTTATTGAATACGTTTTATAAATCCTTATACGATAAGTATAAAGTCAATATCAAAATGATTATTTGCATATTATCTTATTAATTATTATAACTGCTTAGTTTTTAACGAAATTATCAAAAAAAAATTCTATGTTAAATTTATTTATTCATTAGGCATTTAATAAGAATAAGATGTTAATATTAAATAGTAGATTATGTTTTTAATATATTTCTTTTGGGTACAAGACGTATTTTGAAATATGTAAGGAATTAAATACTTGTACATTTAGAATAAACGTAAATGATATACGAAATCTGCGCATTTGCCTTAAATTTGATGTAAAATAAGAATTTATGTAGAGAATTATTACTTATATTTTTTTATTTGTAGATGAAACATACTGAATATTAATGAAAGTCAATATACTTAGTCCACAGCATATATAAAAATTCTGGAAAGTGAAATGTTTAGTTTTTAAAGATGAGTGTTTGCGTTGCTTGTACTTACTACTCGTATAAAGTGTATTGTGTTATTTTGAATGAATAGTTATTTTAATTTTAATGTAATTTTCTAATAATATTTAAATAACAAAAACATTCCTCGGTGTGCTTTTCAGAAAAACTGTGTATGGACAACAATAAATTTATTATGCATAATAAACAATTGAGATGGAATTAGTAACACGGAATAGTTTCGTAATTACTGTTTTTATTATATACAGTACAAAATACAGTAAATTTAATATATATGATATACATAGCACAGTCGTGAGCTATACGCAAAATATAGTACTTTCATTAATCATGATATACATTTGAGTTAGAACAATTAACATGCAGCAGTTTCGTAATAACCGTATTTATTACGCAGTTTTAGAATCCTTGACAAAAAATTGTGCTCATAGAGGGTTTCAAATAAATATTTAAGCGTATCAAAAACTGATGAAACAAGATTTACGACGGTGTGGTTCGAAACTTCGAAACTTGTCAGATTACAGCGTGAAACTTGAAGGTGTTTCTTTCTTAAAAGTGTCTATTTGAAACTTGAAAGCTTTCCGTTCCCTTTCAAAACATTGAAACAGGTTTGGATAAAAGGTTAAGATTTCGATAGATTGATCGATAGATTTAAGATTTTTCAATATTAACTATAGTTTTGTGAACCTCTGTGCAAATTTTTTTTACTTTGAATTCGAAAATAATTTTGAAAATATACATTAAGGGTAGTCATTACGAGCACACAGCATCATTTCAAATAGGATAATAAAGGTATGAGTTTGGAATAAAATTATGATATTTCAAAAATAAGTGGAAATGCTTTGCTGTTATGGATTTAATGTTTCTGTGCCTCGAAGAATTTCAATCATTAATGCTCATCGTTTTTATTTTATTTTTTAAAATAATTATAAAAATATACATTAAGAATGATAAGGAACACCCATTATCACATGGAATACGATAAAAAAATGTATGAGTTTGGTCTCAAATTACACTTTAAAAATAAAGTAAAATGTTTTGTAATATTAAGCTGAAATTGATTCAAAGTTTCGGTGATTTCAACCATCAATGCACACTTTTTGTTACTTTATTTTTGAAAATAATTCCAAAAATATACATTAAGGATGGAAATTACAAACGCCCAGTATCACTTGTAATACGATAAAAACAGTACGTTCAGCTGTAATAGATTTAATGTTTCTATGAGAAAATTATTATTAATATTATTATTTTTATTTTTTTAAATATAGGGTTGACATTCAAGTAGCATGATGTTGAAGGTATTTATTTTTCTTATCTTTGGAACTATTTCTTGTTCTGCTCTACATCTAAACATTACTGATGTTGGAGAATATGGGAGACAAAACGTGTGGAGAAAAACGTTGTGCGGTGAGTTAGAATAAAATTTTACCGGCATTTTTTTTATAACTTATTAAAACAATAAAATGTATTCTTTTCTACAGCTAAATATAATTATTACGTACAATGAATATTAAGAAAAGTCATCATGAAGCATTCAAAAACTTTAAAATTTATTAAAAGATTTACGAACTCAACACAATGTAAAAAATCCCGGATCAAATTACTATAAAAAAACTGGGGCTCTAGGTTCCGGTACATTTTACCGTAGTCCATTTTTACGGGAGCATATTATAGAACAAAAAATCTGATAGACCATAATTTTTATAGTAATAATTGCCATGATATCACAAAATGACTCTTATTAAATAAACATTTCTGTTTAAATTACGGAACAATATTTTTACGGTAAAAATAGATTTTAAGGATAATGCCATCAAATACCGTAATTTCGATCCGGAATTTTTTACGGTGTAGTATGTTTGGATTGACACTTTAATTCAAATATGAAATTAGGTTATACAAAAATAAATACAAATACAGTAGTTATTCATTCATTAATTATTTGTAGAAAAATTTGATACTGTTCAGAAACGGTTTAAATATAAAGTATACAAAAATTGAGTCACTTTGACGAAATTCAAAATTCAAAATAAACTGATTGAATTGTTCCTGAATTGGGTACTTGCACTTCAAGAAGAAGCAAAAAAGGAGAAGATCACGAATATCCGCACATATGACCTATGATGTCAGCTCCAGATGATCGTTTCTAAGCAGAATGGCGTATTTAAGTTGAGCTAAGTTTCTCCACATAATTTAGAATGTCAATTAACATGAAGTTAATTAATTACAGCTCCGTCATGAGCATCGATACTTGACGGGCTTGGCATACATGAAATGGAATGGAAGGAACAGTTGCTAACGTTAGCAAATGCACTATTCAACAACCAATCAGGATCAAGATACCTGCTCTACGTCATTTGCAGGAATCCCATTGAGTGAAAAACCAAGAATTAATGTTTTCAATTTTGTAGCTCAGTATTGAATTAGACTTTACTCTAATTAGACTTTACTTTAGAGGATGTTTGCAAGTGTTTATAATAGTAGAGTGGCTATAGTTGCTTCAAAGGCAAGAAAATGGCAATAAGTAAAAGATTTGGCATTTCTTGATGTATAAAAAAACAAAAACAATTCGAAATAAAAGGTCTCTTTTTTAAATTTCTTTTTTATTTTTTTAAAAAAAGAACCATTTTTAATAAAAAAATTGTATTTTTTTTGTATTATTAAAAGTTATCCATAAAAAAATGAATGACGATCATTAAAAAAAGCATAAAAGCAAATTTTTTAAGCACATCCATCTGTAATATCTATCTTGAAGCAAACTTATAGAGCAAAAAATGTCAGGAATAAAACTTTTCACAAAAAAATAACTTAAATTTATTTACAGAGAAACATAGTGATGTTCTTTACTCAGATATGGAAAAATGCTTGCAGTTGGAGCCCAAAGCAGTAAGTAGTTTTTTAAAACCCTTTATTGTTTTTTCTAAATAAAAAAAGTTAAAAATTTGTAATCCAAGAATATTTTTTAAGCAAAAACATTGTGCTTCAGTATACCTAAGAAAAATGCATTAAAGTGAAGAAGTGACGATAGTTGTTTTGTCACTTTGACGAAATTTTTGCTTCGTGCATATACAGTCAAACCCCGCTATAGTGAACACGGTTTATAGTGAACTCCCGGATATAGTGAACCAAATGTTCGGTTCCGTGCCTTGCTATACACGCATAATGTTATTTTTTATGGATATAGTGAGCCAAAAAAGTGAGGAAGTTGGATATAATGAACTTTTTTCTATCTTCGACTGATTTTTTTCTTCATTTTTTTTGTAATAATTTTGAAATTTTTACTTCAAAATAAATGCATATACCGATTTTTAAAGAGATTTATAGAGGGGAATGTAGTGATAAGCATTTTTTTCTCGTTTGCTTCTTTTATTTCACTCTTCCATCCCTAAACAAACAAAGCAGATGTTTCCAACCTAGGCAGATGATGCACCTGTAAGGTGTCAGTGGGATCAATATGCATTTTCTATCAGATGGAATGAGTAATTATTTATTATTGGTCAAAGGATTTGACACTAATATGTGTTGATAAGGCCCTTATTTCAACTTAACTTCTTCAGTTAAAACAAAGCCTGCAAACAAGTGTCTCAAATTTAACTATGGCGAGCAGTAAACGTAAAACATTCTCCATTGATGATAAAATGGGTATAATCAGAAAAATTGAAAATGTATGCGATCAAACTGATATTTTCAGGGAATATAAACTATCCAAATCTGAAATTTGTAATATATGGAAAAATAGGCAATTAATAATTTCTGCTCATGAAAAAAAATTTGATGGCAGAAAAAAGTTGAGAAAAGCAGATCACAAGGATGTTGAAGAAGCATTACTAAAGTGGTTCACCATTCGAAGAAGCCGCAATCTTCCAGTATCTGGACAAATGCCGATGAATTTGCTAAGTGCTTTTATGAGACTACTTTTATGTGCTCGAATGGCAGGTTAGACAGGTTTAAAAAGCGGAATAACAGAAATTCAGGAAAAATTATCTGAGAGTCGGGAAGTGTTTCCATATCTGATGTTGAGGATTGCTCATCAGCTAAAGATTAATAATTTTTTTTTGTACGCAAGACGAAGAGTAATGAAAAATAACACATTTTTTGCTACTACATAATATTTTTCAGTCATTTATTTGAATAATGAGTAATAAAAGGGAGGAGTTTGGGAATCATTAGTTAAATTGCCAGCGTAACGGATATAGTGAACACCCGGTTATAGTGAACCGAAATTTCGGTCCCTTGAAGGTTCACTATAGCGGAGTTTGATTGTAATAGGAAATAGTTCCGTCAAAAACGAAGAAAGTTTCGTGAAATTCTAGTTTTACTGTGCATTATAAAGCTATATTTTTTAATTAATTTTGCCGAAATAATTAAAAAAGTGTTTTGGTTTTAATTACAGAACTCTTTAGTGTTCCCATAAAACCAGAAGCACGGTAAATTCATATTCTGGTAATTGTGACCTAACTTTTTTTCTCATTGCATATTACTTTAAGTGAATACGATAAGAGAAAACTGATTTTCTGTTCAGAAAAGCAATCAGATCGATGTTAGAAGAAAACAAATGTTAAAACCGAACACGCACTGATCATAATATGGTACCAGCATACAATTTAAATTCAAGATTATAAGCATCAAGAATATAGAAATTATGGTAGCTAAAAAAATACTAAAATTCTGTTTTGTTGATATTTTTAGCAAATTAAAGGTAAAGTAAAACTTAAAAGGATATAACGGGACAATAAATTACTTTTCTCGCAGTTTCGTAAATGGCATAGATCAGTGGTTCCCAAATGGCGTTCCGCGAAACCTCAAGGTTCCGTGGAAGGGCTACAGGGTTTCTGAGGGTCAGAACTTTTTTTTTTTACCAGCTTTGAATTTCGGAATCTGTAACTAAACTTGTATCCGATTAATTTTCCATTATTTATTTAATGTTTTTGTTATTTTTTATGAAATTGTTTAATTAAATGCTTGTGAAAAAAGAAAATCAAAATAAAAAAAAATCTAGACAGTATTTTAAATGAATAAGGAAAAGGAATGAATTATGAAAGGGAAAAATTTAAGAATATAGAACAAAAATAATCAAATTCAACAACGAAGAAATGTATCTCTCTAATGATCATTCTTAACATTTATATTGATTCTTTTTCACTCGGTTCAATGTTTATGTTGTCTTTATTTCAATGAAAACCAAGTTTTTGCTCATGTATATTCAATTTATACAAACACTAAGTCAGAAGACCACGTACAGCTTCAGACCCGTAAATTTAACTGTTTGACATTAATAAAACGATGCGATTCAAATTTGTTATTTATTAATTATTCATTAAATATTTTTAAAATAATTAATAAAATTTCAAACATTAAATATTTTCATTAATTTATAAATTTACTTAAAGTCGCAGGGTTCCGTCAAAAGTTGATTGATCATTTAGGGTGAGGGGATTTAATTATAGACTGTGTCAACCTTCATCTATCAAAAGGTACCTCGTGATTGAATCAAGTTAACATGTCTTATATACCAGTGAATTGATGTTTAATATTTGTAGTGGTAGTTACGCCACAAACTNAATTTATTGTTTTGTGGTGAAGCTACCACTATGAAAATTAAATACCAATTCACTAGTATATAAGACATGTTAACTTGATTCTATCACGAGGTACCTTTTGATAGATTTAGGTTGACATAATCTATAATTATATCCCTTCATTTAATATTTATAGTGCTAGTTACGCCACAAGGGTTTCATAACCGAAAAAGATTGAAACATAGATGATCAATCGCATGCATAGATAACTTTTATTAATGTATTTGTATTTTCTTTTATAGCTTCTAGGAGCTCTGGATGAATGTTTCACAGAAGTTGTACCCCAAGCGAAGACTGTTATAGCTGCCTATGTTACTGCAGCTTGTGAGAAAAAGGAGCTTTTCCTTAAAGTATGTACGATCTGTACGAATTAGTGTTTACAGTTTTTGTGAAAAAGATGTTTTATGCAGTCGTTCATTTCGTTCGTAGTGTGAACAGGGATTTTAATTTTCTGATACACTGTGTTTGCATAAAGTCTGGGTGCACTTTTATCCTGTGATTAGGCAAAAGTGCACCATGACTTTACGAACATATAGTAGAAATAAATACAGATATTAATCTATTTATGTACTTTCGTAGGTTGATAGTTGCATGGAAGAATATGAAGCTAATGTGGGCTTGAAAAAACAAGTAAGTTTAAATAATTTTAAAATAAAATCATTAAAAATGAAAAATGAAAAAATTAGAGGTATAAAACAAAGTTTAAAAAAATGTTAAAAAATATTAAGCTAGATTTAAAATCGGCTTGATTCAACAAGAAATCGGCGTGTGTTTTGTATTTTTAACGATAATCGAAACTTAATGTTTTATACTATTTTTCATATTATTTTGCATATTTTATATTTATTATTATTATTATGTCCTTTATTTTTATGTTTATACAAAAGAAACATTTTAATCAAAAGGATAAAGGAGTGGGAAATGCATTTTTAAAACTTTTTTCAGTTTTAGATTTTTATGCAAAAACTATACGAATCTTTTCATATAACTTCAATGAAAGTTTTTTTAAAAACGTCAACATTTATTTTTAAGGAAAAATTATATTTTCAAATTATGATCAAACTTAAATACGATGCTTCAATATTACTTTTGTTTAGTTTATTTCTAGAAATATAAATTTGTTAAATTTCTTTCAGAAATTTTGCTATGAATGTTTAAGGAGAAGTTTAAAAATTTACTAAAATTAAAATGCATTATTATTTTCTTTTTTAATGTTTTTTTAAAGCTATAAAATAAAATAAAAAAAAGCGTAATTACGTATTTATTGGTGACAAATTTAAGTAAAATGGTGGAATGACTAAAACATATATGATCAGAGTTTTGACGCAATTAGAAAAAAAGAAAATGAGAAAGAGAAAATTGCCTTCAATGTTTGTGGTTTTGCTGCATCACACTTAAGTGAAAATTACTTCAGCTTGACTTAGTCAATTTATTTCCATAGATCGAATAGTAAACTTTCTTATTCAAGTGAAATTATTTTCTTAGATTTATTTATAGAGTGATGTTGCTGCATTACAATGATTCAGCGTTAAAAAGAGATATAATGAAGAAAAACAAACTCTTCTATTGAGACATGAGATTATAAAAAAAATTTGCATGGCAAGAAATATATATTGGTTACATTTTCATCGTCAAGTGCCTTTTTATATAAATATTGGTCGCATTTTTTCAGATTTCTGCTAGATTTCTTAGTCCTAGAGAATCACTAAATTTTTTTTCCATGAAATTTATATTTTTTCTACTAATTTTTTTTATTTATATAAAATGTATTTACTTTTCTATATGTTAGGAATATATATTTACACTTTATGCATGTATTACTTTTTTGTTATTTCAGATGGAAATGGGAAAAGAAGCTGAGGTAAGTGCATGTATATTAATAAAATGTTAGTTTGAATGAAAATAATTCCCGGATTTTAGAGATCAGCTGCTTCATAGAATTAACACTGCTCTGTACATAAATAAATATACTGAAAATATGTAACGTTTACAATAAATCTCCATTTAAAAATACGATATCTCAGAAAAAGATGCATGCTCATTTTGGTTGTAATAATGCAGTACCTTCTTCAGTACGCTGTAAAGGGTTTCGTGTATCTGAACGGCAAAAATGGTTGCAACTATATTTTGTACCAAAAGGGTGTTCCCCTGCACCCAAAACCAATGATAATTCTTGGTATAGTTAAGCAATTAGAATGTCCTTTCAAACTATTTGGCTTAAAGTAGCCATCATAATATTTCTTAATGAGTAAAGCTAAAATTTATAATTACAGTAAGATATGATACACAATTTTAATACACATAATTTATATTTATAATATAATAAACATAATTTGTAATTATAGTAAGATATAATATAGAATAACGTAAAATTAGTAGTTATTTTAACGGGACTACGCAAAGTAGGAATCAGCATTTCAGGTTTGATACACGCGGCGTGTATACTAATTCTTGAAATAAAATTAGTTTGTAAATCAAACATACGAGATCACTAAGACGAATTCGAACTAATTTAAAAAAGCAGAGGCAGATAGAAATTAGACATTTTGAAATTATTTATTGCAGTTTACAAATGCTTAAAAATTAGAATATAAATATCCTTATTACACAACTAAAAACATACATACATATTTTAACGTCGAATTTTAAATCTCATAGATTAAAGGAGCATTGAAGATAATCACAAGCACTCTCCAACTTGTTATCGATTGTAAACAATTACAGATGATGTCAAAAACACGCCAACGCTGTAGTTTTTATCGACAAAAATATTTATTATATGATACATGATCTTGGTGCAAACGTAAGCCTTTTGCATTTTATGTGTTTACAGCTTTCATACACCGAATTGCATACGAAAACTTGATTTGGTGTTAACTTAAAAAAAGTGTTCACCACAAAAATTTCATAAAAAGTTTTTAAATTAAAAAATTGGAGTTAATTAAGTTAATGCTATTAAATTATTCTATATTTTAAATGGATTGTTATCCAGAAACAACGGAGAAACATAAGTTCTCTAAATTCAATATTTTTATTCTTTTTTTGACAGAACCTTATATTTTTCCAATCAAATTTTTATGCAGAAGGATAGTTAGTAGATAGTTAGTACGGATAATAGAAAAAGATAGTTAGTTAAAAGCAGAGTTCTCTGTTAAAACGTCAAAGAAGAATAACTTTTCTGAATTCTAAAGTCTTATAATTTTTGCTGATTTTGCTTATTTTTTTCTTGAAAGATTCTAATTTAAAAGCAGCAGTGAAGCTTAACATCTCTTAATTCTATTCTTTTATATGTATTGTTTTTATCAGTTTAAATTGTTTTCTTTTTTATAGGATTGTTATTTTGTAGCAGCAAAGAAGCATAACTTGCCTGAATTGTTTTTTTATTTCGAGAGTGCTCCAAAAAGCTAAATTTATTGATCTCAAACATCAGAATAAAGTAGCAAAACTTACCATAAGCAATAAATTTCTATAAAAAAATTGTGCGTGTGTATTTTATTCAAATTGTTGAACACCATTCATAAAATTACAGCTGCAAACACAGAATTCAGTTAATACTACTAAATACCGTCTCTTGTAAAAACATTGCACAAACTACCTACCGATTCATGAAAGTTCTCTCCATATATTACATTCCGTTATGTGTTTGTTTTAAATGTGATTGTACTATAAAATTTCGTCATTAAGATGGCGAAAACTCAATTAATACCATTGATGAAATGTATATTCAAATAAGAAATTATGTTTTCCTTATCAACATGAATTTGAAAAAAAAAATATTATTTTTTCTTTCTATAGTAAAAAGTTTTTGCAAAAAAAAAGCATTTCGATTTGAGCGAAACAATATATTCAGAAGAAACTAGTGTTAATTTGAAAAAAAAAATACATGCGTTAACAATCCTAAAAAATCTAGAAAAGATGCCCTAATGTAGAAAATTTCTGAAGTAGTACCAAAACATGTTAAATACATAAGTTCAATTTGTTATATTCTTGAATCATGGTTATTTTGAGAAAATTGTATTTAAAAAAAATTGCAGGACATTTTTTTCACTCCCATTTGAGAAAAATTGGGCACCTTATTGACGAACTTTAAAATTTCAAGTTTTTTCTGCAGTCAATGGAAGACCTTCATTTTCATATTGTCGTCTTCGCCTTTCGTATATGTTACAGATTGTTTTTGGTTGACTCCACAATCACCTTCTGTTACAATAGGTGTGTCGTACATATTTGTTTGTGTGTTGTACATACTTGTTAGTGTGTCGTACATACTCGTAGGTGCGTCGTTTTTCAAATTTTATTTTGAAAATGTAGTACCCGACAAATCTGGGCCAATACGCAAGGACATTAGAGAAAGAAAAATATTTCTCAAATCAAACAATATGTAATATCAACTCAAAATTTCGAAATTTTGATTAAAAACAACAAAATTATTATTAATTTTAGCTAGGTAAAAATGTTTCTATAAATAGGTAAGGACCCCTTCTGCTAAATCCTTAATATTTTATAAGAGACAGCGATGTCTTCTCTGGAAGTTGAAATGGAATGCAAATTCGTTATACAGATACTGTACTCAGCTCACTTGGCCAGTGATGCTAGTGATTCAGGGTCTACCAAGTATAAGTACAGCCCCCTAAGGCAACTAAATTATTGCAATTCAATAAACGCACTAAAGGGAGAACAAGCTTTAATGCTACATCCCCTATTTTAGTTACATTTATCTGCTAGTTTAATTGACTGTTTTCTGCTAAAATTGTCATAAATTGGGGTTTTGATTAAAACTAAGACAGGCTTGTGAAAAAATCGTACAATGGCATCTAAAGAATCACAGCGGTATATTTGAACGACTGCTTCTGTAATCAAATTTAATGTCTGTTTTATCGCAATTGCGTGGTCCGGAAGATGGTTAAAGACCATCTTGGCACAATATTGTTTCGAAATGAAAGCTTTTCAAAGAGCTCTCTGGGCATCTTTCATTTGACCCTGAGGACTGGCGCTTTGGTAATTAGACAGAAGAGGGATTTCTCATTGAATCATGGTTGCGTATTCCTTCTCTTCAAAGTTCAGCTATGCAATGTCATAACATCAAATGGAATGATGAAGATTCTCAACATCATCTTATAGGATTCTTATTAGGTGTGTTTTGAGGAACAACAAAAAAAATACAAGTCATCTTGGCGAGAAAAAAATTTTCTTGGAGTGAAAAGTACTCATTATTCTGGAAGTATGAATAGACTTCGAACTTAAAATCTTTTGATAAATATGTAGACCGGAAATGATTTCAAATACTAGTTCAAAAGCCTTAGCTATGGAGGACGGCGTCCTTATAATGTAATTTATATCACACTTTCTAAGATTTTTTTTTTTTTATTCTTATTTGCTAAGTCAATCTAAACAAACAAAAATGGGAACATGTACAATGCTCCAATTCAGTACTTTTTCTAAACTCCGCCTTCCAGTCGCAATTATTAACTCCTTATTAATTAATCTTAAAATAATTTAAATTGAAATACATGAATTAACATAAATTAATATTGTGATGCCATTATAAGCAATATAAATTTCCTTGCCTTTAAAATTTCTTTGATTTCATTTTTTTTAAATCATTCATAATCTAATTTTAATAAATTCATTCATTCACTGCCGACTAAATTGAAAACAAAATCTTTTTGCAACTTTTTATTCTCTATTTCTCTTACCACGCAAATGTTTCAGTTACAGGGTTATACAAATTTTCACGATCCTTTATGGCGATTAGCGATAGCCAAATTATTTTAAATTTAATATTGATAGCGGGAGATTGGCTTTGTGTTTGGCTATTTTATCTTTTGATAAATCGACAACCATAGATCTCTACCCAGGCTCCTACTATACAATATTTCGCACTTGAACTTTTAAGTAAAAGGTTATGCAGCCATGATTCAATGTAACTTTACTATAGTATCTATTATTTTCGCTGGGTAATCTAGGTCGTGGCTCAGCAGAGTGAAGGAATTTAAGCAGAAAGAAATGATAACCAATCATTAGAAGTGCAGATATATAGGAAGATAGAAGATTGTCTAAAATCATTAATTTGATAATATATTTCATGTTAAATTGAAATTCAAAGGTAGATTTATTTTGTTAAGTATAAGCAACTCTAAGAACTAAGCTCTTAGTTTTANACAACTACAACCGCAAAAAATTTCGTCTCTTTAAATATAAATAAATTAATATAAGTAAATTGATATAAATAAATTGATATAAATAAATTAATATAAATAAATTAATATAAATAAGTTAATATAAATTAAAATAAAATGTAATATTACAAATATCTGAAAGTCTTTTCATTTAGTTATTTTTTCATATTATAATTTAAAAAAAATTGTGCCAAGTCTAAGCTCGGGCGTATTTTTAAATCTTGCAGGGAGGCTCACCTAAGTCGATGTACGCCACTTTTTTTTTCTTTCCTCCAAGCCCTGAGCATGTACGTAGGTTATGAAAAACCCTTAACCATATAGCCCAGGACTTGGCCACTAGTCCAGATCACTCCAGCCTAGAAACGGGTACCTACTCTATTGCTGTGTGCTTTAATCCAGGAAATTTATATTGATGTGTGTTGAAGTTCCTGTTGAATATCAAAAGAAATTCTATTATTTGTGCCAAGTATTGATGATATTGATACTTTTGAGTCTTACCAGATGATATAACTATCATTATTATTGAAGTTTTCAGTGCTCTTAATATATTTAATGCATTCAAAGATTGCCAACTGTTCGGCTTGAAAGATTGAATTTTCCCTGTCTAATGTGTAAAGAAAGAAAGAAATTTTTTTTTAGAGCTATCTAATAATAAGGAAATTTTTTTTTTATAAATTCCTTGAAGCAAGGGTGAAGATGTCAGAAATCTGTTCTTAGTTATATAAAGTATATTTCCAAGCGTTTGCAGGTTTGCTAGCTGGTTGACAACGGTTAAAAAGTGGAATCTCAACTCTGAATGGATTGACGAAACTCCTTCAGTTCAGTTCAGTCAGTTGGGCAGGATGAAGAGGAGGCTCTGTGGTGACAGTCCAAATTTAGGTTGAAGTCTTGGTTAGATGAATGGCAATTTATGCAATATTCTTCCCTTTCTGTGCAGTTTTCAACACTATGGCCTTTGTAGCCGCATTTCTCACAATAACAATGAGACTCCGTACAGGAGTTTTGATGGTGTCCAATTGTTTGACATTTTCTGCATCTGAGTAATACTAGTCTTTTTTTGATGGTGCACCTATGAAGTCCAGTGAAAAAATGTTGAAGTTTTAGAAGTGTTGTGGAAAGTCTGTGGTTGACTCTGATGATGATGTGACGCTTTGTGCTGCCTCTTTTATAGGATATCTTTTTAGTTAGTTTTATGACATCGTAGTTTGGATTTACGCCACTATATAACATTCCACACGTGAACTTTTAAGCAAAAGATTATGCAGTCATGATTCAATGTAATATTACTACAGTATCTATTATTTTCGCTGGGTAATCTAGGTAGTGGCTCAGCAGAGTGAAAGAATTTTTAAGCAGAAATAAATGACAACCAATCATTAGAAATGCAGATATATAGGGAGATAGAAGATTGCCTAAAATCTTTAATTTGATAATATATTTCATGTTAAATTGAAATTCAAAGGTAGATTTATTTTGTTAAGTATAAGCAACTCTAAGAACTAAGCTCTTAGTTTTAAATTCCTGTTTCTAAATAATCCCACAGCATAAACAACGTTCCAGAAACAATCTTAAACGCTCTCAAATGTGTTGTTGTAATGCCACTAAATATAATGTTTTCATAGAATATAAAGTATTTTGGGCATGTATTTTTTGAAGAATTTAATCTTTTTTTATCGATGTGCTTAAAACGTGTTATTAGTACCTTCTGAAAAAAAATTCCTACTGTTTTATGCTGTTTTTCTACGTGTTGTTTGAAATGTAGCGTATTGTCATTCTGCTTTGAAAAATTAGATTATGTCAAATGAATGTAATTATTGACTTCTGTAATAAAATAAAATCTCCTACTGCATCACGTTGATTGGAATTTGTAATTGTGATGCATTATATATTTCTTACAGGCATTACAGGCATTATATATTTCTTAGCTTTTAAAACTTCTTTAATTTCATATAAAATTTTTTTAAAATTTTATTTTTAATCTTACTATTTTTAAATTAAACCAATTACTTAATTTGTACCACATCTTATTAAAAAATGAACGTAAATGTTTTAATTCTTTTCTTAATAATAAATATAAGGGCTAACTTTTTAATTCAATATAAGTATTTATTACAAGTTCAATACAAGTTTAATTCATTAAGTCAGTGTTGTGAGTAATAGAACTTATCGACTATTAATTACTAATCGAATCGCAATATCAAAATTTATTTTTAACTTTATTTTTCTTTAAGCTACTTTATTTCTCTAACCACAAAAATGTTTCAGCTTCAGGGTTGTATTAAATTCGAACTGTCTTTTTGGTGATGAGAATTAGAGTATTTAAAATTTATTATTAATAACCCTGGGTTGGCTTTATTTTTGGATATATTACCTATAAATAACTCACCAATTTTGAATCTCCTCCTATGCTCCTAGGTGTCCATTAACAACTATGCATTTATTGGTAATTTAAATTTCTTGGTGTTAGGATGTTGTTGGATGTTTGATGTCCCCTCAATCCGACCATTAAAAATTTTTTATATATACAATTTAATGCCTAAAAAGAAACTGTCTTCGCCTCTCTACAAGAGATGTCTTAACATATTATTTTATTAATACAATATGCTTTTGAAGTTTCAAATGTGGTTATATTTGTTAATTTTGAAAATGCTGCCTAATAAAGAAGGATGATTTTTTTTGTTTCATCAAAAATATAAATCACAAAAAATAATATTTTTTATTTTGTTTTGTACATACAATTATTGGCATAAAATGTACAAACAATATTGTGAATTGTAGCTTACTGTAGTTGTCTAACTGGCATTTCTAGTTACAGGTTTTTCCATCTACTTAATATCGTATTTCTTGTTCATCTCTTCGTAACAAGCCTATTAAAAGTCAAACAATATTAATAAAATTTGTAGAGTGCTTTATTATGTAATATTAAAGAAAAATAAATCCATATCATAATATAAGGCAATGGCTGCATGGACATAACGAACATGAAAGCAATATGAATAATATATATTTAAACTAGGAAGGATCAAAACTAAACACACCAAAATGCTTCCTAACATCAATGATAGGAGAAAGAAATCTAGAAGTTAACACAAAATCTAAGATACTATTCGATATGAAATGATTATTTGACCTGATTTAATTACACAGTCACCGAAGGAAAATTATTGAGGCTAAGCAATAATAACAAAATCTTAATAATTTCAGAAATTTGAAATTTGCGTAAATTTAATACAGTACTGAAAATAATATTTTGAATTATTCATAGAGTCAATTTAAACCCAGCAGCTTTCTCAAACACTTAAAAAGACTCCGAATAAAATTACGGTAAAAAGTACCAGCATTTTGAACATTTCATCCGTAAAATCCATTATCATTGTAAAACAGTATACAGTAATTTTTATAATAATATTTATTTAATTAGAGTTATTCAGTTATTTTACGGAAATTATTGCTGTAAAAATTACGGTACATTAGATTTTTGTTCCATAATATGCTCCTGTAAAAATGGGGAAAAGTAGTATAGCATTTCTTCAAGCTTAATTTGTTTGAATGATTAGTTGTTATTATTATACTTTCTGTCCCGGACTCGGGACTGAACGTTTCAAATGACACAGTTTTCTGTTTTTGAAACCAAAAAGTTTTTCCCGTTTTTCTTACAATGTAATTTTACTTTTTTGGAATACGGTATAAATATTTTTTTCTTTTAATTTTTTATTCAGAGAAATCGAGTGTTCTAAAGAAATGTTACAGACCAATTGATTCAATATTTTCAAAAAAATATTAAAAAGAATATTAAAAATTAAAAAAAGAATGTTAAAAATTAAGTTATAAGTCAAAAGCAATTATAATTTTTAAAATCACGGATAGTAGCAATTTTTTGAATAATTAGAGTTAAAATGTTTCATAAAAATGACATTTTTAAAATATTATTTTAAAAACCACTGCACAAAATCTTATAAATATTAAAATATGTTAAGAGAAAGAAAATATGTAACAAGAACACAGAATTTAAAAAAAAGCATATACTTATAAAACAGCAGTTCAATTTTAAAACAATCGTGCTTTTATAATTATATATAACTTTAAAAATAGCATTTAAAAGTGCTGTTGTTTCAAAATTTTATTTCTTGAACTCGTTCTTCAAAAATATCAATTTTGATACTTCCAACAAAAAGAAATAAATTAAATAAAAACTTGCCATAAAAATAGATTTAATTAAATCTCTTAGCATGTCTCTATAATGTGGGAACAATTTCTCTTGAAAAAAAGAAGAATTATTCTTATAATAAAATAGAAATTATTTTTTAATACTTTTGTAACAATTAACAGCATTGCATCCTTCTTCAGTTTAGTTCAAATTTTATGACACTCCAATGAAAACAAAAATATTTCTTATTTTATCAAGAAATTTAGATTATATTTTTAATATTGTTTGAAAAAAAATTGGATTGTTTTTTTATAAATATATAAATACACCTAAAATAATTACGTATATTTTTGACTATAGTATTTGAAAAAATGAAATTATTATTCGGAGATTTGAAGAATAATTTTAAATATTTAAAATGCAGGAGTTAAAATAAATTTATAAAGGATTTTGTAAAAAAGGGGAGCTTTTATTGATTAAAATGTTACGTCAGTGTTGCAAAACTTGTTGTTTTTTAAATTTAACTGACACAAATTTCGCAAATACTCCAAAAAAAGATCTTGAAATGGATATATTAAGAAAATACTTACCGCTGAATTTGCAAAGTCAGACTAAAGAAAAAACAAAAACAAAAAATAATTAAAATCTCAAAATACACAAAAAATCTTTTTCAGTTAAGAATAGCTAAGAATAAAAATAATAAAACACGCTATTAAGTATTTTTATTTTCTAGATTTGATTTATGCAATTGCGAATTTTTTTAAGTGATTTTTATCCCCTTATAGTAGAAACGGATTAATTTTGGGAAAAAGCAATCAAAATTTGTTTGGAACTAAATTCTACTTTAAATTGTTTTGAAAGAGTGTGTTTTTGACGTAATTTAGAATTTCACAATTTTTCAAATTTCTGAAACTTCAATATTGATCGTAAAGCTGATCAATGTTCAATAATATTAGGTTAATTTTGGACAACAGTAAAGACAATACAATTATTCATAAAATTATAATAAGTATGATTTACTATTATTGTAATTTTTTTAATCTTTCCATCTTCTCAGAAAACAATCGCCTTAAATACATATAAGTTAAACAGAATTAAAATTAAGAATGCGCAAACGGAATTAAAATAATAAGGGGCAGCATTAGAATTTATCAAAATTATTATGTAACAAACTATAACAATAACGTGCTAAACTATGTGTATAAATTAATAATTTATTTTCAGTATTTAGTTTTAATGGTGTAAAAAGCTATAACCTATCTATTTTTCCAATTTATCAAGAACTCTTTTTTTTGCAGCAACTTATGGTCAAAAATACAACTTACGTCTGGAAATTGGTCCACAGGTAAATCTCTTGTAAAGCACTGGTTAAACTGAAAAAAGAAAATTGCTTTAAATACTTATTTAAATAATGTAATAATTTTGTGAAAGAAACTTTTAAGTTTAAATTTGTTCGCATTCATAATTTTATATTAACTTTATGTATTTCAAGTATAACAAAATTATGGCGATAACAAATAAAAAAAAACTATTTTATAATAATAATGTTTAAAAAAATAATGAATAAAATCTAATATGAGGTGATATTTTTCAGTACAAATACCACAAATTAAAAAAAAATGAAATGCTAAGTTACTAAATAAACAATCGCAACAAACTGAAGCGATAAGATGTTACCTGATCAAAAAATTTATGTTTCAAAAATATATAAGTATCAAATAACAGTCGAAATGATCAAAAATAGGTGCCCATTTTCAAGACTTGTCAAACTTGACGGAGAAGAAATAAAAGTGATTTGAAATAAAAAAAATGCCGGCGAAAAATGAAAAAATAAAAAGGAGAAACTAAACAAGAAAAACCACAGTGGCCGAGAGGGGTTAAATGCATTTTCAAGAGCTAATAAGAGGTAGTGAGGAACTAATGTAGTTAATAAGGGAATTAGCATTCATACGAATAAAACAAGATTCCAGGGCATCAAGATGAGCTGATGCGACCAAGGTGGAAATAATTTTGACATTGTTGAAATTGAATTTATGCTCACGATTCCAACAATTTGCAGCAACTGATGATTCTCGAATTCCTGACAACGGACACATTTATCGTGTTCCTTAAATACTAAGGAAATTCTAATTTAAATTCTAAGGAACACGATTTAAGGAAGTAAGGTACTTTATTGCATTTTGCAATTCGTCTCCATTGATACAATTATAAACTATTTTGAAATGGAAAAATTGATGGACTATTTATTTTGATAATTTCAATACTTTTCTCAGAGTGTTTCTTTAGCACTTTGTATACTTAAACTATAAACATGTGATATAAATATTTGTTGCCATATGAATTTTCTTATCGTTAAAATGAAATAAGTATTGTTGAAAAAATCAGCGTTTAGAAAACTTACACACATTCCATTATTGAAGCGTAATAAAACTAATTGTAATTTGAAAAATAGAAACATAAAACATTTAAATTTATAATAATAAAATATGTGGGTGTGTAAGCGTGTCTCTCTTATAACCTCATAACCCTTTTTGCTACCGTTCTGAAATTGGACAATTTTAGCCCCCGATTCTAAAACACTTAAGAAAATTTCAATTGCATCGTTTGGAATTTTTTCATTGGTTGCCATTGTTTCCATGCAAACTAACCTTTGATGAAACTGTAGACGATAACATCATTGATATTTTCTAGCTTATAGCTCTCATTAATTGAAAAAAGCACCAATTGCACCTTCTATGATACTTGAATAAATTTAATTCGTTATGCCTGATTAGACGGATCATGGGTTAGAGTCCCCTTGCCGTCAGGCTAACCACTGTAAGTTTTCGTGATTTTCTTCTCCATGTAACGCAATTGAGGGTTAGTTCCATCAAAAAGTCTCCAACGAAGGCCAACTTCTCCCGATACCTTATACAGGAGTTCCCTTGTCTTCTGTATTGTGTTCAAAATTACAAGGCTATGGAGTTGAACATTAGCAGTGATAAACCCAAAATTAGATCAGCTGTTCAACGATGGTTATAAAATATAAAAAAATAGAAATATAGGACTATTGAATCACCGAATTATCATTTCTAAATTTATTTGTAACCATGTGCTTGTTTTTTTTGTTGTATTTATGCATTTAAAATGAGTTTCTATAAAACTAAATAAATTGAAATAAATGGTAAATAAAATAATATATTTAGGTATATGGAGAAAAGCAACATTGATAGAAAAATAGTACTAATTTGTTTAAGAGAAACGTAAAAGGCACCATACTATTATGATATTTGATTAATTTTGGTAATAGGTTCTAAATGAAATTAAAATAAAAGTATTTACTTAAATGGATAATTAATAGAGAAATGACACTTAATCGTTTAGATGAAAAGTAAATAATCTTTATACCATTATTGACGTTAAATGATGCTTAATTAACTTAATTAACTTATAGAAATAAAAGAATAAGTTATGTATTTCAAGCAAAATTAATAGAAAAATGATACTAATTCGTTTAAGAGAAATCGCTATATTATTCTAGATGCTAATGATGTTTAAGTAATTTTAATAACATATATTAATTATAACAAAGAAATAAACCGTGTTCTGAAAAGCAAGATTAATGACGAAATGGTTGCTTTATTTAGAAGAAACATGAAAAATCACCGCACGTAATGATGCTTAATCAATTTTGGTAATAGACACTATTGGTATTATGGTAATAGGTTCAGTTTTATTATGTTCCGAATATGCAAATATAGGTATAAAGTATTATATTAGTATATTTGATGCCTATTACAATTGAGCCATTAATGAGTAGTTTCGGCATGGATACTGAGGCAACATATTTTTTACAAACCCTCGAAATAGACAAGTACTGGAGAAATTCTGTTGATTGTGGTAAATTGTGGCTATCATGAGTTGGCCTGTGCACGACCTCAAAGAAGGCCTCGAATAGTAGAAATATGCCAAATGATACTGAATACAGTTCATCTTTATATTGATGAGGTGAACTACTGAAAACGTGTACTTCTTCATCTAACAANTCTATAATTTTAATAAAACAAATAATATATTTGATACCAGATAAATAAAAAAATTATTGACATTGACATAGGAAAAGCATATTGCAGAATTTCGATAACATGCTAGAAAATTTCATACATTTGAATTCAAAGTGCCCACAATGTAAACAAAAGTACGGTTAAAGTTAATTTGGCGTTGCCAAACAGTGTCACATTATACTAATTAAAAAATATTTTATAGAAATATTGATTTGAACATAAAAAAAAATGAAAATAAGCTTGATAACTACAATGTAAACAAACAGACAGCTTATGGAACGTCAAAAGTGCCACGCCCACTTTTCAGAAAAATAGCTATAAAATCATAAAAAATCATCGTATCAAAAAAATTTGAACAACACGTGATTCAGGCTGACTATCTTTACATTTTTAACAAAAAAAATTTTTTTTGAAAATTTTATGATTTCAAGGTCCCGTGTCCCCTTAAGAGACTTCGAATCAAATTACGGTGTATAGTACCAGCATTGTGGATGCATCATCCGTAAAAACCATTTTACCAAAATATCCAATTTCATTGTTAAACAGTATACCGTAATTTTTACAACAACATTTATTTAATAAGAGTGATTCAGTTACTTTGAGGCAATTATAACTGTAAAAATTACGGTGTATTAGATTTTTTGTTCCATAATATGGTCCCGTAAAAATGGTTAAAAGCACCGGCACACCGAGTGAGTGCCGGTGCATTTTACCGTAATTTGATTTGAAATATTATAGTGTGCATAAAGGGTTTAGAAATGAAGCAAAACCAAGGTTGAATGAAAGTTGGAAAAAAATTGATAGTAAAAACAAAAGACTCGAAAATCAACTGAAAAAACTTTTAAATTTTTTTGTGATTTTGAGAATTTTATGCTTATTTAAAACAACTGAAAAACAAATTTTAATGATACTGTCTGCAGTAAAATACATGAGATTTTTTTGAAATAGTTTTGGTATAAATGAATTTGAATAGTTTTAGGTATAATTGAATTTGAATAGTTTTGTAGGTATAAATGAATTTGAATAGTTTTGTAGGTACAAATGAATTTAAATAGTTTTGTAGGTATAACTGAATTTGAATAGTTTTGTAGGTATAAGTGAATTTGAATAGTTTTATAGGTATAAATGAATTTGAATAGTTTTGTAGGTATAAATGATTGAAATAGTTTTGTAGGTATAAATGAATATGTTTCCTTTTTTCTCGATTTTAAATTTGATTAAAATTTAGAAGTAGGATAAAAAAGATAAATTTTATCACTTGATATCCATACTTTTTCATCACTCTAGTTTACCCCATTGCAGGATTTGAGTTATGCAGTAGAAAATGGTACAATCATGGAAAACCGTATGTAAACTTTTATAATTTTCTTTTATCTAAATATAAACGAAAGTAGTTTTAGCATTTCTTTTAGCTTAATTTGTTAGAAAGATTAGTTGTTATTATCATACTTTCTGTCCCGAACTCGGGATCGAACGATTCAAATGACACAGTTTTCTGTTTTCGAAAGAAAGAAGTTTTTTTTCGATGTTCTTACAACGTAATTTTACTTTTTTGGCATACGGATTGAAATTTTTTTCTTTTAATTTTTTTATTCAGAGAAATCGATTGTTCTAAAGATATAGAATTATTTTAGATAGAAAATAAATTTATAAAATATTTTGTAAAAAGGAGGTGTGATTAAAATGTTGGGCCAGTGTTGCAAAACTTGTTGCTTTTGAAATTTAAATAATGCGAATGTCACAATTACACCAAAAATAATCTTGAAATAGATATATTAAAAAATACTTACCGCTGAATTTGCAAAGTCAGACTAAAGAAAAAGAAAACAAAAAAAGATTTAAAATCTCAAAATATACAAAAAAATCTTTTTGAGCTAAGAATAACTAAGAATAAAAATAATAAAACTCGCTATCAAGTATTTTTATTTTCTAGATTTAATACCACGTATTTACACAATTGCGAATTTTACTCAAATTATTTTTATCCCCTTACAGTAGAAACATATTACTTTTGGGAAAAAAACAATCAAAAGTTATAAGGAATTAAATGTCACTTTAAATTTTTTTTAAAAGAGGCATTATTACAATTTTGCAAATTTCTGAAACTTCAAATTTAATCGTAAGGCCGATCAATATATAATAATATTAGGTTAATTTTAGATAACAGTTAAGACAATACATTTATTTATAAAATTATATTAAGTATGATTTAATATTATTATAAGTTTTTTAATCTTTCCATTTTCTCAAAAAACAATCTCCTAGAATACATATGAATTAAACAGAATTAAAATTAATAATGCGTAAACGGAATTAAAATAGTAAGGTGCAGCATTAGAACTTATCAAAATTATTATCCAACCTGCTACAGCAATAACGCGCTAAACTATGTGTATAAATTAATAATTTATTTTCAGTATTTATCTTTAATGGGACAAAAAGCTATAGCAATCTATTTTTCCAATTTATAAAGAACTCTTTTACTCTTTTTATCTTTTTTCTTTCTTTCTTTTTGTAGCAATTGTTATTGTCAAAAATACAACTTACATCTGGAAATTGGTCCACTGGTAAATCTCTTGTAAAGCATTTGTTAAACTGAAAAAAGAAAATTGATTTAAATACTTTGTAAATAATATAATAATTTGTTGAAATAAACTTTTAAGCTTAAATTTAATTGTATTTATAATTTTATATGAACTTAATATGTATTTCAAGCATGACAAAATTATGGCGACAATAATTAAAAAATATTTAATAATATTAATGTTTATAAAAATAATGAATAAAATCTAATATGTGATGATATTTTTCCGTGCAAATACCACAAATTGAAAAAAACAAAGAAAAAAGCAAGCAATCGCGAGAAACTGAAGCGGTAAGATTTTACCTGATTAAAAACTTCATTTGTTTCAAAAATATATAAGTAGCAAATAACAGTCGACATTATCAAAAATGGGTGCCTATTTTCAAGACTTGCCAAACTTGACTCAGAAGTAATAAAAGTTATTTGAAATAAAAAAATGAAAAGGTGCCAACGAAAAATGAAAAAATAAGAAGGAGAAACAAAACGAGAAAAACCACAGCGGCCGAGAGGGGCAAATCAGGGTTGAATGTATTTTCAAGAGCTAAGAAGAGATGTTTAGGAACTAATGTCATTAACAAGGGAATCAGCATTCATACGAATAAAGCAAGATTCCAGGACATCAAGATGAGCTAATACGACCAGGGGAAAAATAATTGTGACATTGTCCAAATCGAATTTATGCTCACGATTCCAACAATGTGCAGCAACTGATGATTTTCCAAATTCCTGTCAACTGGCACATTTATCGTGTTCCTTAATTCTAAGGAACACGACTTAAAGATTTAAGGTACTTTATTGCATTTTGTAATTCGTCTCTATTGATACAAGTATAAACTATTTTGAAATGGATAAATAGATAGACGATTTATTTTGATAATTTCAGTACTTTCCTCCGAGCATTTCTTTCGCACTCTGCATACTTTAACTATAAACATATAATATAAACGTTTGTTGCTATATGAATTTTCTTATCATTAAAATGAAATAAGTATTACTGGAAAACAAAATCAGCATCGTTTGGAAAGTTTTCATTGGTTGCCATTGTTTTCTTGCCAACTAACCTTTGATATGAGTAAAACTGTCGACAATAACATCATTGATATCTTACAGCTTATAGCTCTCATTAATCGAAAAAGGGAGTTTATTGCAGCTTCTTTAATACTTAAATAAATTTCATTCATTATATCTGATTAGACGGATCATGGGTTAGAGTCCCCTTCCCGTCAGGCTTACCACTTTAAGTTTTCGTGGTTTTCCTCTCCATGTAACGCAAATGCGGGTTAGTTCCATCAAAAAGTCTCTAACGAAGGCCAATTTCTCCCGATACTTTATACAGGAGTTCCCTCGTCTTCTGTATTGTGCTCAAAACTACAAGGCTATGGAGTTGAACATTAGCAGTCGTAAACTCAAAATTAGACGATTAAACGATTAAACGATGTTTATAAAATATTAAAAAATAGATGTATAGAACTATTGAATCACTTATCATTTCTGAATTTATTTTTAACTATGTGCTTATTTTGTTTATATTGAAGTACTTAAAATGAGTTTCTGTAAAACTAAATAAATTGAAATAAATGGTAAATAAAATAATATATTTAGGTATATGGAGAAAAGCAACATTGATAGAAAAATAGAACTAATTCGTTTAAGAGAAGCGTAAAAAGCACCATACTATTATGATATCTGATTAATTTTGGTAATAGGTTCTAATTGAAATTAAAAAAAAAAGGTATTTACTTAAATGGAAAATTAATAGAGAAATGACACTAATCGCTTAGGTGAAATTTAAATAATCTTTATACCATTACTAACGTTAAATGATGCTAAATTAACTTAATTAACTAATCTAAATAAAAGAATAAGTTTTGTACCTCAAGCAAAATTAATGGAAAAATGATACTAATTTATTCAAGAGAAATCGTCATACTATTGTAGATGCCAATGATGTTTAATTAATTTTGATAATACATATTAATCATAACAAAGAAATAAACTATGTTCTGAAAAGCAAGATTAATGACGAAATGGTTGCTTTATTTTGGAGAAACATGAAAAATCACCATACGTAATGATGCTTAATCAATTTTGGTAATAGGCAGTACTGGTATAATGACAATAGATTCGGTTTTATTGAGTACCGGATATACAAATATTGGTTTAAAGTATTATATTAGTATATTTGATACCTATTACAACTGAGTCATTAATGTGCAGTTTCGGCATAGATATTGAGGCAACATACTTTTTACAAGCCATCGAAATAGACAAGTACCGGAGAAAGCCTGTTGATTGTTGTAAATTGGGACTATCATGAGTTGGCCTTTGCATCACCTCAGAGAAGGCCTCGAGCAACAGAAATATGAAAAATGATATTCAATACAATTCATCTTTATTTTGATGAGGTGAAGTACTGAAAACGTCTATTTCCTGATCTAACAACATAATGCAGCCGGAAATCAATTATTAATAATAAATAAAATAAAGTTTTAGCTTCATAAAAAGTGGCAGTACATATTTTTCAGTTTTGTGCACGATTTCGTAGTGTTGTTTAGCACCGATTTGTTGATTGTTTAATCTTATTTTATTCTTGTTCGAAAAACGGGTATTCAGAAAATAGTAAATAAAATATTAATATTACTGTTTTCCATAGAGTTGGATCTTTACAGGCAGCAACGAAATAATTGTATTTGTTTGGTTCTTTATCTGGAAGTACTTCTTTATGGCAAGCACGAATAACTTTCACAACCTAAAATGTGAAGAAAAAAAACGAAAAATAAATATAGAAATGAATAACAACCTGTTGTTTAAAATGGGTAATTATCTTAGTTCGAAGTCCTGACTCAATTTAATGCTCAACTATTTTAGTTCTAATAAATTTGAAAAAAAACTGTGCGGCGAATAAAAGTATGGTCAAAACTACCTGAATATGGTAAAATGTGTCGCCTTCCGAGTTCTATGAGAACACGAAAAAGCGCGGTAGTTTTTAGAGGAGCGCTTTGGCAATGATTTTGGCAAAATTAACTATAAAATATGATCTTATAACCTGTGATAAAGTTTGGTAAATGTTGTAAAATTTGATAATTTTATTATGATTCCTTTGAGCATGGCATAAAAACCATTTATTCGGTTATATTTACTTGTCACTTTTGTGCCTTTCTTTTTATGAAAGATAAGAAGAGCTATAATTTTAAAAAAACAGAATTTCCAGAAAACCAGAATTTTTTTAAAAAAAAGGCTCAATTAAAAAAATTAATTCTATGTTTGGCAAGCAGTGGTCATTAAATTATAAATTTATAGTAATGCTTAAAAATTTTTAGAATGTTTTTCAAAATAAGGGCAAATTTGAGCTTAAAAATTACAAATTTAGCAGCTCTAAAAGAAAGTTCAATGTATAAAATATATTTTCTACTTGATTCATGATGTGATTATTTGTGTTTTGAACTAAAATTTTAAGAAAGTTAAAAAGAAACTATGAAACAGAACTAAATACATTTCTTAATATCGAACTTTTTAAAGAAAAAGTGTAAATATTCTTAAAGCTTGATAAAAATAGCAAATTCAAAATCAACGTTAGTTTTCAATTCAAAACATTGTTAACATAATACAAAATCTACAGTACTTTTATTGTAATGTGTGTAAAGAAATCTTCTCAAAATCAACATTTTTCAGAAAAGGCATTTAAAATGCAGGAAAACTTTAAAATGTAAGAATATTCTGAGAGCATAAAACTATTAATTTAAAAATTAACTTCTGAAAAGCAATTTTTTGTCTTAAAAATATAATTTATTCAAATAAATAAGTGTTCAAATACTCAAAGCAAAACAAAAAAAGTTTTAATTTCAATCACGCTTGTTTGCTTCCGGTCTCGGTTTCGTCTGTTAGCATACGAACTGAAATACTTTTTTTAAAAGGCGGAGATAAAAATTTGAATGGTTTTTGAAAATCTAATGAACTAAAGTTTAGATATATATAACCACAAAAATTTTTTAAATTTTCTTTGAAATAGTCGATTTTTTCCCAGTCGGAGACCTAAATTTTTTAAAAAAAATCTCTTTACATTGTTAGAGTTTTCATTCTATAAGTACGGTAAATAGGTTTGTCCATTCAATTAACCGTATAGTTTACGATAAAACCATTTCTTATCTTTACGGTTTTGAAACCCTTAACATCTAATGTAATAAAAAGAATCCTGGTAAAAACCATTAAAAAGAAATTTAACTGGGCATTTGAGTTAGGCTTTTCGTTAGATAATGGGCATTGTGCTAGGCTGTGTTTGAGTTGTGTTTAATCAAATGAACCCTGAAATGATGCTTAATTGGTTGTTTCCCTTGTTGCAAGAGATGGGAAATACTAGACTTTTTTTTTGTGTTGAACAGCCTTATGATGCTGACATCTGTGCGTGAATGAGAGTATCGTATTCTGATTGCCCAGGGTCACAATCGGGGAGTGCAAGACTTTAGAAACTCTTCGTGTGTTAAAAGGGATGAAGACAATATTGTTGAGCCAATACTGGGACTCAAATCATTGCTCTTTCGGTCGTGAAATCGACAGATTTGCCCTCTAGGCTATATAAGGTTCCTAATTTGCAAGGAACTACATGACTTCATTAGTAGGTGAGTTCAGTTGATGCGATAAAATTCTAGTAGTTTAACCGTATTAGGTGAAAGTATTTAGTAAACGGTTTTCTCATGGTTAACAGTTTGGATGCGGTTTTATTTTTAATTTTTTGACTATTTTGGTTATTTGGTTGTAAGTAAAGTAAAATAACAATTGCATAATTTAGTATTTAGCCATTTTTCCCGAGACATTTCTAACAACGTACATTACTTCTCTTAAATCTTTTTACAGTACTTAGATCCTTAAACTGCTTGATGTTGATTTCGGATTGATAAAAGCATGGCTGTAAATCATCTTTAAAACGATTGCTTGCATGGATTTTTACGCAAGGTTAACATCTACTACAGCGTGAAAAAATTATCTAGAGTTAAAAGGGCGATGATTTCAAAAATTTCCGACTTTAAAGCTATTAAGAAGAAAAAATATTTTTATTTTTATTTTTTTGTAATTTTAGGCTAATTATGTATTTATATGGATTCACATAATGTAGTGTATGTTTGAAAGAATAATAAAAAAATGTAAAATCATTGTTTTTTTTTAATTTGACCGAGCTTTGCAATTTTTGCACGATTTCATTTCATTGTTAACTTAAACAATCTAACTAGAATGCACTATAAACTACAGATTACTAGAAATAACTTTGTAAGTAACATGTTTTACACATAACAAAGTGTATACAGTAAAAAGTAATAAACGTTTTGATAATTTTTTTAAATGAGAGATAAAATGCTGAATATTTCTCCTAAAGGTTTTCGACGATTTTCTAATGGGAACAAATAATTTCTAATATTTTGATGCTATTTTTTTTTGAACCTGATTATTTCTTTTTCAAAACAGCGATAGTTTTTTTTTCAGTCGCTACTAACTTTCATAGTATTCATTGCTTTTTTGTTCTCAGTTTCAATTAACTTATAGATGGTCTTTTTACATTGGTGATTGTTTTTTAATAAGATAAATACATTGGTGCGCTGAATCGAAACTAAATATTTGTTTTATAACTTAACGATATTATATTTGGTAAAAAATGTTTTAACATTAATCGACTGTATCATTAGTATCAAAACAATTTAACACTTACGTCAAAACTGCGCACTTCAACACTAATGCGACTGTATCAATACAATTAACACTAATGTCAAAAGATGTGTTTAATGAAGTAAAATGTCTATTGCATGTCTATTGTAGTAAAAGACGAAATAAAATTTTATGTTACAGTCAATATACATCGTATTGTTTTTATAGCATACGTTATTGTAGATAGTGTAAACGACTTTAATACAATTAAGTAATTATGTTTTTATAGTTTCTTAGCCTATAGAGATAGGATGTTTTTTTTTTAAAATCACCAATACTTTACATTCTTAGAATATATTTTCTACATAAATAAAATTTGGTAATCTAGCATTATGGGCTCCAAAAGTTTTAATTTTAACAATTAATAGCGCGTATTAATTTCTGATATTAAAAAACTTAAATAAACATGTACGACGACTATTAGTTAGGTTTGCTTTAGTAATATTAAATGCCTCATTTTATAAGAAATAAAGTACAAATATTCTTACACGTTCAGGATCTTTTTCATCACATTTATCGAAATCAGCACCGAGTTCTTCTGTAACTTTAGCTTTATAAAAAAAAAAGAACATTTTTATAAAAAAATGAAGAAATTTACAAAAATTCAGTATTAAAGGATTAAAAAGATAAACGAAATAGACTTACGACAAATTACATCTGGTCCAGCACTAACTGATAAGACGCAAATAACCAGAATTATCCAGATAGCATACATATTTGAAGAGAGAAGTCCCTAAACAAACCTCTAAGCAGTTTCAAAGAAATAAAAACAATAATTTTAATGAAGTAACTAATGTATAAAAAATAAATTTTTTAGTACTTTGTGTAATACAAAATTCAGTACAGTTTATTGCAAGGAATATCAATATATACTACTCTAAATTTCTGGCAAAAGTGTCTAAGTAGCAATTTATTTAATTGTTATTTTACCTTATTCAACCAATGTAGTCAAATAACCATAAAAAATGATATTCAATTGTAATGTGGTGATAGGAATAATTGATTTTTTTTCTGCATACGGTTAAACAACCATTATTCTATCCACGTCAACTGGGCCTACTTTATGAAACCATTTGGCTTCGTGCTTTTCGGTACATTTTGTAACTAAGAAAGCTAATCAGTCAATCTCATGAATGGCACAACCGGGGTTCGAATACCACAGTTGATTCTATCCACACATGTGAACTATGACGATAGCACCAGCTAAACTTTATCAGAAAAATGGCAAATTAAAGTAGAGGTAACTTTCTCTACATAAATTAGAATGCTAATTAACTATAAGTTAATTAAACACAGAGCCGTATCGCATATTGAATTGTTAAAATGCAATTCTCTCTCACCTGCTTCTTTTACTTTACTTAAATTCATTATTTGTTTATGTGTTTTATTTTAACCATGTTATATTTTTCTTTTGTGTGCCTGGCAACTTCGATGCATAATTAGTTTGTTTATGTTCCTCATGGCTTCACGCCTGTCTCTATGTAAATGTATTTTGAAAGAATTGAAATCTCAGAGAAATAATCTTTGTGAAAGAATATAGAATGTGTCACTGAAGCGAATTGATACTTGGCGGGCTTAGCTTACTCGAAATATAATGGAAGGAGCAGTTGCTGAAGTATACAAATGCAGCGTTTCAGCAACCAATCAGGATAGAAATACCCACACTACGTCACTAGCAGGAATCCCATTGATAATTACTCAGAGCACACGATATCGTAAGATGCAAAATCAGAAACAAAAATGTTGTTTTTCTGAACGAACACGCATTTCTTTCGACAGATTCTTGAACTTCAAATTATGAAACGTTGCTGCAATTTGGGAAATGTGTTCCCCATAGTTTAGGTATGAGAGTGGTCAAATAATTGTGCCCGTAAAATTAATTTTACTTTTTATGTATTTTGCTATATCTAGAGAAGTTTTGAAGCATCGAAATTTTTTTACGGCAGTTATAAAATTGGTTTATCTAAGGATAATTCCATGATAAAACTAATTTTACAATTATTTATTATTTTTGTATTTTTTTAAGAATCAAAAAATTCTAATGTACACAATTTTAAATAACAAAATGCAAAATCGAACAGTTTTTGAGAATTAAAAGTATTATTTTTGAGAATTTTTGAGAATTTAAAAATATATCTGCCTGAAATTTTAAAACTCAGAGACTTTTTTTAAGGATTTCGTTCAGAATTTCTAATTTGATCACGAATTCAACAATAGAGATATGTTTTTTCTCGGCAAAATGTGATTTTGCATTTGATACCGTAACATAATACCGTCTGCTCTAATTATTCAGTATAATAAAGTTTGGACCTCAATTTGTAAAGATTAAGTTGTAGTACGTGAAAATATGATCATTAGATCAAAAATTATTCAGAATATTTCCTTTTTTTGAGCTCTGTGCATTTTAAAACATTCAATAAAATAGATTAAAATTTTTAACAAGACTACGGTTGATTAAGTAAAACTTTTCAGTTAACACTCTTTTACTTAGTTAACTGCATTTACTTAAATTTGCAGCATGCAGAGCGGGAAAAACATAAAAACATCATACCTTTATAAATTTTTCTTCTTATGATCAAGAGTTTCACGTATTAAGCCTCCATCATAAAGGATAAAAAAAAAGCTTAAATTTGCCATTTAATAAGTGAATTCAATATGATTTTTGAACTTAAAGTTCAGAAATCAGTCGCAAAAAAGTTTTCTCTAAATATCATTTTACATTTGTCGTATTTTGTCATACCTTTGAAATATCTGGCATACCTTGTCATCTTTTTTATTTTTTGTCAATTTAAATCAGAAAATGAAAATTTTTGGCGAAATTGTTCGAATATTTTGTGAGCAATAAAATTTTTCAAAGTATACATACATTCCTTTGTTCATTTTCCAGAACTATTCGAATTAGAATTACATAAGAATCTTGAGAGCTTTTCGCTTAGAATTTTAGATTTTATTGTTCTAATTTACATTTTTTAAGAAGTCTTTTACATTTTCAAATTCAAAAATTTTTCAATCCCTATTTTACTAATTAGCAAAAGTGACAACTATTTAAATTTTTGACAGGTAATTGTACTTCAACAAGAGAGTTTTATAACTATGCGCGAAAAGCTTTTAATTAGCTTATTTAGTTTTAAAAGTATGTCTTAGAATAATTTATAAGTAGAACATAATTAGAAGTAGCATGTTGAGAAGTACAGAATATTGAAATAGAAGTGTTTCAGAATAAAATAATAAAAAAGAAAAATAATAACATAGAATATAGAATAATAGGACATAGTAGAATAGATATAGAATAAAAGAACATTATATAGTAGAATATAGTATAAAAGAATACAAAATAAGTGAATATAGAATAAGAGAATATAGAATTTTGTAATATGGAACTAGACAATATAGAATATCAGAATATAGAATAACAGAACATGGAATATTAGTATAGTTCAGAAGCATTATAGTTATAAGTAAACAAACAAATGGATAAGAAATAAGCCATCTGTGTACAGGTTGTTTTGTAATCAACACTATTAGGTAATACTTAGTTTTATAATCTTTGTCAAGAATGGGATAAAAAGGTATGCACATTTGGAGGCGTAAATTAATACATAAATAATGCAAAAAAATGCCATCGAAATCTGTCAAATTTTTCGTCAGTCATTTATGCCAGTAACAAAATAGTTTGTTGGCACGATGAAGTTCAAGATGAAGTTCAAGAGGTTTTCTAATAATCGCCTTTAAGCTCCTGCCTGTTTCTTCCGGCAATAAAGCAGGCTTTGATGTTTTTCAGTACTGTCTTTCTCTGTAATAGTTTGTTATGGTATAAAATTTAAATAGCATTATTGTTTTTATCGCGAAAATAATATTTTACAAACCTTTATGTTTGTATTTTTTCCTTTATTTTTGTCTGGATTTTAAAATCATGTATTAATTTATAGAGACAAGGAGAACCTCCATAAAGTAATAGCATACTTCTTAGTAATTTGGTTGCTTATTTACAATTATAATACTATCTCTCTTCGTTTAAATTAATTTAAAGAAATACTTTAAATACTGTATCTTACAAGGAAATACCATGTGTTTTTGTAGTAAAGAAGTGCATTTTAGTATAGATAAAAAAATTCAATACTTACCTATGTATAATACTTTTTCGTACCTACCGCTGTATGAAAGGATCATATATATATATCAAGATAAAAGGAATTTAAAAAATTTGGCAGGTGTCAAATGCATAATATTGGATAATGAATTATACAATGACAAAAAGTGAATATATTCTTCTGTCATATTGAATGAAACATATGACCTGTTAAAAGCAATTAATTCGATAAATTGAACATATGTTTTGTCAGATCATTTAAACATCAATTATGTTACAAAAATTGGTTTGAGTTAAAATTTTCTATACGAGATCTATCACTAAAAAAAGCAATTCAACGAACACAGGTGACCAATTGTTAAGGCAAAATGTTATTAATTCTACAGAAATCGAATCATCCAATACACCATTGCTAAAAGTGTGACGTGTAGATTTATATTTATTTTTAAAATATTATGAACAAAGTATTTGAAAAATACTGTCGTGTTTCACGGAAAAATATTCGGGTAAAATTACTGCATGGTAAGGACATTTCTGGGAAAAAATAAAAATTTTAGCACTAGAATTCTTGAGAATAATGAAATATTCACTGAAAGTAAGTCGGTTTGTTTTCTGGATTCTGATTTGACTCATTTTAGGTATTCTGTGAAATGCTTAGATATTTTAGAGAAAACTCCACATTTCAAATTGTTATAGCTTGTACGGGAAAAGCGCCACTACTCTATATCATCTTATTAGTCTACAGCAGCTTATATTAGGTATTAGTTCATATAAGCTCTTATCAATAGTTTAAATCAGAGAGAGAGAGAGAGAGCGAGAAAGAAAGAAAGAAAGAAAGAGAGAGAGAAAGAGAGAGAGAGAGAGAGAGAGAGAGAGAGAGAGAGAGAGAGAGAAGGAAAGAAAGAGAGAGAGAAAGAGAGAGATTATCTTTGTTTAAATCTAAGGACTATATATATTGTGTGACTTTGTTTTGATCACTTAATCTTTATAGTTTGCGAATATAAGATAGCGTTATGAAAAAAAAAAAGGATTTCTAATTAAATGTGGTTATTTGTTACTCGATCACAAATTTCAAATAATACTAGTTAATACATAATTTATTATTAATTACATGTTAATATAATTTATTCCCTGTTTAATTACTGCATCAACTAGTTTAAAAAATTAAAATAGTTTTTATAAAATTAAATTCAAAGTCTTAAACTTCTATTAAACAAGAGTAGATAATATCTAACAAATCATTGGCTCACATAACGACAAGAAATGATGACGTAATGTGTTATAAGTATAACTTTTATTTAAATTCATTTAAATTATACTTTTAAATTAATATAAAATCGTTTCATTATTATGAAAGCAAAAAAAAGCAATTCATTTTATTTTAGAAATAAGTTTCAATTAGAAATATAGAGCAGAGTAAATTTTAAATCAAAACTGTATGATATACATCCAAAGCAAATAAATTCTTATTTTTAAAGACTGTATATTTCAAAAATATTGTCAGTTTCAAGATACATAACACTCATAAACATCAAAAGAATGAAGTTTTTTTTAATTAAAGTGTCATACTTTTTAGAAATAAACGAAGATAGTTTTTTCTATTGTTTGGCAGTCAGTTTCGGAAGAGTTCATTGAAGAGACGGATGGACAGATGTTGAATGATTATGCAATTATTTGATCTTATTATAAATAACATATTTACATGATATGATAGAAATAATTATTTTTTCGTATTGTTACACGAACGAAAATTTGATACTTAAACATCTGTTACTTGCTATAAGTTCAGCATATCGTCAATTATTTATATTAAAGAATATATAATTCAATATCATACTAATAGAAGTTAAAAAATTAAGTAGGTATTAAAGTGTTTAATTATGTATAAATGCATTGTTTATTACTGTTAATTGTTATTTATTTGTGAGATTCAGCATATTTTGATAAAATATTTTTTTCGATGATGTGGACTGATCATGCAGACACGGTCACGAACGGACCTAAGCCAAGCATTACGGGCTGTGGTCCATCCGGTGGTAGTAGAATTAGTAGTAGAATTTTAGCTACGATTAACTGCATTAGAATTTTAATTACACGAATAATTATATAAAAATTATCTAATAACTATACGAATTTTTCAAATAATGCTTCCCCACTTTTTAAATGAAAATTTTTTATTATTCAAATAAGCTTTTAATTTTTAATAAGATTTTAGACAATACATTCTAGTTGTATCTAAAATATATAACTAACCAATAACAATGCATTATACTCAGGGATACGTTAAAATCAACCATTTTTTGAATTTAAGGACAATAACTTCAATGATCTTTTATCGGGACTTTTTTTTAGTTAATATTGAATATTCTTGGGGCTAATATTTATTAAAATATTTTTACTATATTAAAATGTTTTTGGAGCTAATATTTGTTAAAAAAATTCACTTAGTTTATTACTTAAGGCTAGTTTGATTTTTAAAACTATTTTCTTGGTCATAAAGTGGGAGGAATTTCCATAATTCTGTCTATTTTAAATGTAAAGTATTGGTCATAAGCATACATTTCTGAACTTATAAATAACCAAATTTATTAATTCTATGTTAATAACTATAAAATAAAACTGGATGAGAAATGTTCAAATGAGCAAGCACTATACACAAAAAAGAAAATAGTTATCCAGTATTTGCTTCTCTTCTTGATCCTATGCTAACTTATACTAATTTTTACTATTACTTTTACTATTTACTAACTTTTACATTTATGCGAACGAAAGAGTTCATTGGGATTTATTTTTGTGAAATGCTTTGAGGTTACCAGTTGACGGCCTATCAAATCATGGGTGAGAAATTAAGCCTTGATTAGACACTTAAGAATTAATAAAAATTGATGGAAAGTATTTTTTCCATGGCCTTATAAAGCGTTAACAGATGATTTTAATACAAAGCATTTTAGCCAATTTATGTTGTCAATTTTTTTTGTTATTAAGCAGTAATTTTGAATTTCAGGTCAGTGACTTTCTTCTAACAAAATGCACGCCTACTGGATCATTTTAGTTTTTTGTTCTTTATCAATTGCTACTCTGAAAGCTGCAAAAATCTGTGGTGAGCTAAATTGTTAATTCCTTATAAATTATTACATTTCAATGACGTTATTTAACAGTTTCTACCATTTTTTGCAGATAAACTTAGTGTAGAATTAGCTGCTGAATTTGATAAATGTAACGATTTAGACCCTGATAATGTAAGTAATTTTTAATATATTTTATATTTTTAATATACACCATATTATCACGCATCATATTATCTATACAACGTGTAGATGTATGGATAACGATCTTTTATAATTATAAACTTTGAGTTATCCGGTATTTAATTGCATTGCGCAAATCCAGTTTTGAATCAATCCAATGTAACTGGCAAATCAAATTCAGTTTTGTACTTCAGTAAGAACGTGCCATAAAATATGTCTCACTATATTCTATTTACGCCTTAGTTTCAGATTTTGTAATCTGGCAGACTAGTTACAAAAATGTTTTTAAATCCTTTTTGCAAGGTGTCAGTAAGTAAATGGACGTCCGACCTCTCTAGAAGCGTTTTGTATTACTTTTTGTGTTTCATTTTGTATTTTTCAGTAATTTTTGTTATTGTTTGATTTGTTCTATTTTCGTGTTGATATTTTGGTGCTCTTCACACTATTGAGTTAAGATATTTTACTTTCGACATATCGATATAATATTAGAAAGCACTCTTATTTGTGGATATAATCATTGTTTTTATTTACCATGTATTTATTTTATTTACAGTAGCATTTTTAAAATAAGCTTCAGTAAAACTAAGTAATTTAAAGTCAACCGTAATTGAAATAGAAAAATAAGTTACGTACCGATAAACAAAATTAATGGTGAAATAATACTACTTTGCTTAGGAGAAAAACAATTCTTTTTGAAATACATACATCAAGGTTTCCGTTTAAAGAACACTCCATTTGTGAAACAGATGTGCCTTAAGAATATTTATCCAGAAAAATCTTTATTTGTTTTTAAATATTTGTTTTAATTTGTTACTTCAATAAAAAAATATATAATTTTTAATAATGTTTTTAAACTAATGATTTGAAAAAAAATAAATGCAATTTTTAAAACAATCAACATTACTTATCTATTTAGTGCGCTTTTTCTCAGATCAGCAGAACTGTTTTTATTTTCATTAATATTCTTTTATTTGCTTTCCTTTTAGATAAAAAGTATCATTCGTAGTTGCAAAGCAGATGTGCTCCTCAAAGAAGTTTACCCATATCTTCTTGCTGGTTGCAACGATTCTTCCATTACAAGAAAGGTGAAATTTAAAAAAAAATATGTGTATAGATATTTTATTTTAATTTTTAACAGTTTATAATCCTGTGTTAGATAATCGTGATTAATCATAGCAATTTGTTTAGGTTAACCAGTGCTTGAGCGAGAAATTGGCTGATGTAACCGATGTAAGTTATTTTCGAAATTAATAAATAATAATTTTGCAGCTGGGATAAATTAATAAATTTATAGTTGGGAGATTATTTTAAAGAAATATAAAGTTTGATATGTTTATATTTAGCAGCTTTTTTTCCTAAATCAAATAAGGTTTATTTCATTCTTGAGCTCATAGGGACTGCATAATATGTTTTAAAACATTATAATTTTCGTGCAATGCCTTAAGCGAGTCAGGCAAAATGCAATATTTATAATATATTCTAATATTACTACTCTAACACTACGTAATATATTCTACTCTAACACTAGAAGTTAAAAAGAACTAATATTATCACTTTATTAAAAAAGGAGCACATAAGCAGAATAGAAATTAAAGACTATAATTTTTTGAAAGTTATGGAAAAAGGACAGAAATAGAGGTCATTCTATAGCTTGAATAGAATTCAGGCAATTATTAATCCAGAAAAGTTAACATTAGTAATGGTATTTTCAATGCCAAACGAATTCTGAAATAAATATTCATTCAACAAAGTTATTAATACCAATAGGAATAGTATTCCCTATAGTAAATACTCTTTAAAAAAAGGGTTTCACAAAATTTAGGAAAAATGTCCCAAAATAGACCCGGAACAAATGTAGTCGAATTTGAAAATTCGTGAACTCATTATTGAGTATAGTGACATACTCAAAACTGAAATAGCATATACTCATTTTTAAGCTTAGCTTCAGAAAACACATCATTGTAAGATGACACATCAATGTCACTAAGTTCGAGTTTATTAGTTTATAACGATCAGATATTCGAAAAGAAAATCAATCAACTGTACTTACTTTCATTTCACAAAAAACTGTATCACACATACTTTTATTGCAAATTTATTTCATGAATAAAGAATGTCTTCTGATCGATAATCAACACTGTTTTACCTTGGCGCCATGTTTATTCACAAATAAAGTAGGATTTTTAGAGCTGTTTCATTTTTTATTATGTCACTATACTCAATAATGAGTGCATTGGTTTTTCAAATTCGACTAATTTTTTTCGGAGCTATTTCGACACTTTTATGCTCAATTTTGATTAACCCTATTATACAAGGGATGTAATCAATTAAGTTAAAATCCATGTATGTTACGTTCGAAATACTTTTTTACTATTATATTATAATGTGCTTTCTAAATCCTACAAAGGCAACATAGTGCAAATACGAGTATAAATAAATGTAATAAATAAATGTAATGAGTATAATATACATCTGAAAAAGAAAGTATGGTCAAAACTACAAGAATATGGTAAAAATTACCATAATTTTGGCTCGAAAAAGCTTAGAAATTTTTACCGTAATGCGATGGTAATTTTTTTTTAAAAATTAACAATAAATGTGATAAAACTTGTTCATTTTTACATGAAACCTTAAAGCATGGCATAAAAACTATTTATTCGTATAAATTTATTTTTCATATTTGTATTTTTGCGAAATGTGTGGTAGTAAAAACTATAATTTTACAACCAAAAGCTCCGGCAAACCCTTACCATTTGAACAGTATGTTCTGGTGGAATGGTTGATCAAAGCGTTTTTCATACCCATGGAGTGTAGAGTAATTTTCATGTTCACACCATTTGTCGAGAGCCGAAGGAGGTCATGAGTTCGGATCTGGCAAACAACTTAACAAGCGGTGTGTAAACGCAGTCAGTTGCACGTTAAATCTGTCCCTACAATATGGTGAATATATGTAAAATATCGATTAATAAATTATAAATAAAAGTTATTTTTCTTGCAATTTCTTTATGTATTTTTTAAATTTATAGTCATATCGATATTTATATTCATGTATATATTCATATGGATTCTAAGTCCCATATTAGAAAAAAAATAAATGTATGATCGATACATATTTTCCCCTTAATACGAAGTAATGTGCTAAGAAGCTTTTCGTTTACGATTAGATGCTTTCAAGTTAAGATTATTTTTAAAAATTTATAATTCTGAATAAATATATTTTTCTATAACCATTCGTGCATTTAATTCAAATTATTTATCTAGGAGGAAATGGCTGGATCGACGGTAAGTGTTTTAGGATTTTAAATATTATTCAAGAAGTTCTTGTTTTCTTAAAACTATTACATATTGTTTTTTGCCAAGAAAATTGTTAAAGCAGCTACAATTTAAAAGTTTTAGCAAAAATTTCTCATAAATATAGTGTTTCAAAGCACATTTAAGATTTATTTAGAAAATTTTATAATCGAATTCCGTCGAATCACTTAATTGTCATTTATTTTATACTTATTTGAGATAAATTGTAAATGAATATTTGAATCCACGCTTAAAATATTTAAATCTACATCTTCTTTCGATAATTAAAACAAAACAATATTAAATATATTGCTTTCAAGTACTAAGATAATTTTATTATTAATTATAATGCTAATTTTATATGTACGACACAGTGTTAATTTTTCTAGAACAGGAATTTAGTGTTTTTGAAAGCTCCAATTTTGCTTGTGAACATTAAGACAAATAAGCCAAAATAAGTTGCATCCTTGAATATTCTTAGATATTTTTTTGTACTGAACTTATTTTTGCATTTAGATATTTCTTGTGCACTTTAAGCATTCTAATTAATATTCGATTTTTTATTAATTGAAATATGAAGTCAGAAATTAAAAATAACTTTTTTGTTGTACAAAAAGAGAAATAATATAGTTTTTTCAGAGCTTTCAAAATTTGTTTATTATTTTAATATTTGTTATTCATGTTTATAAACTACGTATTAAAGTAAGCTATTGTAAGATGCTGTTAGAAGTTATGTCTTGCTTTAAACTGCAAAATTGTGAAAATTTGTGGCCATAATAATATGGGACCTAGTTTTGCCCAATTATTATGCAAGCTTATCCTTTATAAACTTGATTAAATCATATTATGGTTCAATTTTTTACGAAAACACTATTTCTTATTAAAAATGTAAAACATTTTCAAGGAATTATGCAATTTTCGAATTTTTATTCTTAAATTACGGTAAAATAACAGCCAGCAATTCGTCCATTCAATCAACCGTAAAGTTTAAGGTGAAGATCATTTTTTACATTTATGGTTTTGACTTTCTCACTTTTATGGTTGAAACCGTTTACAACTTGTACAGTTGAAAAACACGAATACAGATCTATACGCTTTTTATACCATTTACGACTAGAATGGTTTCAAAATCGTAGAAATGAAATTTAACCGGACTTAACGAGCTGAGCATTTCTTTAGGCAATGGGCTTTGAGTAATGGGTAATGAATTACTCTGTGTTTCATGAAATGAATCATGCAATGTGATTTAATTAGTTTATATGGTTGTTTCATCTATCGTAAGAGATACTAGACCTTTTGTGTTAAGCAGCTTCATGGTGCTGGAAACTATCAGATTCTAATAGTCCAGAGCCACAAATTGGAAATGCAGAACTCTGGAAAATTTTCAGGTGGAGGAGTGTCAAAGCTGAGAATCAACCCCCGTTGCGTCAGTTTTAAAAGTGACAGATTAGCCATCTCAGCTATAAGGCAAAGAATTAAATGGATATATTAGGTGGGCCTAATTGGTACTATTAGACTCTGGTTGTTTAACTGTATGAGATTAAAGCAGTTAATAAGCAGTTTTTCTTACAGATGACAGTTTGAATACCATATTATTTACGGTCATTCCACCGTTTGGGTTGAATATGGTAAAATAAAATTAAAAAAATTGTTATTAACCATTTTTCCGGAAAATTTTTAACAGTGTGGTTTGAAATACTGTCTAGGGTTAAATGTTGAACCGGATTTATAGAGTGTATTTAACATATTTACGTAATCTGAAATAAATTATTGATTTAATTTAATATGCTATCTTATCTTGATCTTAATTGTTAATTATACTTTTCTCTAGGCCTGTTACGATGAGGTTGGAAAGAAGTATGACATTGATGTCTAGTCAAAGTCTACCTAATGAATAGATATGCCAAAACTATCGAGAGAATTTTTGTGTAATTTAGGACAATTTTGAGCATATAGATGAATAAAAAGTAAATAAAAAATGTTTTGTTGTTATTCAATTCAAAATTAAATTTTATGAAAGCTTGAAATTAATAATTATTTTCCTGATGCAACCTGCATTGTAAAAATGGAGACAGGAAAATTTTTTTTTTTTTAGACTTAACCATTTTTAGGAAAATGATCCGAACAATCAATTGTTGAATAAAGGATATTACCATGTTCATTTGTTTGAGGATACAGATTTTGTTAAAAGTATTATGCTTTGTATCACATGCATATTGTAAAACTTTGAAACACATAAAGCTAATATTAACTACAATAATAAAACAATTATGAAGTATAAGTTTAAAAAGCTAAAAAAGCATAAATGAGAAGTACAAAAATGCAGCAGAACAAGCTACTACAAGGAGAGAGAATTGATCAATAAAGTTGAGGACTAAAGTTCAAGAAAATAGTCAACAAAAATGACAATCTTTTTCCCGGAACTTAGTGAAAAACATTTTTTCAAATCCATGTTACTCTCATTCTGCATTTCCGTACACTTTAAAAAATATAGTTTTAGCATCTCTCCAAAATTGATGTTGTACAACCAAAAAAAATTTTGTGATGAAACACTTTTTTCTCACGTTAACACCAAATCGAGGTTTCATTTGCAATTTAAAGGGTATATTAAAGCTTTAAACAACAAAAATATAGAATATTTCTACCAAGATCACGCTCCATGCGGTAAATATATTGGTTTTCTAAAACATTACTGTTTTTATGTATTGATCCAAAACTTATTCATCCAAAACAAATTCTACTTAAATTTTTTTTAAATAATTATTCTTTATCATTTAATTTATGAATGATCAAAAAAATTTTGAATTGCAAATGTTGCAATTCTTTTCCTCCGATTCAATCAACCTCAACTTCAATAGGTAAAACTTAAAAATTTAAAGAGAGTCAGTCAAATAATTCTTGCGAAATAAAAATTTAAAAATAATTAAAAAAATTTTTTTTTAAAATTTTATTACTGTAACAATATTCAAATAATTTCGGATTAACTTTGTATTTTCTCACTTAAAATTACATACATTGAAAAGAACATAAAAATTTGCATACTTTATAATTCGAAAAATTTTCCATCATTGCTCCATCACAAATCACAAATTATCAATAAAGTAATCAAAATAATAAGTAATTATTTTTTCACATGGAATTAGCTTTGGATAAACGAAATTTGATACCATACACAAGCATTTTGTGATTAAATTAAATAGTATCCGGATTTAGCCAAATACACAAAAAGTAAAATTGGCATGAAGCGGTTCCACCGTTTTCCCTAAAAAATTATTGGGACCATATTTTCTGATTACGGAAAATAAATTTTGAGAGTAAGAAATCCAAATCTGTTTAAAAAAAGCTATGCTGATTCTGAGAAAGTACTTTCCTTTGTCTGATTTTGTGACTTTAAGTAGCATGTAAGCAAATTTATTAGCATATATAAGGTTAAGCCCTAAAATCATAAATATTAAGCATCGTACGTGAAAATTCAATAATTAGATAAAAAACTATTACTATTTTTGTTCACCGTATTCATTCTTTAAATCAAATTTAGTTAGAATTGCCATGAAAAGATCTTGAATTGTTTTAAAATTGGCTTATAATTTCACAACTATAATTTATAATTTAAGTAATTTTATTATGAGAAAAGCATTTTGCAGCAGAAAAACAAATCCACATTGAGTAAGGGATGAAGAGTGATACACGTGAAAAACACAATTTACACACTTTTAACAAAAATAATTTAAAAAAAAGAATGCTTTTACACAATCATGCTATATAGCAGAATTTCACTGCAAACAAAGATATATATTAATCTTCTAATTTTAGCACTTTTACATCATTTTTATTCATTAAATCCTATACTTTTGGATTTTTTTGGGACCGTATTTGGTAATTTCAGGTTTTTAAGGATTAAGTTTTAGAAGTTACATTCTTTGTCAAACTAGTTATAGTCACATTGTGAAAATGAATCATATTCTGAAAAATGTTAATGAAATATTTACTATTGTGCTTATCTCTTGAAGTTAACTAGTATAACTTTAAATGAAACTTACTTCGTTTTTTATTAAGGAAGTTATTACCTCGGAAATATTCTTAGTGAAAATTTCATCAAATTGTTTAAAAAAAAACTTTTTTCATTCGTTTGAGGATACGTCAAAAGCATTAGCTATAAGACTGCCTAACGGTTGACACTATTCATTAAATCACATGTTCCATTTTGTTTTGGCTATGGAACACAAATGAATTAAACCTTCTGTCGGCGGAGCCCCGAGACTTAATGAGTAAATTTCATTAGCAATAGTGAACATATAAATCAACAAAAAACTACTAATCATATTGAAAATAATCAATGATTTAAATTTCATTAACTATTTTGAAAACATTTAGTGAATGAAGGAAGAACAAAAATTTTTCAACGTGACATTTTATCAATAATCTTAAAACTGTTTTTCATGTCTGACAGCTGAATTTAAATGTCTGGATCGCCATCTTGTCTTAATTTGATTTTCTTGTCCAGTTCTCTTAACTGGGACTAATATAGGAGATTCTTAATTGAGGGTTCCTAATTTGATGAAAACGAAAACTGAATTGTGAATGATTCCGTTAAAATGAAAACGATAGGAGACGAAAAAAATAACGTTGAGAATGGTTGTCACTGTCAGAGAAATATACTTGAAGTTGGTTATTTTTATTTGATGCGAATACGAATGTAATTATTCACAAATGCGTATTCTTTTTCAAAAAATTTCAATCTTTTCAATATTTTCATTAGAAAAAAATTGTTTTTAATTTAGCTTTCCTTACTTTGCAAGCATTTCAAGTAAATGATTTCTTTGAAATAACGGAAATATTCGAAAGGTTAGGAGTTGAAAAACTCTAAAAATTATGTGAATGATTATTTTATTTTAAGTTAGTACCAAATCAAGCGTCCAATTTACACATTATGAGACACTTTTAAGTCTTATCAATAATTTATGATGCCTACCCTAATCGTTGGTGAAGTCAGTCGTGTTTTTCGGAGCTTCGTAAATTCGGCGAATATTTAAACTATCTGATGAACTCTTGTGTGTAATGATGATTGGGTATGTTTTTCAATATATAACAAATGATTTAGGACTATTATTAAAAGTTCAAAGAAAACGCGAATAATTTTGCAATTTCAAAAAATTAACAAGTTGGTGATGTGATTACTCGAAGGATACTTCTTGTCAGATTTAACTGAAAAACTCATCGTAACCTATTTACTACTGAATAAGTTTCAATCCTCTTTCCCGGTTGATAACAAACAATAAATTTGGTCGATTATTTGTCAAGTAATTTCAATCTTCTACTCATATAAACAGTTTAGAAATGCATGTATGTTTTTAGTTTTAATCTCATAAAATTTACGTAAATCTGCTAATTGTGTAAAACATTTTTATAATCTTTAACTTCCATTCATTTAAGTTTTCTTCGAATTAATATGAATATTCTCTCTGTGCTATGTGCATGTTTGATTAACAAACTATTAAATTAAAACGATTAAATTGCTTTAAGAAGTATTTCGCACATGCATCTTAAATTTATGATTCTTGCTTTGGATTGTAACGTAAAAGTAAATTTACAGATTTTTACACGCATCATATCTTACTGTAATTATAAATTTTACTTTTACTGAATTTAAACATGGTAAAATTTCAAGTGTAAAAGAACATTACAAGTTCTTTTACACTACAGCAAGTAGTGTAAAAGAACATTCTTGGTATTTCATTACACCAGGAACTACCCTTGGATTTGGTGCAACGAAACACCACTTTGATGTAAAGAAGTTGCCACCAATTTTGTTCAGATTCTCGAAAATGTTTTGCAGTATGGGAAAACCTTCTGACCGCTATAAAAATAAAGTCCCCTCAAATGATCACTGGCAAATTTGGATAAAACTGTCTGGGATTTTCATTCGCACGTTTCCATTTTCGTGTACCATTTATTTGCCGTAGGTATTTCCATTTGAGCTTGTTGATATTCGACAAAAATGATTCTTAAGTGTTGGGGTGTAAGAAGATTGCAAAATTCTATTTAATTTTAAAATAATTTAAGAAAAACTGATAATTTTAAATTGCTTGGCATATTGGACCTAAAAAAAGACATAAATGAAAAAGTAATAAGCTAGCACATGTGTATTATTTATTAAATTATTTGATTGAGCTATAGAACATGTTAGGGATAAATGACAGGAAAATAATTAGTTTTCCTTTTGTTAATTGAATCATCTGCCAGGAATTACAAATTTTTTTGAACAAATAATCTTATTTATAAGAAGAGAAATGCATTTCGGTTACAAACTTACAAAAAGAAATAACAAACACAGAAGTAAGTTTTCCTTTCATTTTCGATCTCATTGATTTTATTTTTTATTGCTAATTAGTACGGATATTTTATTTTAACATATTTTAGTTCCTGTCCTTTTACTTCTAATTAATAAAAAAAAGATTAAAATGATTTTTCGTAGAAAATTATTTGTGTCAGAACAACATACAAAAAGTGTGGCTTTAACTACACTTTAACTACATTATTTCAAAAATGCTGGTTCAATATTTAATTTCGTTCATTTATGTGTTGACACTCTGTCAGAAAAAAAGCAGCATTTAATCAGTAATGTTCTGGCTTTCAAAAAATATAAAATGTTTTGTTAAAAACAAAGGTTTTTTTTTTAAAAAAAACTTATTCCTAAAATATTTTTTTTAAAAATTAGATTTATTTATTTCTTTAAATTTGGAAGTGTAATGAATATTAAATCTAAAAATGTATAGCAAAAAACAATTAGCAAAGAAAATGTAAAGAATCTAAAATGTAATAAAAGGTATTATCCCTATTCAAGGTAAGTTATAGTAAAATTTGTGCCTGTGTTGACATTTCTAATTGCTTTAAAATACGTAAAAGCCAATGAAGAATTAAAACATTTGGCTTCAGAGTGTAATAAATGAAATCGTCATCAAGATGATTAACGGGAATATATTTAAATTCTAAGAATTTTTAAAAAATATTTCAACTAAAACTGCCTTTTAATTTCCATTCTTCAATTATAGATTTTGAAGTTATCAGACTATCAGTTGATAAAATGCACGCATATTGGATTATTTTAGCTATTTGTGCTGCGTCAGTTACTGCTTTTCAAGAAAGAAAACTTTGCGGTAAAAGGAATTTTATGCTTCAATTTGATATAGAAATATTTTATTTCAGTAACTCATTTTTGTAAAATTATATTTTTTTACACAGAAAAGTTTAATGAAGAGATAGCTGCTGCGTTTGANTAATTTAATCTTGTATAGTTTATTGTCTTCTTTTGACTGTGTATAGTACAGAATGTTTAATAGTGTGAACTATATTTATTTTTTCAGTGTAGCGTATGGAAAGATCCGTAAAAGGAATTAAATGAAAATTAATGTCCCAACTGTTTAAAATTCAGAAAGCTTTTTCGCTGTCTCCGAGATATCTATAAGTCAGAGAAAATGCAAAACATACATAAATTTTTGTTATTGCTCGCCTTTTTTAAATAAAAAAATTTAGAGCTAACTAAATCGCTCTTGTTCACAAAGTGTCTATTACGGTTGTAAGTGTAAAAATTTATCCAAGATATCAAGCAGGCTTACAACAAACGACGTACTTGAGTTAGTCCTTGTCCGGTTAGTCCTTATTCCTACAAAGTTGAAATGTCACAAAATCAATATTATTTTCTAAAAAATTTAAAAAAGGTAAGCATAAGCCTTTACAAAAAAAAAAAAAAAAATAAATAAATAAAAAAAAATTAATATCCCACCTTTTGTTCCAAAGCTTGTTTTTGAGTTTTTTTTTCCTACGCATGATAAAGTTTTAAAGCGCAACATTATTTTAATAATGATGTGTAGTGTTTTCAAATTTAATCTCAATATAAAAGGGCTATTTATGAAAACTTAATGCGAATCTCTTCCCGTGCTAGCATGGTTAAATGTAACTTTTTTGAAGCTTGCATGATTTATTTGCTAAGCATTTTGGAACCTTGTTGGGAATTTGAGATAAAGGTTGCTGCTCACATTAAAATCCACCTTGCACTGCTCTCTGGGATGTAATAATTAAAAATTTTATTAATTAATCCTATTCTTTTATTTAATGTAATGCATTTTAGGTCTTTAAAATAATTTATGAGTGCAGGGAAGAAGCACTCTCGGATGCACTTCCAGAAACTGTAGATAAAACCTATTCATATCTTGTTGCTGCATGCGAAGATCACTCAAAATTTGGAAAGGTAATTCTGATAATTCTGTATTTCTTTTCAAATGATTTATGGGATTTCTATTGCACCAGCAAACGTTGAAAGAAAAAGTTAATATTTTATTACAAAGAAAATTTGCTCAACATTAAGGAAAAGTAGAATAGTATTTATTGATGGTACAGTAATTTTAATATCAAATTTCAAAACCGCTATCTAGAAAGTATGTCTATGAAATCGAAGACAGAATCTTCTAGTGCTGGTGGTTATACTATGCATATCATTCAAAAGTAGCAATTTATAAAGAAAAAATCAAAGTTAAATTTTCTAATTTTAGCATCCATTTTAGTTTTTAATTTTTACAATAAGTTTATTTAATGAATACTATGTTATTTGATTTGCTATGTTATTTGTTCTGAAAAATTCATATTGACTCATATCAACACATTTTTTTTGGAATTTTTAATGTTCTTTCAATTGTTTGTTGCTAAATAAATCAAAAATATGAAAAAAGCATAAGAAAAAATAACTAAAATAAGACTGCATGATAAACTGCATGATTTTTTTCTAAGAAAAATAAAGAAAAAGCTTTCTTAAAAAGGACTGCATGTTGATTCAGAAAGTTTGTTAAATGTTACATTTTTTTTTGATAAGTGACTTTTTTATTTAAAAAATTAGTTTGGTTATTTATTTCTATTACATGAAATTTAACTTATTATAATTAACATTTTTAATCCAAATTTTTCAGACAAAGTATCAATGCCCTCAACTTATATTCTTTCAAAGAATATAAACTAAACAAAGTAACTAAGCTATTGTTTTTCTTTTACAGTTTAGCTATTGGATGGGAGGACACATCCAAAAGGGTGAAATTACGGACGTAAGTAGAAATTTAAAAAAAAAATAGTTTTAAAGCAATAACAATGAAATTAATAGAAATTCGTATAAAATTTAGAGTTTATATAAGTAGCAAGAAAAATATATATACTAATTTTAACTAGATACTCTCCTTTTTTACAGGCTAACATGGCAGACTTAGAAGTGAGTATTTGCCTTCCAATTTTGGAAACATCCTTTATTTATTATTATTAGCATTTTATCATCCCATTTAGTTTTTCAACCAGGATAGCGTGGTTGATAGGGTGTTGTTCCCATATCCAAGAGGTTTTGAGTTAGATCCCCGACGGCCGAAGACTCCTCGTGTAATAAATGGTGACTGGTGCGCATTGAATCAGTCAGATCCCAAAGTCCTCCAAGTTCCCATAACAAGTCAATACCTCTAGGGATACTGAGTTGAAGATTGATCGTTCTCTGGTTCAGGTCAAAATTACGATCTGTGAGTGAATGGATGTATGAATGGGACCATCTTACAAACGGATTGTGATGTGTGCGCGACTGAGGTCGTATTCTTGGCCATAGATAGCGCCACTGAAAAACAAGAAACGCACCCTCTGCCTTAAATACGCTTGGTATCAACTAGCAGTCTTGCTAGATTGGCAAATGGCATTAGGAACAATATAACATTTAGTTTTTTTTTCAATTTAATATGTGTTTATTTACACATGTAATGATTTCTTGTTTAAAAAGCGTAGTTAAAGATGTAGAAGGGTTTTAATATTTAATTAAACATATATAATTCACTCAGTTTGTATGATTGTGAAAATTTTTTTTAAAAAATTTCTTTTGCTTGATAAAAAAAAATAATACTACGAAATGAGTTAAATATATGCAATGCTTTCAAATGCATTTATAAAACTCTATTAAATTGTAACGTATTAAATTTTTTTAAAAATATACCTGCTTAGACATTTTCTAATGTAATAAGTAAAAATTGTAAAAAAATATTCCAAGTTACAACGAAAATTAAAAGTTAAAAAAGAAATGTTTTTTTTCGTTTTTCCCCTCCTTTTTTGTGGCAGAACGTCACCTTTTTTGATTGATATGGCTTTGAGAGACTAGTTTGTTACCTTTAAATCAACTGAAACTATAATTTAGATTCTTTTTCTTTGCCCTCTTTAGTGCTGTTTGTTCTCCTAATCTAGCAAACTGGGCGTTTTTAATCAAAATTTTAAAGAGAGAAATTAAATATTTATATGCGAAGCCGAGAAGATTACAAGTCAATTCAAAGCCGCCTATCTATAGAAGCAAACTTTTTTTCATGTCTTTTGCAGACTGAGAAAGGTAGGAGATGCTTGTAGGAATTTTCATTGAAACAGATACAGTAGACAGAATTTATTTTAGATTATAAAATTACAAAATTTGAAAATCGATCATAAAATATATTACTTTTAAAAAACAAAATGCATTCAAAAGCATTTAAATGCTATGAGTTTATCAAACTTTGTATTAACTTTCATTTTATATTATTGAATATAACAATTTTCTTTCAGTAATACGTATAAATTATTTTAAATGTAGCAAAAAATTTCACACAATTTGGATTATAAAATTATCAGTGTAGGAAATACCGGGCAATGGCCATTAAACTAAAAAGAATCGTCAGTGTAAGGAATACCGGGAAAAGGTATTTGGGCTCGCTTTACGGATGTGAATATGATTCCCCATTTTTTTCAAAACAATCCACTTCCCATATGGAAGCAGCTTGGAGTTAAAATCTTGCTGTGTGCGAACGGGCAAGTAAAGATAAAAATTCACAATCTTTGCATGTCTTAGGCATGTAGGGCTATACAATATTCAAGCTCTGCTTAATATACAATTTCGTTGTAAGTTTTATAAAATAATTCATAATATATTTCTTTTAGAAATGTTATGGAGAAGTTGAAGAGAAGTATGATGTGGGACCTGAAANAGCAGGGTGGTCATAATGTAACGGCTCTTCGGTGTATTTTTTTAAAAGTCTAGTCTACCCATAATCGTAAAGCCGTATTTAATCTCTACACCACACACAAAAATACATCTGATATTTTCCTAAAATATAATTAAAATTGGAAAAAAGAATGCAAAAACATGAAAAGTTAACGTTCCGTCAGATGCTAAATTGAATTAGATATAATTACAAAGATAATCGACAGTTTTGATTTTCTTTAGTAAGAAATGCTTTCTTGTGGCTATTGAATTGAACTTACGCACCATTAATGGTAAATACTTGCTTTTTTTAATTTAATTTTTTTGTTGTTGCTGATTTTGGATTAATAAATCTTACACAACACACTTTTTTTTGTATTTGCAATGTTTTTTCAATTTTTTGTTACTAAATAAATCTGAAACATGAAAAAAAAAAAATAACTAAAATAAGATTGCATGATAAACTGCATGATTTTTTTCTAAGAAAATAAAGAAAAAAGCTTTCTTAAAAAAGACTGCATGCTAATTCAGAAAGTTTGCTGATTGTTTAATTTTTTTTTGATAAATGACTTTTTTTACTTAAAAAATTAGTTTGGTTATTTATTTCTATTACATGAAATTTAGCTTATTATAATTAACATTTTTAAACCAAACATTTCAAACAAAGTATCAATGCCCTCAATTTATATTCTTTTAAAGAATATAAACTAAACAAAGTAACTAAACTATTGTTTTTCTTTTACAGTTTAGCTATTGCATGGGAGGACACATCCAAAAGGGTGAAATTACGGACGTAAGTAGAAATTAAAAAAAAATAGTTTTAAAACAATAACAATGAAGTTAATAGTATAAAATTAAGAGTTTATATAAGTAGTTAGAAAAATATATATACTAATTTTAACCAGATACTCTCCTTTTTTACAGGCTAGCATGTCTGACTTAGAAGTGAGTATTTGCTTTCCAGTTTCGGAAACATCCTTTATTTATTATTATTAGCATTTTATCATCACATTTAGTTTTTTTAGCCAGGATAGCGTGGTTGGTAGGGTGTTGTTCCCATATCCAAGAGGTTTGGAGTTAGATCCCCGACGGCCGAAGACTCCCCGTGTAATAAATGATGACTGGTGAGCATTAAATCTGTCAGATCCCAAAGTCCTTCAAGTTCCCATAACAAATCAATATCTCTGGGGGTATTGAGTTGAAGATTGACCGTTCTCTGGTTCAGGTCAAAATTACGATCTGTGAATGAATGGGACCATCTTATAAACGGATTGTGATGTGCGGCTGAAGTCGTATTCTTGGCCATAGATGGCGTCACTGAAAAACAAGAAACGCACCAGTTCACTCAGTTTGTATGATTGTAACAATTTTTTTTTAAAGGTTTCTTTTGCTTAATAAAAAAAATACCACGAAATGAGTTAAATTTATGCAAATGTGTTTATAAAACTCTATTAAATTGCAAGTTATTAAATTTTTAAAAAAATATATCTGCTCAGACATTTGCTAATGTGATAAATAAAATTTATAAGAAATTATTCGAAGTTACAACGAAAATTAAAAGTAAAAGAGAAATGTTTTTCTGCTTTTTTTCTTCTTCTCTTTTTTGAGGCACAACGTCACCTTTTTTGATTGAGATGTCTTTCGGCGACCAGTTTGTTACCTTTAAATCAACTAAAATCATAATTTAGATTCTTTTTTCTTGCCTCCTTCTGTGCTGTTTATTCTCCTAATCTGGCAACTGGGCGTTTTTCATTAAAATTTTAAGGAGAGAAATTAAATATTTATATGCGAAGCCGAAAAGATTACAAATAAATTCAAGGATGCCTATCTATAGAAACAAACTTTTTTTACGTCTTTTGCAGCCTGAGAAAGGTAGGAGATGCCTATAGGAATTTTCATTGAAACAGATACAGTTGACAGAATTTATTTTAGATTACAAAATTACAAAATTTGAAAATCGATCACAAAATGTATTACTTTTATAAAAACAAAATAAATGCATTCAAAAGCATTTAAATGCTATGAGTGAGCATTTAAATGCTTTACACACTTTGTATTAAGTTTCATTATATATTATTGAATATAAAAATTTTCCTTTCAGCAATACGAATAAATTTTTTTTAAAGGTAGCAAAACATTTCGCACAATTTAGATTAAAAAAAATGTCAGTGTGGGAAATGCCGGAAAATGGCCCTTTAACTTAAAAGAATTGCTTGAATACCAGGAAAAGGTAATTGGGCTTACTTGACGGAATTGAATATGATTCCCTATTTTTTTCAAAACAATCCACTTCCCATATGGAGGCAGCTTGGAATTGAAATCTTGCAAGTTTACTTGCGAACGGGCAAGTAAAGATAAAAATTCGCAATCTTTGCATGTCTTAGGCATGTAGGGCAATACAATATTCAAGCTCTGCTTAATATACAATTTTGTTGTAAGTTTTATAAAATAATTCATAATATATTTCTTTTAGAAATGTTATGGAGAAGTTGAAGAGAAGTATGATGTGGGACCTGAAAGACCAATGTTTAGGGTTGGATGAAGCATAAAGGCTCTTTATTGAGATTTATGTCTTTCTGTTACTTTTCTAAGTCCAAAAGCATGTGTACAGACAAATAAAGAAATGTTTGTTATTATTAATATGTATTCATTTTTTACTAAATTATAATATTTTTAATATGGTAGCTACTTATGTAGTACAATCCCATAGTGACCGATTTCAAAGGTTCAAGAGCAGTGGCTCCCAAATGCTGTTGCGCTGAGCCCTAGGGTTCCGTGGAAGAGTTAAACCGACTATTTTTAGGACTATTTTTGAGCAGTTTTTAAAAATTTTTGATAAATATGTAATTATATTTAGATTCAATCATTAATTCAATATTTATTTGCTATTTCGATTGCCCTTATAAAATTATTTAAAATAAAATACCAATGCGAAAGAAATGAAAGTTTTTAAAAATATATAATTAAGAAAATGACAAACAGTTATCAAAAAAATTGCAATAGTATTTCATATTGCTCTTTTCAAATCTAAGCAAAGCAATTAAATTCCTTAATATAGAAATATGTTTCCCTAATTTTAATTTTCAACATTTGTGGCATTTCCTCTTATTTTTTATTTCATAGCAATACAAAAACAAGTTTTTAACTAGACTAGATTCAGCTCCAAGACTGCTAGTTCAAGTGTCTAACATAAAACTGAATTTCAGATTATTAATAATAAAGAATGAAAAAAATTTCAATACTTTTTTAAATACAAAATGTATAAAAGGTAAAATAAAGTAGTCTTTCAAAGGTTAATACGTTCACAATGTCTTCATTTACTTTATTTCTAAAGTCAGGTTTCCGTTGGAAGAAGGTTGATTATTTAGAGTTCCGTAGCTGAAAAAATTGAGAAATGGTGGTCAAGAGTCAATTGAGAAATGGTTGTTCAACACGTAACCATCCAGTTTGTCTACTCATTGAGTTTACAATAATATGTTTTATAAAAAATGAGAAGAGCCTTAGAGTGAAAATTATTTCAGGTGATTATTAGTAGTTCAAAGTTAATGGCTGATGCTTCAGTGATTGACGAATTGTAGTTTGTTTACTTTCTTTTATTTACACGGAAAAACACATTAAACTGAATTCAGAAACATAACACATAAAAACAGAATTCCAAAAAAGAACAAGTTAGGGGTTTGGAAAATCCTTAAAAAATTAAAACTGCAACTAATTCACGAGATCAAGTTCACATTTAGTTTGAATGCTAGTACTTTTTTTGTTTCCGTGGAAAATTCGAAATATCTGAGTATGTGCAGTATGATTAGCATGGTTGTTTAGCATTTGTATAGTATTGCATGGAATAATTAGCATTTTTACAATAGCAGAAATGCATAAATTAAGTTGATTCTACTCCAATTTCATTTTAATCCTAAGAAATACGAGCATGTGGTAAAAAAATGAATAATGTACGCAATAATCATGTTTTAAATAAAATTATAAATTTCTCCCATGGGCTTTTTCCCTTGGAATTCTTCAAATTTTCTTCTGTGATTTTCTGGCCAAAAAAAAATCAGAAGATCCCTTTTGTACAGGGATGTCTTTGCATTAGCGAAAATTCGTTTATGACAATAATACAAATTTAACAATTACAATTGAAAATTAGTTACAGTAGTGTTTCAATTTTACTAATTAAATATTTTTACCAAATTATTCTGTTGTTTATTGTGTTAGTGCTGTTATGCATATTTACAATATTTGTTAAAATAAAATTGGTTTGTTAAACAAACATAACATAGCACAAACAGAATATTAATATAAATCTGAATGGAAGTTAAGTATTATAAAATTATTTCATACAATTGATAGATTTATGTAAAGCTTGTGAGAACACTATTCTTTTAAATAACTAAAACATGCATGCATTTTATAACGAATTATACGAGTAGTTTGTAAAATTAATCTATTAATCTCGTTTGTAAATTAATCGAATTGAAATTATTTGGCTAATAATCAACCACAATCAATATTTTTTATTAATCAACATTGGTGATCGAAACTTTCTTGGTATTTAATAGGCAATAACCAGTTTAACAATTCAGTTCAACAAAAAGTACCTTTTGCGTACACAAACAGCCCCCATGGCCGGTATGTGGTCATGATCCTGAAATTGCCCAATGATTTGTCTTTAAGCTTTTACTAATGATTCAAAAGAAGTTGCTATACATTTGAAACATGCTCTATCATAATTTCAAGTCAAAATTTTGTTAAATAGTTTATATATACAATAATGATTCTCCAAATTTACGGAGCTCCGAAAAATTATATTACTCGTGTCAATATTTAAAGAATATTTATTTATTATTATTTATTAATATTTATTTGGTAATTTTTACCAAACATTTTATTTTAAGTTTACACCAAATATTTATTTGGTGTAAACTTAAAATAAAATGTTCATTCAGAATGTTTTTGGTTATTTAACAGTTCAGAGATATGATACCAATGTTTTTGAAGAATACTAGTTTATTTGTGAAATTAAGTAGAAAGGTGTTAAAATAATTATATCTTCCTTATTTTCATTAAATCGACAAAAAATAGTGTTAATGCCTTTAATCTCACTTTAGCAGGACTAACCTCAATAATGATTCTTCCAATTTTAATTTTAATCTTTATTAATCTTATAATTAATTTGCAATCCATACACCAATTTTATAAACATAGTTGAACAGCCGACATGATTCCTAGTTCACGATTTTCAGTGTTCAACCTAATAGCTTTGTAATTTTGAAGCTAATTCAGAAGACAAGGGAACTACTGGATCAAGGATTAGGAGTAATTTGCCTACGGGGAAGACTTTTTGATGGAACTAACCCTCATTTGCGGTACATGGTGAGGAAACCACGAGACATACCAAGTTTAGCTTGACGGCAAGGGGACTCTAACCCATGATATCCGTCCACCACTGAAGATATTTAACGTCATAATTGTGGTCGGTGGAAGCCGGGTATGGAGTTCGTATCAACTAGTCATCCCTGAGATTCGAACTTGGGTCACTACTTTGGGAGGTCACCTCTCTCTCCTGAGCCACCAGGCTTTCCAAAGAGCAATTTGCAATATACGGGGAATATATTCTAAAAGTATGTATTAAAAGTGGTGATTATAGATCACCCAGTACAAGCATTTCCCAGGTTACTACATCCATATGAAAAAATGCTAACAACAGTATATGTATTAATCCCAATTTAACCTTTCATATTGTTTTTTTTCTGGGTGGTATGAATAGTTTTTATTTTTAGTGAGTAAAAAACAGACCCTGGTTTTCTAAGTTAATCAGAACTAAAATATGTGTTACTTTTATTTTCAACGATAAAAACGATTACCAAAACGTAACGAATGTAAAATAATAATTACCAAAAATTATTTTATGATTTTATGGAAAAATTATTTTCAACCCATGGTAACATTTTAAATTCTAACTCATGATTTTGAAAAAAAAAAAAAACAGAACAAACATAGGAACTTTATATGAATATATTTTATGATTTTCAAGAAAAATTATTTTAAGCGTATGGTAGTATTTAAAATTTGAACGTATGGTTTTGAAAAGAAAAGAGAAAATAGGAGTATCGGAATTTTGTATGAAGATATTTTTTGCTTTTCAAGAAAAATTATTTTCAGCATATGTTAAAATTTTTAACTCGAACTTATGGTTTTGAAAAGAAAAAAAAACAGAAATGGTTAACTTAAAAATGAGGCATATTTCCTTTTTATTTTCATAGAAAAATTCAAAATTGATTATTCTGATAGTCTCGTAATTTGAAATGAAATGATTTGTAATAGGCAGCACCAAACACATGTTGCATTTATAAAACTTTTGATACATCACCTTGATATCAAGTGACAGGAAGAAAAATGATATTTAACATCGACTTACTTTTATGACAGCTATTACATATTGTAACACCTGTTAGTTAAAATAAGTTTAATGAAAATTGGGTTTTACTTAAAAGGAGATACGTGATCCTTTTCGAATGCAGATGATTCTTTTAGAACGAACACATTGCCAGGTAAACTTTAGTCTTTTTAAAGAAATAATCTTACAAGTATTAATGTTATTATATAAGATTTCTTAAATTTTTTTCTACAAAAAAAAGAAAGAAAAGAAAACGTAATTCAAAAATTCATTTTTTTTAAACTTTATAGTAACACTAAAATTTAAGTACGTCATGAAATTTCCTAAAATATAAGAAAAAAATATTATCTAAAAAATTTTTTTTCTTAAATTTTGATTCACTCGATCTTTTTAAATTTTTAGGAACGATATTTTAGATTCATAAACGTTTGAGAGAAAAATCATCGTTCTTTTGGGAAAATATAGAACTTATTATCACTAAAATGAGATTCCTTTACATTGAACTGGGCAGAAAAACATGATTTTAGTTATTCTGAATTTTTAATCGATACACAATAGTTTTTAGGGACTGTGAATATAAAAGTTACCCCTTATGTTTTGGGGGTCAGAAATGTGAATCCGTCGAATAAAAGGTATGTTTATTCAAAGAAAGTGCATTTTTGTGTCTGATTTTGTAACTTAAAATATCTTCTGCACTAATCGAATAGAACATTTGAGGTCGCACTTTCGAACCATTAAGTTTGAGTCCTAGAACGTGAAGATTCGATTTTTTTCGGTGGTCCGTTTTTTTACCCGTTTTGTGCATCATACAGATCTTACTGCATTTTATTTTTCCCTTATAAATTTTGTGTGTTATTCTGCGTTTTCCATGCTTTTCGACCTTATTTAAAATTGCTATTTTTGGTTTTTAAAATGCAACTTTTATTTCCAAAAAAATCTACAATTAATTAAAAAAAACACAATACTTCCACAAAAACACAATACTTACTAACTTCAAAATAAAGACAGCCTCTGAATAACGGACATATGTTTATGGATTTGAATACATTCAAACTGCCAAACGATTAAAAATAAAGTTAACCTCTGGGCAGCAATCTTTCGATTAATTGCCATTATGGATAAATGGATAAAATTGAAGTAGCTACATCTGGTAATTAAGAGTTGGCCCCTTATCTCACTGAGAGCAAATTTGCTGTTAGTTCATCTCTTGATGACCAGAAAGTAATTTGTTCTTAATTATTAGTTTACCCATTTTCCAGCAAAATATATTTACATATGATTATATTGATAGGTATAAAAGTTGAAAGGAAAAGCTGAATTATATGATGTGGATGTAAAAAAAATAATTTTAATTTTGAATAACTCTAGTGAAAAGACTAAAAAATAAATATTGTAATATAATTTATTGTTCATAATTATTATGTATATAAATATTGTAGTATAAATTATTTACATTAGATTCTTTTATTTAAGTCCGATTTCTTATTCCCACTAATCAAATGATTTCAGTGTTTCACTTTGTTGAGTATTCTCTGACAAAATGCACCTATTTTGGATCATATTAGTATTTTGTGCTGCATCGGTTAGTGCTTTTGAAAAGAAGAAAGTTTGTGGTAAATAGGTCTTTTAATTATTTCATTAAACTATTTTTGGAGAGAAAAATGAAATCTAACTTCCTTATCAATATTTTTTGTGTAGCGAAACTCACCGAAGAAATAGGTGCTGAATTCGATAAATGCAACACTTTAATTCCGGAAGAGGTAAGACGTTATTTTTTCATTTTTAACATTTTTTTAAAAATAAAATTATTCTGATCGTGAAAACATTACAAAAATGCATGTAAATGTAACGATACAACTCCCAGTCTGATTCCCCCCCCCCCGGTTAAAATTGCTATAAGAATCCTTAAACAGGAAAAGTAGGTAGAAAAAGGTGAAATAAAATGTTCTGAAATAAAAATAAGCTAGAAAAAATCATAAGATATTTTAAAATAAGCTTGTAAAAATTATTTTTAGAAGAACTGATGTTTTTTTGTAAATTTATGTGCTTAAACCTTGCTTATGCACGTAAATGTATTAGATTCCTCTTAAAAACCTATTTTGTTCAAAATTTATTGTACTTTTTCAAATTTGCACTCTTTTGCAGTTATTTAGGACAAGGAAAAACAGTAATTCATCTATAAATTTTCATTAATTTACAAACTAATTATTGAAAAATTCTTGAATATGAATAAAAAATTTAATATTTTATATTTTTAAACAAATACTGAAACAAATAGATTTTTAAGTAACTATTAGATTATTTTCTATAATAAATAAAAAAAACAAAAATAAAATAATGAAATATCAAAATCTGTTTTACTTGTAATTTGGAGAGTCGGAGGAAAAAGATGTATAAAAGGGACCCCAGGGTCAAATCTGTGCCAAAGGGTAAAATGCTCGAAATATGTTTTAATGCACACAGCTGAGCTTTTAAATTAAGTTATTATTATTATTTTTTTAATATATTCGTGGTTGAGCAGCCGACCCAATTTTTGGGTTTAAGACTACTGATGTTCAACTCCGTAACCTTGTATTGTTGAACCCATCCAGAGGACAAGGAAACTCCTGGATCAGTACCACCAGAGGTATGGATTTCTTATGGGAACACGGAGGACTTTGAAACTCAACAGATTTAACGTGCATCAGTCACCATTTACTACACGGGGAGTGTTCGGCTGGCGGGGATGAAACCCACGAACTCTTAGACATGGGCCCAGTGCCCTACTAACTAGGCTATCCTGACCGAAATTAAGTTATTTGATAAAAATTACAAACTATTAGTAGAAAAATTAAATTTTATACGAATTAAATTTAAATATTTTTTTTAAGTTAATTTTTACTACGCCGTCTAATCAAAATTAATGTTCTAATAGGTAATAAACTTAGCCTTTCTGTTTTCCAAATTTTATAACACATTTAATTTCAATAATAATAATTATTTATATTTCAATGTATTATGAACTGGAACAAGTTTTGTTAAATCATTATGTATTTATCTATTCATGTAGTAAACGATTTCTTTGTTCACAATTTAAAATGGCCTTCATGTACTTATTATATTTTGTATTTCAATTAAGCAATTGAAACTCATTAATGAATGTAAGAAAGCCGCCGTTCCAGATGCACTTCCAGAAAATGTAGATAAAACCTATCCTTATCTTGTTGAAGCCTGCAAAGACCGTCAAAAATTTAAAACGGTAAGTCTTAATTTTTTTGTAGATTTTAAGAAAATAAATGTTTAGAAAGTCCCGATTGAGGACTTTTGAGCAAGAATTTAAAAATTAATGGGGAAAATGAGCTAATATTTCTTATTCTTTGTTGATGACGTGAACATTATTCATATAGAAGTATCAACTAAAGCATGCTTAATAATAATATATCTTATGGAATTATCAGTAGTTTAAAAATAAGTGAGCCAAGTTAATGCCTGCGGTTTTAAATATGTAGAATTATTTATTGCACTGCGAATTATTTATCCGTTTTACTACTAAATTCTATTATATTTTTTCATCATGTAACATTCGCAAATATCGATGCCAGATGCAAAACAAAGATACTTTCTTAACTTTTATGGTGCTTTTTTATCATCCGTTTTAATTAATGCGATATGTTTGGATTAGCTTTAAGCAAAGATTACTTTAACCTAGCATTTTAAAACGCAATCATTTGTTATGGTTGGTTGAAGAATATGATGTGATGGTTAGCAATGCATATGGTGGACTCAACCAAAAACAATTCAAAAAACATTTGAAGGTTGCCTGAAGATGAAAAACAGAAGTAATTATGCAATTAATAATATTTATATTTAAAATTTTAAAATTTTGGAATGAAATTTTAGTTCTCGAAAGTTCTTAGTTGTTATAAATTTTACAAAAAATTAATTCCTTAACTGTAAAATGATGGTTAAGAATTTTATATCCTTTTAATTATCCACAAGCTATTCTTTCAAAATTTTAAATAAAAAATAATTTAAACTACTTTTTATTTGCAGTTCGCTGATTGCATGGGAGGTCATATTGAAAACGGTAAAATCACGGAAGTAAGTAATTATTTTGAAAATAAAAATTTGAAAAAACATACTTATTGACTGAATAAAAATAGTCAATTATTATTATAGTTGACAAATGAAAAATAAGTAAGACTTGTATAAATATGAAAATCTTTAACATCCTACAAATTTCCTACTTCACCGTGAATAATTTCAGATAAAATTACTGTAAAGAGTACTGGCACAGAGAGTGTCAGTTATTTTTTCCGCAAAATTTTATGGAACAAAAAAATTCTCATGTATCGTCATTTTCACAGCAATATGTACAGAATTACTGTAATTAAATAAAGATTACTGTGAAAATTATGGTATAATCTTTTACGGATACTGCACTCAGAATGCCAAAACTTTTTACTGGAATTTTATCCGGAATTTCTTATAGTGTCGATAAATGTGTAGTTTAGTCTTGCAAAGTACAAAATAAATTTTAAGATATCTTTTCTAAATAAAGTAAAAATCTCTAAGAAAATTAAGTACATTATGTTGAACCATATAAAGCAATACCATTAAATCAATGAAAGAAATTAATTTTTATTGTAACAATTTCAAAAATTATAACATTTTAGCATTTTCTAAAAAAATTACTAAAATATTTTACCCTTTTAAGATTATTCTTTCCTAAGTTCGATATTATGAATTATAGTTTATTTCCTTCACTAATTCTGTATGAGTTTGAAAGATAAAATAAAATCATAAACTTGTACAGAATTTGATATATTTAAGAATTTAAATGTGCACTTCCCTTCGAACGTAACAGTTAAAGTTGTTATTCACAATGTAATCGATAATGAATGTAAAAAATTTGCTATAAATTGAACTGTTCTATTAATCGAATTGTACTTAGAAAAATGCATCCAAGTTTTCATACATGCTGTACAAGATCGTACATAAATTGCTAAAAAAGTTAAGATTAAGACTAAAAAAACTAAAATTACGATTAAAAAAAACTAAAAATGTTTTGGAACAAAATGTCCTGTTTGTCTGACTTCAACACGATTTCAACTGTGTCGTGAATGTTCAATGTGTAACAGTAATTTTAAATCCTAATAAAAGTGGCGAAAACTATTGCTTTGATTATAAATATTTTCTCTAATTTGAGTTGAGAAAAATGGTAAAATTTAATGTGTATCTAGCTAGGGGGGAACCCCAAAAAATTCAGTAACTTTTACCATAGCGCTATGGTAATCAATTTTGGTAACATTAGTAACGAAGTGTGACTTGATTAAATGTTGTTAGTGGGTAAATGAGGTAAGAAATTCAGAAATTTTTACCGAAAGTGCTGGTAATTTTACAGAGAAAGTTGGTAATTTCGTTACTAGTAAAACATGAGATGACGCAAAAATGTTCCATTTGATAACTTTTGTAAACGCTTGTTAGATTTATTTTTGATTAATTGTTTTTATTTCTATGTAAGCTAAAAGCTAACATCTTTCAATTTATATAACTATAAGAAACATGCTTGTAAATATACTGTACAAGGCTAAACAAGGCTAAACTAAAGCAATAATTTATTATGCATCATGGTGTCCCAACATCCTAAGTAAAAAGCGTAGAGGTAGCAGTTTCGAATAACACGACAATACTTGTTGTTGTTGTTGTATGCCAGTTTAGGCAGTGGGGGTGCGATTGTTCCTGTTTTTCAGTAGCGCCACCTATGGCCAGGAATTCCACTTCTGCCACGCCATTCACACAACCACAATCCGTTTATAGGGCGGGTCACATTCACATACAAAAGAGAAAGGACATAGAACACACAGAGAGAGAAAGAAACATCCATGCCTTGCCCGGGATTCGAACCCAGGACCTTTCTGATGCAAGGACAGTTCCCTGCTCCCTACACAGGCCGGTTAGCAACACGACAATACTGGATGCATCTATTTATTAATATTTATTTGTTGTTACACATAGATATGCAGGCTTGTATGCTTCTAACAAAGTTCAAGTTCAGCTTATAAACCTTATATAAACTTGATGAACAGATAGCACAAGATAGCGTAGAACATCACAAAGTTGCGCCAAGGTTTTAGCGGAATTCGAATTCCTTACCTACACACTACAATCGATGCATCTTTGCAATGTCTTTCTCTAACTTGTGCTAACTGTTCTTCCATTTCGCAAGGCTTCTTCCCAGGTATATTTTAACGATTACAGCTAACGTTCATTTAAATTAAAAGTTCCTGAGTTTTACATGAATTATTCCTTTTATTACTAGTTTAAGTAGTACAATTTCGATCATTTGGAAACTTAATACACTTAGAGAGAAACAAAATTGTTCGTTATCTACAAACTTACTCCACAATCTGATTTATTTAAGTTTGGAAATTATTTTGAAATATTTCTGATTTTCACTTAAATGCTAATTAATAAATAGTGATTTCTAAAAAAAAATTTTTTTTTACAGGAACACATGGCTGAAAACGAAGTGAGTATTGCGTGGCCCTTTTATTAAAAAAAATTCTTTTAGGACTTTTTCTCATCATTTTTTTTATAATGCGTAAGGGGAAACATAAGTATGTTTTCATGACTTCATCATGATATTCTACGCATTAAAACAATTAGTACAATAATCGAATAATTTTGACGAAAGCGCTCATAAAATTTATTTTTTTTTGTTCAAGAAAATTGTTTAAAACTAAGAGTATATACAAAATATGTACTCATTTGATGCATTACTTTTGAACACATCAGCCCGGAAATATCACGGACACAAGAAACAGAGGACGAAACTTCACCCGTTATTTCGAAGAGAGCAAGAAGGACTGACCTTCCTATTTTACAAATATGGTATAATTTGTCTTACGATAAAATTATTTAATTATTCGTAAAAAGTGGTTTTGGCTTGTTTGTTTACAAATCACATGAGATTGTTCATGATTTTTTTACTTCTCGCTTATTTAATTTGTTGATCAATTTCTAATTATTGCTAGGAATTTTGCTTAAATTTTTCTAACGTGTTGTTTGTAAATGGCCTTTTGTTGACATTTATATAAAAACATGGTTAGAATTGTGAATAATAAATAACCGAATAGATAATATAGTCAAATAAGAGGAATCTTTTCCTTCTTCTTCTTTTTTCCTATTTTTAATTCCTAAAAGATTACTATTTGGACTAATTTAAAAGGATTGAAATAAAAAAGAATAAAGTTAAAGTTCTTATTTTCTTTGATTTACATCTTAAACTTAGTTTAAGGCATTTAGTTTTTCTTTAGTTTAGAGCATTTAATTACAACATTCAACTTAAAGTTTCTATATTCTTCTTCTAGAGATGCTACGGTGAAGTTGAGGAAAAATACGATGTAGGACCTGGAAAACCAACAAAGAAAAGCGTCTTAGACTTAGTTATACCAGATTCTCTTTGAATGTAGAATACATATATGATGAAAGTTGAATAAAAATGACAGTTTTCTCTATTGGTTGTCTGTTTCTTTCGTTTTTTTTTACAATTGGCTGTTTCTTTCTTAAAAAATAAAACAAAAATAAATGAAAGCACTTATGCTTTTCAGTTTATAATTGTGAAAAGAGTAAACTGTGCAATCATTTTAGTTTTCCAGGAACACTCAAGATTTCAATTATACAGAGTTGTAGCAGCGATGAGATTGGCGCAAAGACTTTTTCGAAAAATCTAAAAATATTTTTTAAACTTCAAGAATAAATACTTAAAATAAATTTAATCCTAAAATTATGCGAATTTAATAAAATTATTATTATATTTGAAATTTTATATGATTTTGAGAGAAAGTAAAAAAGTGACTAATATAAAAATTATTGCTTATGAAAATATCGTAATTTTTTTCTAAATGCAGAAGGTATAATTTTTGGATTCATATAATGATGCTTTAAAACTTTCTAGCAGTTCTGATATTCGGAGATTTCCTTCTTATGTATTATTAAATCCCGCCAGAATGAAAAAAAAAGACATTTGAAGACTGATAATAATTATAAATTGGAAAATTTGTGTGGTTTTAAAAAATCATACTCCTCTTTCCGTCTCTGCTCTTTGGAGAATAAGAAACAGATCCTAATGCCAACTTCTCCATGATACTTGATCAGATTCTGGTATCATTTTTAACACTTAATTATTCTTCCCAGATATCTAAAGAATAATAAAAGAATCTATTGAGTACCTTTGCTATATACGTCTGTCTAATTCAACAAAGCACTAACTCCAGCCGAAAGTAATAACTTCACGCTTGTACAGTGTTACTCTTATTAAACGTAGAAAACTAGATAAATACAGTAGAAATCTAAAGAATAAATGAATCCATAGAGTACCTTAGGCATATAAGTTTATCTAATTCAGATCTCCACTACCTCCAGCAGGCAGCAATTACTTCACGCTTGTACAGTGTTAATCATGGAGCTAGGATTAAGTGGAGAAGACACTCCCACTGGCCGACTCTTTTCAAGGTGAAGCAACCGCGAGAGTTTTCCGCCATCTTACTTGCTGCGTCGTTGTGCGCTCATACATCTTTCTATTTCTAGTTAATCCATGCTTTTTAACGAAGCTTGGAGGGCGGTTTTGAAGGGTTCTTAATTTGATTTAAATTGTCGAGTTTAGTCTTTTAAGTTAAATAAGAGATCCATCCATCCAAGCTTTCTCCATTTTTATTTAGCCGTTAGAATTTTCGTATTTCTAACTTTTAGAAAAAACATTTCACCTTGAAAGAATTTTTAAAACAAATGGAATTCTTGGTAAAGTTAATATTAGGTCAAGTTCCTTTAACAATCACTATGCACTTTTCAAGACAATTTCAAGAAGATAAAAAAGTTTATTTTCTAGAAATTTAAAATTTGTATTACTCTGATAGTTTTAATTCATAGGTCCATAAAGTCGGGTAATTAATTATTTTAAGAAAAGTAAAGAAAAAAAATATTAGGTAGTTATGAATGTGTTGCATCCATGGAGCTATCTCCAAGCTGAATATAGAAATAAATTGAATTCCACAATATTGAAAGATGTTTATTGTTAAAGAATGATTTCAGAAAGTGAAATACATAAATTTATACAAATTTCTCTTGCTCAAAATAAATCTATACATATGAAGATTTATACTTTGAGAGTTTTATGAATAGTTAAATAGGACATTTTTAATTGCATACAAAGTAAATCAATTAAAAAAAATATGTCAAAATGTTTATTAAAAAAAAAAGGAAAAATATGTTAGATTAATAAAATATCACAGTGTTTTAGTGATTATTCAAAAAAAAAAAAATCTTAAACCTGAGCAAAGGATCCTAAACAGATCCTTAAATATATACATATATTTTGTTTATAAATTGAATATAGCTGTTTTCAAAATTATTAAATTTGAAAGAAAAAAAAATTAGCTTAGGGATTAGAAAATTCTATGCATTAAAAAAAACAATAATAATATATATATTACATCATATTATAATATATACATTGAGAGAGAAACATGTTCAATGCTTTCAATGAAGCTATGTACATTTAATGTATACAACAAAAAGCAACTAACAATTTTCTTAGAGGGGTGCATTGAACTTTATAAATCCAGAAAAAGATTCTTAAATGTAGAGAAAAGCACATTTAATGTTTTCAATGAAGGTTCAACAAAAACATTTAGAAAAAAAAATACTTTAACTTGGAGAATTTTTAAAACAAAAGTAGATCTATTTCATTTTACAATCGCTATGTATTTATCAATACAACTTAAAAAATATAATTAAATTTATTAAGAATTGTAAAATTTCATATATATATATATATATTCTCTATAAATAGGAAGTTGATTATTGCTAAATTTAAAATAAATCACTTTATTTTAAAAAAGGAATTTGTTTAGGGATTAGAAAACCCTACGCTTTAATAAAAATTATTAATTTTTTTTAGGAGAAATACATTAAATGAAGGTATAGAACAGAAACTATCAATACCTTAACATTAAGCAAAAACTACATCACTATAAAGCTTAGAATAAATGTATATGTAATCATGGAGTACTTTATTATTATCTAATATTACATGCAATCACTTGTATATAATATTAGATTTTTAATAAATTTAAATTTTTTTTATCTATTTCATATTTGGAATACAATGGGATACTTCCTGGTTTCAAAAAATATCAATTTAATCAAAAATATTAATTAAAAAATATCAATTTTCAGATGAATAACTTCGACAGAAATAAATAAAACTACAGCTGAAATTTTTATAAAGTAACATAAAACCTTAAGACGCAAGAAGTGGTAATTAAAATAATATAATTAAAATAACAAGAAGTCCAAGAAAAAATAATAAGACGAAGTAAGACTACTCGAATAAAGAATAAAATAAAAATGATAATGACTGTCCGAACATACGACAATTCAAGCATAAACGAGCTACAACTGCCAATGTTTTGAAGTATGTAAGATGGCCGACGGTTAATTTCGCTGTTAACATTGCCGAGCTTTCGGCTTCACGAATTTCTGCTAGTGTCTCCTCCACCTACTCCTAGCTCCATGGTGTTAATCTAATTAAACGGAGAAAACTTGATAAATACAGTGGAAAGAGAAGGAAGCAAAATTTAGATATATTTCAAATTTAGGAAATTTCGTCTAAATTTGAAAGCAGATAGTTCTGTCACGGATATATTCACCCGATTAACTTCTTACCGTCACTTAAATATAGCTTCATCGTGTAACGTTTAACTGGCTAATATGGCTTTGATTAAGAAAAAGAAAATTGTTAAACAAATCGTTGTTGTAGTTGTTGCAATTTATTTACGTCGCAATGGATCTGCACAATAGGCTATTGGCGACGGTCATGGAAACATTCTTGAGGATGATCAGAAGACATGCCATTACAATTTTGATCCTCTGTGGAGGGGATGGCTCCTCCGCTTCGGTAGTCCGCGTGAAATCGAGCTCTACACGGTAGAATAGTTTAACGAGGACCAATACCGCACACCTATGATCTCTTCGCAGACTGTGGTCACCTATTCGCCCACTGACCGCAGTCAGAGCTGTTCGACTTCAGCGATCTGCTGGGAATCGTGTCTTAACGATCGATGGTTAAGCAAATAGAAATATAATTGGGATATAATGTAAAATAATTAACAAGAAGTAAAAGAATTACAAAAGTAGGTTCTTCAAATTACGAACACACATTAGTTTAATTCCCACAAACATATTAATTTCTCTGCATTGAAATTTATTTCAGTTTTATCTTCGACGCCTGGATAAAATGAAAGACCAATTGTTATTTTCATTTTAAAATAAATGCAAATAAAAAATTTGGAACAAACCGTTCAAAAGTCGTAATGCTAGTAATATTTTAAATGTGAATTTCGAAATTACCAACATTTCCTTGCTGAAACACTTGTCTTCAAAATAAGGCGGATTATAATTTTATTTCTGCAGAAAAATCTAAAATCAACTAATATTCTTACTTCATTTTTTCGGCATCTTTATAGATAGTCTTAATATAGAAGTCATATAACAGAAACATGTGCTGCATTTATGTAAGTATTTAATTGAAGAATGGAACATATTTAGAACATAAAAGGACCGACGAAATTCTATCTTTCATCCAAATTCCATCAATTAATTAACTGCCAGCTATTGCCAATTTGTGGCTTTAGCCAGATATAATATGTTCAGCCAGTATATATGCATTTGTAATGCGTTTTATCTAAATAAAGATACCTGATACTTTAGATTAGAACATTTTGAAAGGAGCAAAATTTAGGTAATTTTTATTTTTTTAATATATTATTTTTCTAATTTCATTGTGTAAAAGCTTAACACATTTTATTATTTAGAGAAATGTTCTCTTTCTCGACAATAATTTTTATATTAATATTTTTTTTAAAAAATATAGCGTACAAATCTAATTTTTTAAATTTAAAAGATCAACTTAAATGAGTTACAAAACTGCAAAGCTTAGTTCAAGTTAATTTTATGCCCAAGGTCCAACCGTGTGTGGAAAAATAAGAGTAATAGCTGATTCCTTGAACTCTTGAAGTCAAGCATATCTGCATCTAATTTTGTAACAATCTATTCAAACGGGGAAAATATCTACTTCAAAAATCTATAAATATTTGTGTGCATAACTAATTGCGTCTTGAATAGAGACTTTCGTATACATTAAGTTACTGGTCAAATTTCACTTAATAAATAAGTGATTCATTTATTATATAATTAATAATAAATAAATAAATTCGCAAATGAATTTTAATAAACAAATAAACTGAGTCCTCTGATCAAATTTATTATCAGTTGTCCTTTAAATTAAAATTTTATTATCTATAATAAACATATAGTCATATTTATTATATCATTAATTAATCGTATCTTTAAAAAATCGATAAAGTAAAATATATTTTTAGTAGTAAAGCAAATTTATGAAATACTAAATGAAAAAGTAAAGCAAATTTAGGAAATACTAAATAATAAAAATGAATTTTTAGTGGAAGTCATTGTAGGGTGATATTTGGCCACTGGGAAACAATTTTTCAGGCCAACTATAGAATATAAGCAGCATTATACCTAGGGGAAAACTGAACTGGTCTCTGCATCCTCATCGTCAAATTTATTTATTCCTATTATCTTGTAGATAAAATAATTTGTAGGTAATTTTTAATAAATTGTAGATAATTTTTAATAAGGTAATTAGGGAGAAAGTGAATAAATATTAAAAAGTTTATGTTTTATAAAATAATAATAATTTTGGTTTATGCCCTTTGGAAAATGGTAAAACGTAAAAATGAAAAGATTAACAATATAAATCAGATTATATACCATTTAAGTTTGTTCTTTTAATTTCAGTGTTTCAGCCTAAGGAGTATTATTTGACAAGATGCAATCCGTTTGGATCATATTAGTTTTCTGTGTTGCATCAATTAGTGCTTTTGGAATGAAGAAAACTTGTGGTAAAGAGAATTTTCTCTTCCCTTTTTGACTAGAAATAAATGAAATTGTTCTATTTTTATGTGAATATTTTCTTACGCAGAAAAACTTACTGAAGAAATAGGTGATGCATTCGATAAATGTAACGCTCTGTTTCCAGAAGAGGTAAGAATTTAACTTAAAACAGAAATATTTTTTTCGTATAAAAAAACCGATCACAGATAATTAATGCACTCTGTATTAAAAAAAGTATCAGTGACCGTTAGGCTCTGCGTATTTAACATATCGTGTTAAATTTATTTTTACTGTCTTAATAATTAAATTAACAATATCTTTGTCTTTTTCTTAAATTATCTTTTTCTTAATTATCAATTGTCTTTTTCTTAAATTAACAATAAAATGTGGTTTTATAATGTTTGATAAAATTTGGAAAAAGAGATAAAATTCAGAATTTTATAAGGATATCTTAGAGCATAGTCAACCATTTATTCGGTTAATCTTGCTTTTAAGTTTTGAATATTTATAAATGTGTGGCATTAAGATCTATAATTTAAAAAAAAAAAGAATAAAAAACGGAATTTCTGGTGCAAATTATTAGGTTGAATACCGTATATTTTGGTTTATTAACCAGAATTACGTTTTTCTTTACCAGAAATGTCATTACCATATAGCACGGGAGTTTTATCAGAATTTTTTACTCCGCGTAGAATTACGAAAGATAAAAGTTAAAAATTCAACTGCGGAATAGTATTAGTCTAACAGAAACATAGTCGAATAGAAACATATATCTTTCTAGAGGAAATCGATTTTAATTCCCAAGTTAAAGTTATTTTATCAAAATTCAGCATCCTGTGTGAAAATTATTGCTATTTAAGAGCTCCTAAAAATCTTTCCAATTGAATAATAATAATAATACAAATTAAGACGAAGAATTCCGGAAAATTAAAGAGGCTTATCGATTGACTAAAGTTTTATTTTACAAATTTCATTAAGTTTCGTATTAAAACGGAAAATAATATGCGAACTCAACAAGCTTAAGGCATTCAAATATGACTTTTATCTCAAAATAGCATCATGTGAATGATAATTGCAGTAGGTAATATGAATAAGGTAAGGAAACGTACAGTTGCCAACGAAAAAATAAAAATAAAATTAATGGGAGAAAAGAAATACCCTGACTGAAGGAGGCATATCAGGGCAGAGTATATTTTCACGTGGTATGTGTGAATGGAAAGTCCATTTACTGAGCATTCATGTAATTAATGTTGAATCAAGAGCATTAAAATGAGCTTATGTGTCAATAATGCAAAGAAATTTTTTATCATCAGTTAAGTTTATGTTCAGGGTCTAACAGTGTATATATCAATAACACTATATCAATAACAGTAATGGCTGATTCCTTGAACTCTTGAAGTCAGGCATATCTGCATCTAACTTTGTAACAATCTATTCAAACGGGGTAAATATCTACTACAAAAACCTATAAATATTTGAGTGCATAACTTATTGTGTCTTGAATAGATACTTTCTTATACACTAAGTTATTATTCAAATGTCACTTAATAAATAAATAATTTACTTATTAATTAATTAATAATTAATATGTAAATTAGTAAATAGATTTCAATGAATAAATAGAGTTATTTGATCTAACTTATAATCAGATGTCCTTAAAATTAAAATTTTATTATTAATATTCATCGTATAGCTATATTTATAATATCATTAATTAATTACTTTGAAAAAAATAATCAATAAAGCAAAATACATTTTTTATGGAGCAGTAGTTAATCATTTTAAATTTTATACTAATTTAACATTCCAACTTATATTTTATAGCATTATTAAACAAACAATAATTACTTATTAAAACCGATATATATTGTCAATAAAAATTATAAATTAAATACTTTTAAATTTATAATATTTAATATTATTTTCAATTATTTTAAATTTAACATTTAAAAATACGTGAATTATTCAACTATTACTTCAATATAATTTCAATAACTTTGATAAATCATCCAATTATTCCACGTATCTAAGTAATTCATTAATTTTTTTTTAAATAATGTACAGTAATTTTCTCATATTTATGGTTTATTTGTTACAATTAAGCAACTGCAACTTATTAATGGGTGTAAAAAAGAGGCAGTCCCAGATGCACTTACCGAAGATGCTGTTAAATCTTATCCATACCTTGCTGCTGCATGTAAAGATCGTTCTAAATTTTCGAAGGTAAGGCTGATATTTCTATATTAGGGAGATTCACTTATCTGTAAGAGATATTTTAAAAATCCCTTAAGAATATTGATATTATTAAGCTACGCATTTAAATACTAATTGCAACTTACGAGAAATATGAAACATAACTAACTGATTACTATTGAGCTTAGTTATAGATAAAAAAGGATTAAAATCATCCTAAAAAAGCTGTTTTATCTCGTGGAACTTGTATTCCCCACTCCAGAAACCACATTAAAATTTTATGCTGTGAAAATGTTTTAGATAATCATTCATTTAATCTAATTAAGTTAAGTAGAAATTGATTAGATCTTAATTTTTAAATTAATTCTACTTAATTCTTAAAGTAGCACCATGCATTTTGTAACAATTACCAGAACTTTAGTTTTCATGGCGACCAGGTGGCTGAGTGGTTAGCGTGCCTGACTGCGTAGCCGATGGTTGCAGGTTCGAATCCCGCTCAGGGCGCGTATGTTTCTTTCCCTCTCTGTGTGTTCTATGTCCTTTCTTCTGTGTGATTGTGTGAATATGACCCTCTCTATAAATGGGTTTGTGGTTGTGTGAAATGGGCGACGCTGCTCCACCACCGTAGCCTGGCCATAGATGCTCAGTGGGTAACGAGAAGAGAGTAGCAGTTCTTGCATTTCCGAGGCCAATGGGAAATAAATCTAAGTGCCCGCCATTAACAAACGAAAATAAAACTTCAGTTTTCATTTAATATTTTAAAAAGCCATGTAGGATTTCATTTAATTAAGCTATGATGTGAGAAGGTAAGTTTTAAATGAAATTTTAATATGGATATTAGTATTTTGATTTAAGATATTTCTTCACGATTGTGCTCCATATTGTTGAGCCAGATGGTACGTCTTTCCCACATCTAGTTCAACTCCGTTATCGTTGAATTACTCAGATTAGTTGGTTTTGTCTCACAAAATTGCTCTTTTACTTCGTTTCCTTCTATACATTTACTTTTTTGTTGTTCTCAATTGCTTATTTCCATATATCTTATTACGAAACATAACACAGTTTTGTTGAATAACAATTAATACATTTTTTTACGAACATATTTGTTCATAGAAGTATCGTTAGTAATTTGTAAATTAGTTTTGTGAAATTTGTGACAATAATTTTGTCCTGAACAAACTATCGAAAATAAAAAATATATTTTTGAAAATATTATTTATATTTGAAAAATATTCAAAAGAATATTACCTATAGTAAATATTATGTTTTTTCCTTATTTTCAATCCTTCAGAATTTTGAACTTTTGCATTCAATAGAATTTAAGTTTATTTTTGTTGCAGTTCAGTCAGTGCATGGGAGGACTTATGCTAAGAGGAGAAGTTACCAAAGTTAAATTTTTAAATGTGAGTAATTATGAAATGTGAGTGTGTTACTCATAACTTTATTTAACTAGATTATTTAACTAACTTTATTTAACTATTATTTAAATTTTAATGGTCATTTCTAAAAGTTCAGTAAATTCTCAAATTTTGTATTTGGAATGTTAAGAAAACAAATATTAAAAATTTATGAAATTTTTTCATTTGTTTCAAAAAGCAAAAAAGTATACTATAGATAATTGTACATTGTAAGACATGCAAATTGTAACACATGATTTGTACATTGTAAGACATGCAAAAATTCATCAACTGAATGATGAAAATGAACATACTATTTGATACAAATATTAAATATGTAAACATAGAATGAAAGATTATGCAATTTTATAATCCTTTCAAAAATTCTTTTATAATTTTTAAAGCAAATTATATGTTTATTTATTTTTAGAAACCGACCTCTTAATATCTTATAAATAACATTTTATATTATATAATACAGAAATTTCATGATTTTGCAATTCATTACGCATTTAGAAGGCAGAAAAATGACTAAAATAATGCCTCTCTGAACTATTTCTTTCATTAATCCCTTTAATAGCAATCAAACAATAATTCTTCCAGCATATACTAAATTTCAGTTTTGTATTTCGTATATACAAGTACAGTTAAAAAATAATCTGAAAAAAAAAACCCATTTATATCCAGGAAATTTTTTTTAATGAAAAAAACCAATGTGATTTTTTTTAAAAACCAGGTTTTGGTGAATCCTAAAATAGATTATTTTAAAGTTTTAGTTAGTTTTGAATCATACAATTATGAGTTCAATTTTGTGCGATTTAAATCATGCGAAATCATCAGCAAACTAAGAAAAATTATTTTAAAATGCGTGCCCAGTCAAGATGCTTTTAACACAAAATAAAAGACGAAGTACTAACGTGCTGTTAACGTCAGTAGACTATTATTATTGATATAAAAGGGATGTTCGTGGTTCGAATCCCAGAAATAGAAATATCTGTTCCGATTTCTGCATTGAACACTATAAACATCGCATTGAGCTGTAGTGGACAGTTTTGAAAATTGCGCATGTAAATTTCTCGCCATTGCAAATGGTTGTTAAAATAATTGTATCGTCAGATTTACTTTATAATCTGATTAATATTATTACAAAATATCATAATTTCAGAAATTCAAGATAATTTCTTAATTTCAACCAGAATTTAGTTCAATGGTTTTTAACGCTATTTAATATTTTTTTTTGTTTTCAGAAACAAATGGCTGAGAATAAAGTGAGTACTTTAAGTCCTCATATAAAAGTTATTCTTTCTTTTCAGCCATTTAGTGTTTTCCTGTTCGTTGAAATGAAAAATATGTAAAACCTGTGTGTTTGAATTGTTAGATTTAAGATTAAACTTTTATTTCCGTTTTCTTGATACTTTTTAGCTTCTAACAAATTTTTGAACGGATAGAAATTTTTTTGAACATATAGGCAAAGTTTTAAACACATAGACAATTTTTTTACGATATATTCGACAGCATAGTATCTTTAAAAAACGTGGAAAATATCCCCGTCCCGTATTCCTGTCCTTTAGTAAGAATAACTTTAAAACTGGATAAACCTATTGGAGAATTCCTATCATGCTCAAAGTTGTGAAGGAGTGAGAAAGCAGTTCCGCCTAATAATTGGGGAAAAAAATCAAGTGATATAAATCACTTCAAAAATCATGTGATTTTGAGACGAAATGATTGTCAAATGTAACGAAATGTAACGAAGGAATATTGAATCGTAAAAATTAGTTTTTCATTCCTAAACGGAAGGAAAGCATTTATAGGGCATGAGAAAACTATTTTATGTTTCCAATAGATTGAAATATTTTGAAACCATAGCTTAGATTTTTACTTTTCTTCTGGGTGATTGCATTTTCTCTTCGTTTCTTTAATTAAGTGTACAGTAATGTTCTAAAAAAAGTTTTTATTTTGTTTTTTAGAAATGCTACCGTATGGTTGAAGAAAAATACGATATAGGACCATCATAGATTTCCTAAAAAGTAATAATCTTCTGTAATTTTTGTAAGAAAGACAATTGCATATAAAATGTGAATAAAGATTTGTATTTCCTTGTTTGAATGTAATTATTCATTTTTATGTTTATTGCAAAAAAGTAGGAAACTTGTTTGCCACGTATAATTTTAAGAATATACACACAAGGTGTTTCACAAGGTGTTCCACTACCCCAAAGCAAAAGACTGTTCCTGGTGCAGTAAAATTCCTGTATGTTCTTCAACATTAATTGGTATAAAGATGTCTCTACCATGTTTATTTCAGTAACAGTAAAAATTTTTATTATAGTAAGATATAATACACATAAGAATCAGTAAAGATACTTTTACAATAGACCGACCGGCCTGTGTGGGGGGCAGTGAACTGTCCTTGCATCAGAAAGGTTCTGGGTTCGAATCCCGGACAAGGCATGGATGTTCATTCCTTCTCTGTACTATCTGTCCTTACAGTTGGAGTGACGTTGGTCCACCTAATATGGTGCCCCTGTAAGAGAGGTCAACAAAATCGCCCTGTATTTGCCTAAATTGACGAATGTTAACACAGGTGGGCATTGTAAAAAAAACTTTTACGATAGAGAATAAAGTAAAAAATCATAATTTAGGAGAGATTCATACATATAATTTTTCTTAAAATAAATTCCAGTTTGTTAATCAAACATACATTTAGCACAAGCAGAATATTAATATGAATTCTAACTAAAACTGAAGTGAGTTGAAGTTAAATATTTTAAAATTATTTTATGCAACTGAGACAAATAGTCTTAGGAGAACATAAATATCTTTACAACTAAAAATATACCTGTATCTTATAACAGTTTATATGAGTAGTTTGTGAAATCAATTCAACAAGAAGATTGAAATTACTTAACAAATAATTGACCACAATCAATACTTTTGATAAATTACTGAAGAGGATCGGGATGGTATTATATAATCTATGAATATTTTTTCATTTCATTCAGATAAGTGGAACTCATATAGTGAACTTCATGTAAGCAAACTGTCTTTTTCACTGCTTTATGATGAATACCATTAAATTGCACAATGATTCGCCCTTAAACTTCTGCAAATGATCCAAAACTAAATGTTATACGCTTGAAATATGCTGTATTATCATTTCACGCATAAATAGTTTAAATATACACAAATTATTCACCAAATTTATGGATCTCTGAAAAACACAACCCTTCATAAAATTTGTCTTCTGCAATGAAAAACTTTTAATAAAGAACACTACAGAGTAGGTGATCTTCAAAGTGTTAAAAATCTTTTATTAATCTCAATTTTTATCACAACTTTATTTAAACATTGAAAAACATATCGAATTTAATAAATTCTCGCACTGGTAAAAAGTTGACAAATGCTGATTTTTGATTTGTAAAAGGTAGGCATGGAATTTATTTGAATAACATAGATATAATCGAAGTGCTCTTATTTAATTTAAGTAAACTTCTTAGGTAAACTCTCTAATTAAACAAACCTATACTTAATTATAAATAGGAAAACAGTTATAGTTTTAAAAAAACTTAAACTTATAATAAAAAAATGCACAAGCATTGTTTAAATTTTAGGTGGCTGTATGGCGCAGTTGGTTTGTCGTCGGCCTTCTGAGCCCAAGTATGCGGGTTCGATCCCCGGATGCAGAAAATCCTCAGCGGCCATGTCGTATGATTATGCGACATGTAAAAGATCCTTGGAATGCCTTATTGGCTCTTGACATTTCCGGCAAAATTAAATTCCTAGTGCACTTTAGCATCCAAATAGAGTCTCGGTGCTGCCATCTAGTGTGGCAGAAACTAGACGTCCAAATTAACATGACCAACGGTATCTCTCCCATTGTGGTGGTCCTGAAAGAGTGGATACCACCTCTGGAGAACGCACTAGGTCTGCTCATCGGCAAGACCGATTGTACAGCTCATTGGAAATAAAAAGAAAAAATGTTTAAATTTTTTTGACGGACAACAATATAAAAATTGTGAAGTTACTTGAGGAGAGGAATTTAAATTTAAAACGCAAATCAAAGTAAAAAGTATTTTTAGGCATTTGATGCGCAGAAATTAATTGTTATGGGGAATTGTAGATCTAAAATTTAAAACCGAGGTTGCATTACTAGATATTATCGTTTATCTAGTTCTTCATCTTGACTTTTGTTTGTTATAAAAGGAATTTGCCGAATTTTATTCCATTTCTAAGCAATTTGTATTATTAGTTTTTGAGGATAGAAAAGAAACAAGAAACTACTAGTTTTATTTTAACCTTACACAGAAATGAGTGATACACAAGTAATGAATTTTATTTCCTACATTTAATTTTGATGGCACTGCGAATTAAGATTAAATATAGAAAACTATAGCGATCGGTTATTCCTGTGCCTTTATCCTTATTAATTTAATTTTACAGCAATTCGTTGCACGAAAGTGAGCGATACATAAGTAATGAATTTCGCTCATTATATTTAATCTTGATGGCACTGTGAATTTGACCTTTTGGTTGTTCCTGTACCTTTATCTATTTTGAGCATATCAGCATAGAAATTTACTGAAATTCATAGGCTTGTAGCACTCAAAATACATCTGCTTTAATTTTAACTATGCAATTAAATACCTCAGTAACTAATCCCGCCTTTTCTATATCTAAATTTCAATTAATATATTTTTACTTCCATATTACTTTTGCATTCCAATATTGAAAATGTCCAGAATATCGTCAGAATTCAATCAATATATCATCAGTCTCATTTATTTCATTTTAAAGGCATTTCAGTAAGTCCTGGTCATTGTTATTGCGATAATCTCTTCTGCTCTTTTTAGCTAAAATAAATATCAATTGATTGGAATTATTAATTTCAAGATAATTACAACATGATTTTATCCTTTTTCTCTTTAAATTTCATAACTTATAAATGCAAATTTAGGAAGTATGGTTCTTCCTTCGCGTTGGTATGAAGGACGTGCTAGTTGGGATGCTAAACCTTTCCAGCGCAGTGTGTCCAGTCTGGAATGACAAATTAAAAAAAATATTACTGAACCTCAGAAAATTTAAAAATGATTGCTTCTAACCACCCCATCCCGTTATTAACCATAGCTATTTTTTTAAGCAACGTAAAGCTCTCTTTGCACAGAAATACGGTAGTAGTTGCGAATTTGCTGCCTGTCTAAAATTCTCAATGAACATATGCTGCGTTGGAGAAGATTAATTGAATTTGAAGGGAGGTACATATGGTAATAGATATAATAAAATAGAAAGAATGATATATAGAATGATAGAAAAATGTACAATAGCTGTAATAAAATTATATAAAAAAAATTGTATATCATTGAATTTGATGATATATAATTTGAAGTGGCGCACATGATATGATGCAATCAATCTATATAACCCAATAGGAAATGAAATACTTATTGGTTTTTACTTTAAAAGAACACATGTTATAACTAATAATAAAATTGATCGATTATAATATATGATACGTTTCATTAATATGACAGAAGAATATAAACATATTTTCTATGTCAGATGACAGACACAATGCTAAATTGTTTCAACTAAGTCTTTATGTCTATCATCTGTCAGATTTTGCAAGTTTTCCATTTTTCGTGTATCATATTTAAAGGCCATGATTATGGCTTTCAGTTACAGGTTTGAAGAACTTGAGAACTTCTAGGTAAGTTTTAATTTTTCCATTCACTGGTTAGCACTAGTACACGGAGAAAAAAATTCCATTAAAATCACCGTAATGTATGGTAATGATATGTCTGATAACCCCCACTCTCATAATTCTGGGTAATATAATCAAAATATATGGTTTTTGATTTCATTTGGTAATTTTTCCGTTCATGCGGTAACTGTTTACAGAAATTTTGGTTTTCAAACTATAGTTCATAACACCATACATTTAGTAAATTATAAAAAATTGAAAATTTAAGGAATTAATAGAAGTAAATTTAACGAAATTCATGGCTTTTATACCATGCTCTAAGTTATCATGAAAAAATTACCAAATTTTACTACTGTTACCAAATCTGATCCTGTATTATAAAGCCATATTTAATTGTGAATATTACCAAAATCCTTATAAAGCGTTTCGGTAAAAAAACTGCTGAACTTTTCGGTATTTCCATAGAACCAGAAACACAGTAAATTTTTATCACATTTTGGTAGTTTTAATACTTTTTCCTAAGCGTAAATATTGATTTTAATTTTAATTCAAGGTCAATATAAAAAATGATAGTTTTTAACTAGGAAATTATTTTTACTATGAAAATGTAAGCAAATTATCAAAATCAAACCAAAATCCTTGTTTTCAAAAACTGAATTTTAGCTGTTTTCTGTACTTAACCTGCACACTTTCTATAATTTTATGCATCCATAATAAGGTTTTATTTTATATTTTATTTTATAATCGTCGTTGAACAGCCGACCCAATGTTGTGCTTACTACTACTAAGGTTTAACTCCGTCGCCTTGTAACTTTGAACCAATCTGGAAGACAGGGAAACTTTTGAATCAGTGCCCCGAAAGGTATGATTTGTTATGGGAACATGGAGGAATTTGTGATTCGACAGATTTAACATGCATGAGTCACCATTTACTACACTGGGAGTCTTCGGGAGGCGGGATCACACACCGGACCCTTTGGACACGAGCCCAGTGCCCTACCAACCAGTATATCCTGGCCAAACATAAGGTTTATTTTTAATATTCGTTGTTGAATAGCTAACTTAATTTTGGGTTTACGACTACTAATGTTCAACTCCGGAGCTTTGTCATTTTGAACCAATCAAGAACACAAGGAAGCTCCTGGATTAGTACAGCCCAGATGGAAAGGGTAACGACCATGCCTAATTCAACAAAACATTTATTAAACAAATAAAGGCCAGTACAATGAATACAAATGAGGATGCCAACTGCTTCCTTAGCATCCGTCTCATACGTCTGTTTCGCGTGAAGCTCAACTTCAAATTTTTTAGTTAGAAATTAATGGTTATAAGGAGCGTTATGGGGTGCGCACGCATAAAGCCAAAAAGTACTTTTCCTACATTTACTTTTGATCTTTAATTCTTTTTAGTTATAAAATTTCAATAAAAAACCGGTAGCTCCTATAGAAATGTAATGGGAATTTGTTATTTTTTATTTGAACATCAAATCAAATTATTTACTGAGTTTTTATGCTATAAATTTTAACTACCTTCCTTATTTTCATTGCAATTTTCTATTTCAGTAACCCAGTTTGCAGACTCCCTTTCTCTTAAAATGTATGCGTATTGGATCATATTTAGCTTTTGTGTTCTCTCAGTCTATGCCGTGGGCCCAGAAGCAGTTTGTGGTAAACAGATATTTCTCAAACCTTTTGAATAATTATTAAAATTTTTTATTTAATAACACTTATTCTTTTCTTATGTAGAAAAACTTACTGAAGAACTAGGTACTGAGTATGATAACTGTTATAAGCTAGATTCGGAAGAAGTAAATATAGATCCTTTAATTTTTCTACTTTTATTATCTTTTGTGTAACAATTTTGTTTTATAAATATTGGGCATAAAATTTATTATATTTTTTATTGCACTGGAAGGAATTTTTTTCTCTGTTGTATGAGATTTTTTTAACTGATCTTACATACTTTCGTATCGCTGATTTCAAATTTGCAATCGGTTTCTCTCCCTAAGCTATAGTTTTTTAAATGACATTTCTAACTAATTTTTTGTCGAATTGTTAAAGTTTAAAAACGTTATATGAAACAAAAGGTCACATAAATTTTACGACAAATTTCTATGGCAGTTTATATCACCAGCCATTTCTATGGCAGTTTATAAACCCTGCTCGGAAGTTAATTTACAATCCAGTGGTCTACCCTTTCTTGGAGATTTTTCTCTTGATTGTTGCTGTTCATAATTATAGTGTAAGTTTTGATTCCTTTTACAATTTGTAACCTGAATTTAAAAAAAAAATGCAAGAGAATGAAGTTTTTTAAAAAGTTTGTTTAAGAAATTGCAAAAAGGAGAGCGAGTCGTTAAACACTACTGGATTGGAAATTTGATGCCCGGAAACGTCATCATTCATCACTGAGAACAATTCCTTATTCTGTTGCTTCTTTGCTTGCTTCTGAACAGGACATAACAAGGAAGCACTCCTAGATGCGTACAACAACATTACCGAGCAGGGGGCACTATGGAATTTTAATCCTGATTATGTGTCTTAATACTCTCGAAATTCGTCTCAACATTTACGCGACTTGTTGTTATAAGTAACAACACACTTGAACACACAACACACTTGTAACTTGACACTTGAACATTTTAACATAAAATAGATAAAATGTATCATCATTAAAAAATCGTCAATTTTAGGATCAAAACTAATTTCAGACTTGAAATCCCCACACTTGAATCAAGCAAGATAAAGTGTATGTATAAATGCAACAAAATTTTGTTCCTCAGTGAAATTTATTATAAATTTCTATTGACATTTATTTTTATTTTCATCAGTAATCTATGCAGTGTTACGATCTGAGAATGTCTGGCCATATATTCTACTGCAAAAGAGCTAAGACTGGGGATTTCCGTAACCATGATCTTGACAGAGAGTTCTTTTATGAAAAGGAAATATATTCAGTTCATTTTCTACGAGACACTGAAATGGTTAACAGTTACCGTGGTAAAATACTAACATGCTGCATAGAAAAGAAGTCTACCGATTCAAATGTCAACTTTTTCTGAACGATTTAAAATTTTAATATCTAAGTATTTAACTGCTTTGATAACCCTTTGCACTCAAGGGACTTTCAACTGTTATAATAGGGTTGAAATAGGATACCTGCAAGGGACATATTGATAGTATCTCGATCCTAACTGGTTGTTGAAAAGTGGCATTTGTTTCGTTAGCAACTGTTCTTTCCATTTAATTTTGAGTAAGCCGTCAATTATTAATTCTCTTTAGTGACACATTCTATATTCTTCTCCGAAGATTATTTCACAAACATTTCGATTCTTTCGCAATATATTTTTTACTTAACACAAAGACAGGCTCGATGCAAGGTAGAACATAAATAAAATATCTAAGTATCAAAGTTGACAGATACAGAAAACAAAAGTTTATCACTGTTACAATAAAATACATAAACAAATAATAATTCTAAGTTAAGTAAAAGATATAAACAGTACAGAATTATATTTAAACAAATTCGATGTATGATGATGAGCTGTATTTATTAAATAACATTCTAACTTATTTGGAGAAGCTTAATTCGACTTTGACACGCCATATCGTTTATATGCAATCAACTGGTGCTGATGTCATAGGACACGTGTCTGTGCATAAATGATCGTTTCCTTCTCGAGTTGCAAATACACAACTATAAACATAAAATAAATTTGAAACTCAACTATAGACCTTGTACTACCATAAACTGAAACACAGTCACCCTAAATGACACAAAGTAATAACTAAACTTTTTACCAAAAGAGACAGTTGGCGAATTTGGTCGGGTTTGTGCCTCGTTGCCTGAATAATTTAGACGGTTTCCCTACAAAACGTGATTTTCAATGCCCTAAAACGTGGATTTATTCAACGATGCAATTGTTTCTTGTTTTCAGTCGATGAAAATGTTTTTTCAGCTTTTAGCGCAGGTATAAAACTCCTTTACAAAATTTGAGAAGATGGCTTGTTTTTTAACTGAACAACACATTTGTATCAAGTACTACAGACTTGATTAGTTTGTGTATTGACTTAATTTTCGAAAATGTTTCATGTTCTCAGCTGTAGGGGACAGTATTTGCTGTTTCAACTTTTGAAAGGATATAATTATATTTTTTTTATCATTTTACGACTTATTTTCCATTTAATTATTTGTTTTCGATGGTAAAAAATTCGCTTGTGGGAGGCTGTAGTAATTCTAATTTTGGGGGCATTGTGCGTTAAAGCACTAATCTCTTATTTGAAATTAAGATATTTTATTTCCCTAAAAGACCCACCATTTCGAATTCAGTGGAGTAATGGAAAAAAGACTGAAAAAATTCAATGGTGTAAAGACTGCACAAATTGAAATAGTCACGTTCTGCTACGACGTCAGAGACGGTCAGCAAGATTTCCTGTAGGTTTTTAAAGGTTAGATGGAAAATATTTCTAAATATCATTTTTATCTCGCATACTTGTATTTAAACAGGTTTCCGAAAGTCAATACAAGACATCTAAATAAAACTCAATTTTGAAGTGTCCCGCAGTGAACTGATCGTTAAGACACGGTTCCCAGCAGATCACTGAAGTCAAGCATCTCTGACTGAGGTCAGTGTGCGGGTGGGTGAATTCTTGGATCAGTCTGCGTAGGGACCGAGGTTTGAATGACGAAACTGTGCTGACATCTGGACGATTGAAACCGACGAAGGGACGAAGGAAACAGACAGTTTTGCATGGTGGCTAAGGAGTTGATCTCCTACCTGGAAGACTCTATGTTCGAATCCTGTTTCGGGCATTTGCGTAACTTATCTGTCTTTTCTATTGGTCTTTTTATGACATTAGGGTGGCAATGCCCCAGCTGTTTTGTGCCCATGATAAAGTGATTATCAGAAAAGATAGATATATCAGGCACTACAAAGTATTTTTTTTTCTTTTTCAAAAAAGTAGAATGACGAAATATTTCTTTACTATTTACTAAATTAATTTCCACGAAGAAATGGCACTAGTTATTTCGTGACTTTGAAAAATGCACGCTCGGGGCATATACCAAAAAACGGTTTCGTCAAAAGCGAAAAACGTTTCTTAAAATTTGAACATCCATTTCTTACAGTGTATGAACATAGAGAAAGGGAAAAATAAAGTGGGTACCCCAATTTCTTACTAATTATTGTTTTACATTTCAGGAACTACAAATCGTACTAAATTGCCACAAAGAAGTGCGCCCTGGTAAAACACCATCTTCATACTCATTCTTTGAAGCCGCTTGCAAAAATAATGACCTTTTTAATCAGGTAATTTTCATAATTAAAGAATAACTAAACAAAAAGACCAAAATTTTCTTTTAATTCACACAGATTAGTTCTGTTGTTGCTTAAAAAAAAGTTGTTTTAAAAATTTGCATTTTGGTATTATCTATGATGGTAAATTTAATATGTTAAAAAATTTATCTTTTTATTTATTAATTTTTTTAATGCAAATATGTTTATAAACAAAACTGTTTTAAAAGTGTATCAGAATTACACGGAAGAAAAAATTCTGATAAAATAACCATACTGTATGGTAATGCATGTTTTTATGTAAAAAAATAACAATTCTGGTTGTCGATTGTTCATGTTTGGTTAATTTGGTGAAATTCTGGTTTTCAAAATTATAGTTCTTGTTGCCAAACATTTAGTGAAAAATACTGCAATGGAAAGTAAATTTGACCAAATAAATAGTTCTTATACCTTTCTGTAAGGTGTTATGATAAAAATACTTCGTATAATATATTTATCAGCCATAACGACTAATAAGCAATTAATTTATTAGGAATGTACAATAAAATCTTACCTTAAATAATTAAAGTAACAAACTTACAAATATCAAGGATGTTATCTTTGAAATATTTGAAAAAAGAGTATAACAGTCCTTAGTTTAATTTAAAATGAGGGCTAATTCTAAACGAATTAGAAAATTCTATTTTCAAAATGTCTTTCTTTATTGATTTAATTGAAATTTTTAAACGAATTTTATGGCTAAAATTACCTCTTTCTCCAAGTATCCAAATTTCGTGAGGCAAACGATTCTGAAGTTAAAAGAGAGACACACAGATAGACAAACACAAACTCTTTATTTTATTATTATTTTATAATCAATCTTTCAATCCTTATTTAAGCCAATTAAATGTGGAATATCAAAAAATCCTTCCTTAGTGGTTTTCTACGTCATAAAAGGAGCCCATTATTCAAAATTTATGCTTCTAACTTGCGTAGTACAGGCTCTGTGATGAAAAATTTGTAAATAAGTCAGTCAGTCAGGACAGATCTCTTTATGTGCAGAAATTACGCTATGTTATACTATGGGTACTTAATTTTTAAGCAATAATTAAAAATATTAGCTTGCATAGTTTTTTGAATCTAATTATTTCAACAAATTACAGCGATGTAAATTTCAACAATACTTCTAGTAAAGCTAAAATCAAACATAAAGATATTATAGTATTATGGTTTATTTGACGTACTTATTTTACGAACCTTATTTGCCAGTATTGCTTAAAAGTTAAAATTTTTTTTGCCATTTTTAAGGAAGGGCTAAAAATAATTTTTAAGAATTAAAATTTATTTATTTAGCAGTTTATGATTTTAAACTGCAAAAAAATTTCTATTAAGGTTGTTGAATACAAATGTTTATATTTTTCCTTACTTAAATTTTAGAGTTTTAAACCATATTGATATTTTATTATTTGTTTCAGTTCTACGCTTGCTTGTTTAGAAATGCTGTTATGCAGGGCGTAAGTAATATTTTTAAGATGATTTTATCCTGACTCAAATTACAAATTTTATTTTTTCATATAAATTAAAAATAATACAAGAACTTAACGACTACGACTTATTACGAATAATTGTCTTAAGTTGTAATTTATATCTTATGAATAGTGTAGACAAATAAACACCAAAATATACCTTGGAATATTTGCATACCCATGTAATTACCAATTTCCAAGACGTCAGTATTTTAACTTATAATTTGCGACCTGTCTCCATTATGAACTATGCTGCAGAAATTTCGTGGAAACGAGAAATATTGAACAGTGGCAGAAAAAGAAATGCTGACATTAGAGAATTATTTTCTTAATCAAGGTTTGTTTAAATTTTTCATTTGAGTAAAATCTAACGCACGTGTCTTTATACTGACTTTGACAAAAATATAGCTCTAAGCATTTAAAGCCATCATGGTTATTAATAAATTTTCAATAATCATTTTTTCTTCTGACCGATACTGACTTGTAAACAGGTTATGTCCCAATCAGAGGATTTTATTTTATTCTATCACTTACGTTGCTGACACAATTTTGCGTTTATAACTAATGCTCAACTCCTTAGCGATTAAGCAATTTTATAGAGAGATTAAAAAAGTTAAAAGAAAATATTGTTTTTTAATTAATCTATAATATATATTCGATTTTACAAATATTTATTTTTTAAATAAAAATGCATTTGAAGAAAGGTTCCTGTATCTCATTATGGTGCATATTTAAAGAGATTTCCAATTTCTGGCTAAAAGCACTACTACGAGAGATTATTCACAATATTTTGTTTTGGATTAGATTTATTTGATAAATTAAATATTTGATAATCTATTATAACTGAGATTAATTTAAAATTATAAAATTTAAATTGCAGTAGTTTCCATTTTATATAATTTCGTCCCGTCTTGTAACTTTTGAAAGTCTTGTTTATGTCGTGTTAAACGTGTACCATTTTGGTACGTATATAGGTACAGAGCTTTAAATCTATTGTCTCAACAGACTTTTAACATAAAGGAGCAAGTTTTTTCTGTGAAAGTTAAGAAGTAAATCTGTACTCGAACCAGATGAGAATATTTCACGTTGGTAGAACTTATACTGATCGATCATCGTAGGTATTTGAACTTAGGTCACTTCATTGGGAGAAGCGTGATGTGGTTAAACTGTAGTTTATTCCCATCCTTGGCGATTGGTTAAAATTTTTTTCCGATTATTTTACTTAATTATTTAAATTTACAAAGGTTTTATTAATCTTAATTTTTTATTTTAAAATATTATTTCAAGTTGATTTCATTCGAACTTTTCGATTTTAAAAGTGAACTTATCCTCAGGGGCAGTCAGTTAAAACGCGCAAAATTGCAACTTTCAAAATGGCATCAAGGGTGAAGTTCAACTTCTGTTTGCATCACTGGCTGTGGTCAGTGTGCGGGAGGGTGATCACTTGGATCAGTCTTCGTAGGGACCGAGGGTGTGCGGTATTGGTCCTCGTTAAACTGTTCTACCGTAAAGTGATCGACTTCGCGTGCAGGTTGTCGGGCTACCGAAGCGGGGGTGCCATCCCCTATGCAGAGGATCAAAATTGTGATGGAATGTCTTCGGATCATCCTCAGGGATGTTTCCCAGACCGTCGCCAATAGCCCATTGTGCAGATCTAGCGCGACGTAAATGTACAACAACGAACAACAACAACTTCTGTTTAACCATGAATTTTTCTCCCTATCTTGCTTAATTTGTGATGCCCTCTGTGGGCCACAGAAATATCTTGGAGGTGTAGTAAATTTGAAATAAAATAGTAATCAAATGTTACCCGATAAACTTGAAACGAGAAGCTAATTCACATAAGCAAACAATGAGTGATAACCCGGTATGCATATAATTTAGGTAATGATATACTGACTAAGACTAATGATAAACCCCATTTCGTTTAAAACTGTGAGGATCCCTGGAAAAGGAAGAAAAAAAAGGAAAGGAAAAAACAAGAATGTGTTTCAATACAGTAGAGAACTATAATGATCGATAAAATTATAGGCGGTGGAATCTTATGAGAAAAACACCCTTTAGCTAAAGTTTTAAAATATATTTTTCAAAAATCCCAATTATCATACACAGATTGCGAAGCTAAATTTTGTGTTTCTATAAAATATTTCCTCATTAAAAAATAATTTAATTTCTTTTTCAGAAAAATATGGAAAAATCCACTGTAAGTACTTACTTAATATTTTTATACATGTATGTATTTTATGAAGTAAATATTTTGGTATGTATTGGGGCATGTAATTTCACTTCTACAGGTACTATCCAGACACAAAATTATTTCTTGTCCTTATTTTCACGAAAAAAAGGGAATATTTTTTAAGAATTTAACAGATATAGCTAATAGAACTTTTGGGTGGCCAAAAGAATAAAAAAATGTAGAAATTAAAAACTCCAAAATTGCACGAAATAATATTATTTGGAGTGAATTTGAGAAAATCTTTGAACTGAGTCCATATGATTGAAGTGAACTTAAACATCAATTCTGCCCTTTGTGTTAACACAATATCCACTTGTTCATTAAAAAGATACTTGGGTTTAATTACATGAATATTTTATTTTATACCCAATATCCTTAATTCAAGAAGTAGTTTTTTGCTTGGGAAAGACAAGGTGTCAAAGGCAAGCAGATATGATAATACATCTGATGATATAGATTTTGGTCCTTTGGTTCTTTGCGCATGCTTTATTAATCTTCCTCTTAGAGTCTGTAACTCTTGCTCACTTTAAATATTTGTCCATTGCAAAATCAGGGGGAAGTTTGGTATTTTAAGACACAATACTTGACAAGAATAAATTTACTCCCTTGTCCTAAATATTTGGTCGCCAATGGTGAGCTAGCGACTAAAAAGTCACAAAATAATTGTGATATTTGAGCAAAGCTGACGAAAAATCCTTTGAATACTTCCTTGGCGGAAGCGGAGAATCGGAAGGAAATGTCAAAATAAAAATGCATTACGAAGCATATTCGATAACACATTATTTCTATAAAATTAAAAATTGATAGATAAGCTTGATATTGAGGTGATATTTGAGTAGTATATATTCAAAATCGTTCCACAGTTTTCTTGACGAAACCATAAAATTGAATAAAATAAGGTAAGATACGGCATGGGAAATATGCTTAATAACAGAATCTATAAAGAAAAGTGATATGATAATTGATTGAAAATTATCATTTCATACATACATTTGAATACATTTGGATAAATTTGGATACATTTTGAATAGAAATTTCATTAGCCCAGATGCAAAACCATTTTACTGCTATCTAGTCGAAACGGTATGAAGAAATGAAGTTACGGAATATATTATATATATATATATATNTCGTTATAGCAAGAGTAAAATAACGTTATCTTTTATGGATGTGAATTGGGACTCCTTCACAGGGTAGTTATAACACGAGTCGACTATATATATATATAATTATATATATATATAATTATATTTATACATAATTATATTTATATATAAATGTGTTTCATATTAGAGCAAATTTCTAAACAAAAAAAAAAGCTGACAAAGATTCTAATAACTCTTCTAGCATTGCATGCAGGATGCCTCAAAGTCGCATGGAATTGGCTGGCCGTAATAGAAGTAAGACGTAGCGCCATACACTATGGAATGAATGCTTGCCAGTCACGATTTACTATAAATTATGTAAAAAGTGCATATTCATGTATTTATAGCTGAAATAAAGAGTTGTATTAAGACTTGTAGAATTGAATTAAGTCAGTAAGAATACAAAATGTAGCCAAATTATAAAATATAGCCAAAGGCACCCAATTATAAATTTTTTGCAGACGAATCAGCTAATATACATTTAATAAACATTTGATAACAAATAATGTATAGAATCTAAACACAGTATTTTTAAAAATTTTAATTTTTCAAAAATTTTAATTTTTAAAAACTTTAATTAATTAAGGGATGGTAGAACAAAAACTGTCCCACTTATTTTTCACCCTAATGTGCAGCGTTAAAATCAACAACTACAGCGATAAGTGTAAAGCAAGTCGCTTCATGTTCTGATGACGACTTTAATGTTCTAGGCATTTCAAGATTAATTTTCTTGCCGCGTCAAAGGTTAAGATACATCCTTATTCATACATTGTGTGAATTGAATTTTTTAAAGCAAGTAGAATGCGTGCTTTTCAAAATTTTTGCAATCTTTTACAAATCTGACTAGTGAACTGGGGAAGAAATAATTTGTAGTATATAGATTTTTTGCAAAATTATTTAAAACAAGAAAAACTTAAAAATAAGTAAACAAAAGGATAAAAAACTAGAAAAGTGTAGATTATTCATTTCTATTTTTTTCTCTTTTTTTTTAGAATGTAGTTTGGTTAAAAAAATGTTTACTGCGTTTTTTTAAGTATTTGAATTATACGAAGTCAATCACCACACTGAGCATATTAGTATATATATGTATATATATATAGTATATGTAAAATGTCGAGAAAAAATGGAAAATAATAATGAGTAAAGAAAAAAAAGAAGAAAAATTAAAATATTGCAAAAAATATTTAAAAAAAATATATACATAATAAAAAGTCGAAAAACAAAAGATAAATCTCTTTATAAGTTCACACGATAATATCTGCAAAAGGAGTGCTTTTTAATATTGTATCACTATAGGAAGAAGAAATTAGCCATACCATAGTGTGAGGAGCACTGAAAAATTAAAATGAAAGCATTAAATGAAAAATATATCGGAAATAAAACGTATCAAGCAAAAAACATTAAATAAAAAGCAAAGAAAATACAGAACAAAGTACAAAACGAAATCTTTAAATCCAGTAGCGAATACAAGTGAAGTAACACGTACCTGAATTTTTCAAGAATGTTATGAAATATTTTCGTAGTAGGATTGCCAGAGTACAAAATATGAAAGAGGTAGCCATATAGAGTTAGAAGCTTAAGTATAGGCTTCTTTTTTTTGCGAGTTCTTACTGCAATAGAAGTGCGTTTGATTTGATAGTTACCTGTAATAATATTATACTGGATAGTTCAAAGTTTATAATTAATTAAGTTGATTTTTAATTATACAATTTTAATGATTTTAGAAAATTTACATTTAGTTTAAAAAAGAAACATTATTTGCACGTTTTGCACTGACTTTCAGCCACGTATTTGCCTGAACTGGATTTGCACATGGTAAAAATATAAATTAACAAAGAAATTTTTAGCAAATTTATTAACAATAACATACAGTTAAGTCAATGATTTTATGTAGATCTTAATTACATTAGTTGGGTACAATACTCTTATTTATTTATTTGTATTTTTTGGATCAAATTTTAAAAGTATTTGTCTATTTGCTTTTTTGGAAAATAAACATTACTACATATTCTTTTAATTCTATTCATTTGGTTAAAAATGGTATTAAAATAAATGATTTTAGAAATATTGGAATTCCAAGTTATTAGTTTGTTCAGATTAAAAATTAAAAATTTTTCTTTTATTGTAGAAATCAACAAAGCAGATGTTTTCTTCTTTTTTAATACCTAAATTCAGAAAATTAAAATTAATATTATCCTCATTATTACGAAGCAAGATTAATTCATTGGCTTGAATATTATTTAACAAAATTGTATGATCGTGAAAATTAAATATAATTAAATCAACAATAAATATAAAAACAAATTAATATTAAGATCATAATTTCTTTCATAATAGTGAAAAATAAGTTAGCTAAAATGAAGAATTAGATCCTTTTGGTATTCTAATAATATGAATAAAAATAAGTTTTCCATTTTAAAGATAATTATTGAAAATAAAAATTAACTAGAATTTCCCAATAATCATAATGGCAATTAAGGATATTTTTATATTTTTAGTAATAATTGAAAAGAACCTCTTTTCGTTTAGAAAGGGGAATGCTATTTAAAAGATTATAGAAATCATAAGTCGCAATATAATTAATTTTGTTTTGTTTAATAATTATAAAATGAGTTGATTATTAGTGATAATCCAAAAAAATCCTTCTTTTAAGAATATTATAAATAATTTTATTTAAGTAGTTAGAGAAAAAAGAGCCAGGTTTTGTTCGGTAAGTATTAGACCCACATGTGATTGTTCTAAATTTTATAGGAATTGCATGACATTTTGGACTGATAATTAAGTAAAAAAAATTATCTTGCTAACTTTAATTTTTAACCTCTTATATAAAGTTAAAATTTTTTTAATGATAATATTACTTTTTAAACTACTAAGCTTAAAATTTTTGTTATTTTTTAACTCCTTATTTAAAAGTTTAACAGAGAATTTTTTTCAGAAGATTGAATAATTATTGTTAACTTTGTCTATGGGGGTAGTTAAAATTTTTTTGTAGTTGCTTAATTGATTGAACAATTTTAGAAAATCTGTTGAATTATTACAGTTATTTAAATTATCCTTGTTATTGAAAACAAAGTTTTGAAAGAAATAATAACCACCCCATTTCCATTCTGTTAGCATACCTAAAGGTAAAGAAAATCTATTTGATGTTTTTAAACAAAAACTATTGAGATCATTAAGAAAGTTTTTTAGAGTCTTATTGATTGATATATGGTAAATGAGTGCCTAAATTCCGTGCCTTTTATCTATTAATTTTTAAGTTCTAAGTCTTCTATAATATTTAAATTACCAGTAATACCAGGACCAACAAAATCAAAATATCTCTCTTCTTCACAGTGACATTCATAATCGGATATATTAGTTTTCTCTTAATTTTTGCTAATATATCATTATAATTAAAAATAGTTCAACCAAGAGATTTATTATATTTAAGCTTTTAATCATGTTAAAATCCTTAAATGAGAAAATGTTATTTTATAATTTTCAAAAATGTTATGAAATATAATAGCATCAAAATTAAGGTTATGAAAGTTAATAATCAAAATAAATTATCCAAATTTTTCCTTTTATTTGATGAAATTTTGCGCATTTTAGCTTTTACAAGATAGAAACAAAGGATTTTGAAACATAAATTTATAAAAGAAAAGTTAATAATAAGCTGTTGAAGCTTATGCATGTCATTATTCTTAAGGGAGAAAACAAAATATTTCAATTTTTTAATTTAGAATGTTTATTAATTTTTTTTTCATATTAGAAATTAAATTTACATTTAATTTTTAATTATTAAGAAAATTTTTAGTAATTCCTGATCCACATTTACCCGATATGGTAGCTAATCTTTAGTGTTAAAAAGTGAGTAAGTTGAGGAGTAATTAAAGTTAAGCTGTGTATGTAAGGTATCACTTAGCCCATACGACAAAATTGTTTTGTACAAAAGCGTGGAATAATTTTCCATTTGTAGTGTTAAATTGATATCTTCAACTATATCTAAAATATTAATTTTACCACTGTTAAATTTATGTTCTCTAAATTGATTCAATACTAGATTATTGATAATTTTATTAACGTTTGTTGATATCTGAACAATGATGACTAATTCAAATATTAAGAGGACTGGTTAATCCAACATATTTCATATTACACGAACCACAGGTAAACATATAAATAACAATTTCAATTTTGTAAAAGGATTTACAGCTATCATTATTTTGAATTATATGTTTTCGTATTAACATTAAGGCAAGTTTTACATCTTTTATCAACACACGCTTTATAAGGAGGAAAAAATTCTGGAATCGAATGTAATTAAAAAAATCATTTGTTCACACAGGAGCAGGCTGTATATCTGAGTGTCCCCTCTGAATCTGACTCTTCGTACTGGGTACAACATGTAGAAAAATTAAAATATTTATCGTGCTTTTAACCTGGTGCTAAATTATTATTATTGTTCAAATCCATGAAAAAAGACTCAAGAAGCAACGTACCAAACACACGAAATTAGAAAAATGAATTAAAAGCGGAAACAAAATGAGAACAAAACTAAGGTAATAGTAGAAAATATTTAGCGTTAAAACTGCATTAAATATGGTCATTGCAGCATAGCACGATAAACACAAAAAAGATAAAACGAAAAAAAGAGAAAAACGAAGAAAAATTAAGAAAATTAATAAGTTATATTTACTGTGCATAAGCTGCATACTATTGTACTGATATATTTTGCTTTGGCATTATTGATTCAATATTAGAAAGTACTCATTTTGAGGATATTAATCCGTATTATTTTTCGTGTTTTCTCCATATTTTTAAGTTTCGTATATATATATATANAATAATAGTATTAGGATGTGCGCACTAATAAAATTTGTTTCTTCCTATTTTTGAACATTCATATGTATGTATATATTTATATATATATATATATATATATATATATTCTAAAAAATTAGTAAATAATTTGTTAGAGGTCTAAAGAAAGATCTAAAGAAAAATTGATTGTAGCAAAAAAGAAAATAACAATAATGAAAAAAAAAAACTTCGCTAAATTTTCTGTAATGCCAAAATATATGTAATTAATGTTAAATACGAAAGGATATAAGTAAAAATTTCTCCCGGTGGCTGAGCGGTAGCGCTTCACGCTGTCGTCCCATAGGGTCTTGGTTCGATCCTCGGGCCGGGCAAGGTTGACCCAGCCTTTCATCCCTTCAATGGGTCGATAAATGAGTACCAAGCACGTTTGAAAACTAAACACTCGGGGTTCCACGTTCGGCTGACCACCTGACCGGAACATCTGCTCCTGCACCCCAGAGCCCTAAGTCAAGAAAACTGAGATGGGCACAGTAGGCTTTGGCCCTCTATGAGCTTTCGCACCACTGAGTTTAGTTTAATGAGTAAAAATATGGTTTTTAATAAAGTAAAATTTAACTTTGACTATAATCTACTTTATGTTTGAATATTATTCAAAAATTCAATTAAAGAAAGTGCCTTTTTTGAAAGTTTTTTAAATGACAATGTCAAATATAGTTCAAAATAATTACATCCACTACTGTTACTTTAATTTCATTACTAAGATTACAGATTAATGATTTTCTCTAATTAAAAATTATTGCATTAACTGAGTGCATTTTTTTGAATTTTTTTTAATAAATATGTTTTTTATCTAATCTTATATTTGATATACGTTATTTAGAAAATCCAGAGAAACACAAATTGTCAGGTTGATTGAATATAGATGTTTTTATTAGATGTTTATACCGACATATGGGAATCATGTAACATCTGTCAGTTACACGCTTCTTTGTAATGTGTCTTATTTAAATTAAAATCTTAACTTTCACTTTCAGAACTTCTAGGAAGATCAAATATTTAGGTAAGCTTTCGTTTAAGGTTGCTTTTTTTAAACATATTTCATTAGTTTTAGTGGTTTAAAATCTTTTTCCGTAAACACTTGAAAGAAAGATTTAGATTTTTCTCTTACAATTAATAAATGTATAGAATTTTATATTCTTTAATATAAATATATCAAATTGAAAGTATAAACTTCTTTTGACTCTTCTTTGATAACTACTTTTTTTCCTTTTCAATTCTTTTGAAATAAATCTAGGATAACAATTTTCGAATAAAAGTTTGAAAGCCATCATTTAATATATTTTTATTATAAATCTTTTTTTTTCTTTTAGGCCACAAAATACTTTGTTTTTAAATAATTATTTATTTAAAAACTGCCCTCATTGTCTTATTTTTTGATACTCATAGGAGATTTAAATTTACTGTTAAATGGTTAAATGCATTTAGTTCAAAATCTGGAAAATTAAAAGTATAAAAAGTACAATTCAATAATAAAAATCTGAAGAATGTTTCTTATAGAAACTTACATTTATTTCAGATTCACAATTTAATACATTTTATTAAATTCATATTACATCGAGAAAAAATTACGGTCAAAACTACCAGAATATGATAAAATTCACCATGTTTCTGGCTCTATGGGAACACTGAAAGTTATGGTAATTTTTACCGAAATACTTTGGTAATATTAACAATAAAAACTGTTCATAAAAAGCGATCTACGGTGCAAAAAATTAATAGAAACTATAACATTTAGCAAAACTATTGAAATCAAGAACCACTTCGTTTGAACACCACTGAAATCGAGCGATTGAGATGAAATAGAAGGGTTAAATGATCTAAAAATACTGTTATAGAAATATCTAAATATTTCGAAAAAACTCACAAAATTAATTTATTCATTGTAAGTGTTATTTTCCCATATTCAAGCAAAATAGGCAAATAATCACAAAAAAGATGGTATTCAAACTGACAAGTGTGAGAAAATCCGAAAGCCGTTTATTAACTACTTTGTTCTAATAAGGTTAAACAATCAAGATTTCATCGCACCAACAAGATCCATATAAAAAAGGCACTTAATTACTTGCAGATGGGTATATATTGTAGCCAAGAAGATTGTCTGTTAATCGCATGACCAACGACTCGAGTCTCAACATTGACTCCTCATTATTTCACCCATTGCCTTCATATTAAGTGCTTTCATTCCCAATTTGTGACCCTGGGCTATTAGAATATGGTACTCACATTCAAGCATAGATTGTATCAACATAATACTGCTGAAATAATACCAATATTCACTTGATTTTTTTATGGTTTTGAACCCATGCTAGTTGTAAATGTTTAAAAACCATCTAGTTTTGAACTCGTGGTTTTTTTTACCATAGTAGTTGCAAAGAATTTTTATTTGAAAATGAAGGGAAAAATGTCCCATGCTGTAAATTTTGCAGTTAATTGGAAGATAGAATGCTACTGGTATTTTACCATAATTTTGGAATGAAAATTCTAACAGTGAATACAAAGGACATTCGACAAAAGGATTCAGTAGCAGAGTTTCTTGTAAAAGAACATTAATGAGTAACCTATGATAAAGAGTAAAGCGAGAAATGTGTAAAATTTGAGAAATCTCGATAATTTTATGGTGTAATGATTTAGGGCTGCATTTCAGACTCAGGTGTTTGCCATTTGGTTTTTATAGATATCACTGTATATCATTTTGCTTATATGGAAGTAAGAATACATGCAGATGATATTTTTAGAATAATTGCATCAAATACCCTCCTTTATAACGGAATAAAATTATGTTTTTAATGCCCAATGGATTAAGAGAAGATTTAAGGTGGATCATGGATTTACCAAGTATTGAATTATAGTTACCAAAAATATAAAACTTGCTGCATGCTCATTTTCGTGTGTTACTTAATTTCTCAATTTTTTAAATTATTTTTATGTTTATAATTTAGGAAGAGTTATACGATTCTTAGCACAAAATTGCAAACATTATCAGCTAAATTTTCAAAGTCATAAAAATATGTTAATTTGTAAAAGAGTTTGCTGACTTCCTTATATTTCAGTATATTTTTTGAAAGGAAAAAATTCTATTCTAGGTATGAAGTTTTGTCATGCTTGTAGATGCATTACAAGATTAGGAAAAAAGCAATCGAAAATGTTGTTTAAATTGAAATAGGTAGTTAAAAATGTTAAAAGTACCGAATAAAAAAAATCGCTGTGCGTCAAGCTATGTATAATTATTGTATAACTATTATATCTTTAAAAATTACAAAGAAATATTTCCTTTATTTAAATTAAATAATATTTCAAACAAATCAATTAAATCAAATAAATCAATAGTTTAAATATAGTTCAATTAAATTTCAGTTCAAATAATAATAATTTTTATTTTCTAGTGCAAAATCTCTTTTTTTACAAAATGTATGCCATCTGGATCTTTTTGGTTTATGTTCTGTCAGTCACTGCCTTAGGACCAGAAGATTTGTGTGGTAAAAAACTTCGCAATATTTGTAATTATTGATTTTTTACAAATACAAAAATTGAATTTCATTTTTTAAAATATTTTACACAGGTACAATTACAGAGGAAATAGCTGGCGAGTTTGATAAATGTAATAAAGTTGATCCTGAATATGTAAGTATTTACTACATTTCCAATTTAGAAACCAATTAAATGCAATCAAAATCATGTAAAAGCTTGCTAATATTCTAAACTATACAAAGATGAATTTGGAGAAAATTATCTGAATACTTGTTAACTCTTCAATTAATACACTATAATAGCTGAAAATATTTCTACAACATATATGACTACTGTATTTCGCTGTATTTTTGTTCCAAGAATGAAATTAATAAATAAAATAAACAACATAAAAATATATAATTGAAAATTTTAAAATCTTCGGTGTTGAGAATTTGCAATTTACGGACATTTCAACTCACATATAAAGAAGCTTGGTATAGATTTGATAGTGCAAAAAATTTCCTTGATGTTGATGAGGGGCAAAAGTTACCTCATTTCACTGATTTAATAATTAGTTTTGGTAACAAAATACGTAGGGGTACTCTTAATATTTGAAAAATTTAAACATATTTAATCAATCTACTATGAAACCTACCAAACATGTCTTGCCATTCAGAAATAAGTGAAGCTATTATTTCTTCACTAGTTTATTAATTGATCTTATGGATGCTGATACCCTTGTGGATGCTGATAAGCAAAAATATAATAGAGGTGAGCCAATTGGCTGGCTTTAGTTAGTTTAGTGATAAGACACATTTTAAATCATCCAGAAGAGTGTTTATTAAAAGTGTGTTTGGTGAAAAACACTATAACTTTTTCCTATGTTTTGTGCTGTTAGATAATAGAAGCTACGAAAATCTAGATAGGTATTTCTGAGTACCTATCTGAAATACGATACTGAAGGGCGGTTTCATTTTTAAAAAAATGCCATAATTGGTAGTGTTGCTTAACATTATTTTGCCCCAAATTTTGCTTACAAATAATTTGTTTTGTTTATTTTGGCTTCACAGCTGTCTTGTTATTGCTAATACTTTATAGTGTTTGGAATTGTGTAAAACATTAGTTGTAACAAGAGTTGAGATACTTTAGAGAAAAAAAGAAAACATAAATAAATAAAAATCATTTCACAACAGTCATTATACAACAATTTTTATGTATGTTTAAGCTTCAAGACAAAAAACAACAGAAAAATAGTTTTTAAAAATTTATTTTGGGTTTACTTTGTTTCACTTAGGGCTTACTGTGTTTCAATTTTAATATTAGGATTTCCGAATCAAAATAATCAAAAATCAATTTTCATTAGAAAAGTTTAAATATTGATAGATTAAATTCAGATATTTATAATTTGCTGAAAGTAAGCATTATCGAATTGATGCTCTGAGAAAACTCAAAACTACCAGAATATTGTAAAATTTCTCGCGTTTCTGGCTCCATAAGAACACCAGAAAGTTTGGTAAATTTTCAAAAAGCGCTTAGGTAAACATAACGATAAAATATAGTTTTGCAAAAAGGGATAAAATTAGTAATTTTATCATGATATTTCAGAATATGGCATAAATACCATTTATTCGGTTAAATTTTCTCAGTTTTGTATTTTTCCCTAAATGCATGAAAAAAAAGAGCTGTAATTTGGAAAAATAATTTCTGGTAAACCGTTACTATATGAACGGAAATTTACCAAATTAATGGCTTAAATACCGTATATTTTGTTTAACCTGAATTAAGGTTTTTAAATGTTACTACCATACATCATGGTAATTTTACCAGTTGTTTTCTCTGTTTGCATAAAACCTGACTCAAGAGAACTTAGGAAGTTTAAAGAAATTTTTAGAAATTCGAAACTCTGCTTTATGAGTTTCGAATTATATAGTTTATATACACTTGTAAAGATCGAATATTAATAGTTTTAGTAAACACTTGTTTATGCATGTTTAAAATATGTTATGTTAAAAAATCATGATCAACAGGATTAGATTCTCTTAATTTACCAGACTACTTTCGGCATCTTGTGACATCTATGTTGTCACAAGATGTCGAAAGTATGTAAGAATATCCCACCTTCAGAATTGAAAAAAGTAGTTATGATATAAATAGAATAGTATATAATTAAAATAATGTGTAAATAAAATGATATTTAAATAAAAAAATGACAAAACAAAGAATTTAATAATTTTATTACATAATTTTTCAAGAAGAACTAACAGAGGTTTGTAAATTACTAAATGTAACAGTGCGCCGAAATTGCGGAAATACTTTTAAAAGCATTACTTTTCTTGACAATTACTACTTTGTTCAAAATTTTCGATTTAAAGTTATACTAACTCATTATTTTACTTATCCAATAGTAAGGTACCAGTTATATATCCAATATTAATTTTAACGTGATGTAAGTTTTAAACTATGTGCTTTAAATTAATGGTAAAAATTGTGCTTTTTTTCTTTTAGGTTCAGAAAATCGTTAAAGAATGCCAGTTAAAAGTGGTTCCAGACGAAGAAGTAAAAGTCTATCCCTTTTTCACTGCAGGCTGCAAAAATAATACTATTTTCAGAACGGTAAAGATTATAAGTTTTTTCCGTTAAACTAATCTATTGGAAATAGTCTTTAAAAATTATATTAGTGAATCGTTTTACCTATAATTCAAAACCGAATAAACTCAAAATTTGAAATATTTATGGGCATCCCCATGCCCAAAAAATTACATGCTTTTCTTTCAAGTTATCCACTGAAGACTACAAAATTTGTTCACAAGTATCATAAAAAAAAATTCTTTTGCAAAAATAAGTAGATTTGGAAAATATTACGTTAAAATACAAATATAAAGAAATTAAAGTAAGTCATCTGATTAAAGCAGCTTTTTTAAAAATGGGTAGGATGCAGTCTTTACCCAAATTGCGATGCGTGCAGTATGCGGAAACTTATATTATGCGGAAATATTTTTAAGGAATTATGCTGCAAGATTGCAAAATTTTTTGAAAACTTATGTGGTATTGGTGTGGATGACGTAAATAAGAAACAGAAAAAATTTAACTTGATAACAAAATATTCTTTTCTTTTGTCCATCTTGGCTTAATTACTATTTTTCAAATATCATGATTTTAACTTACCTATTATAGTCAGAGATAGGTTGCTAATATGATTTTAATAATTAAAAAAGAAGTGAAGTTTGAGAATAAAAAGAACCGTAGCGACAAGTTTGCTTCGCAAATGAAAACATTATTTGTGAAAATGAAAACGATGCTCTGATTCGATCGGAGGACAGTTGAAAAGTATGCCTTTTTTCGTATTTTTGAGCAATTTTTAGAGTAATAAATACGAGTATTATTTTTTATGATTTTAGGACATTAAACTGACTTGATCAAAAATGTAATTATAAAAACAAGATTTAATTGTAAAATAATAAATCAAATTATAAAACAATAAATCTAATTATAAAATATGAAATCTAGATTTATTTATGAAAATAATTGAATGTGGAAAATTTAATCTAGCTTGGACGAAATCTTAGGTGACCATGTGAGGATAGAGTTGATTTTCTTATTGCTTCTGATAGATGAAAATATCACCAAAAATGTAAACTTATGGATCGAATTACGATGAAATAAAGTACTGCTAGCCTAATTGCAGAATCCATAATATCTTTTTTACCGTAAAATCTATTATAGCGTAATTTTGGCAGTGCACAATGACTGAATCACGGTCATTAAATATTATTGTCAAAGTTACTGTATAAAAATTTATGGTAAAATGGATATTAAATAGGCTACCCTTAGCTTGCCAGTACTCTTTACCGTAATTTGATCTAGAGTTTTCTAAAAGTGTACTCGATATTTAAAAAACTTTTTTTTTGAAATAGTTCGATAAAAAAATTTAAATTTATTTCAGACAAAGATGTATTGATTATAAAGTTTTGAGATATAGGATTTATTACTTTTAAGACAACAAAAAAAAATCATAAATAGTTTCTAAATTGATGTGACATTACAATTGAAATCTTTCGATTTCAGACATCAGGATGATAATCGTCCTTAAATTAGTATCTTGAAAATCATCTAAAAGCAATTTAACTGCCTGAAAAAATATTTTCTGTCAATTGCAAAGCTGCAAGTAACGTCATCGTAGGTAAATAATGGCATTTGTCAAATCAGATATCAATCAGGTTTGACACAGACGCATGATATTGCTTTCTGGTATCCAATAAGATCTGATTTATCAGATAGTTAGGCAATAGCACTTCCCTTCTTCAATAGTTGCTAGTATCTAATTGCAATATATAATTCAATTTAAGTAACTAATAAATTTTATAACTTATAAATTTCTACATAATTATTAAACTGATAAATTTCTATGTAATTAAATTTTTATTATTGTTTCAGTTTGAAAATTGCATGGATGAAAATAGAATCAAAATGACCATAGTAAGTCGTTTTTTAAGATAAACTTTATTTACTATTGCACTATTTTGACTGATATAGTGTTGACATTCGGTCAATTAGGCATCTTCTCTGACATCCTCTTAAAATTTTGTAATTTTTTCATTTCTCTGGCTCAAGTAAATTCAGATATTTTATTTTTAAATTTTTAATTATTTTTTTTGAATAACTGCTCATAAAATATTTAAAGGAAACAGTTAAATTTATTTGTGCCCGTTAGTTTTGCCTTCGCAACTAAATCACTTTTGATGCCAAATTGAAAAGTACTGAACTTTTTAAGAAGCTGCCATGTTGATATCATTCTAGCTTTGATTGCACAAAATTAATAAAAGTCATAAAGGAATCGTTTTCCTGTAAATATTTTTGTCTCTCTAATTTAAAGATATTTAATTGCACTGCTATTATTAATCCTTTGGTTTTGATAATTTTCTAAATTAAGAGTTTAAAATTAAGAGAATCGTTTTTTAATTACAACATATTTACACTACGGCTTAAAATAAAGTTATTTAAATCGGTGTGTAATTTTATTAACCGTTTTACAATTATTATTTTTTATGCAAATTACATCAATGTGCTATTATGTTTTTGTAGAATATTTCCGTCGTTTAGCAAAGCTAAATTATGGTCTATGAAATCTGTCACTCTGAGAAAGCCTAATACTAGAACTAGGTTCGTGGAAAGATCTTGTCTGGAAAGCCCCAGACAATCTAGCATATGGTCAGTAATTAATGTACTACTATAAATTACAGTTAAATAGATTCCTTAAATTATTGAAAATTTAACAATCGGCTCCATGTACAATTTGATACCATACATCCGTCCTTTTGGTAAGCCAAAATATTATAATTCGTTTGTAAACTCACCAAATTTGTCATAACAATATATTTTTAATTTTAATAGTATTTTAAAAAAAATGATTACTTAGAAAAATTACTAATGGCTATTAGATGGAAATTTTACCTTTATGGTTTTGAAACTGTCTACAAAGAGCATGTTTAAAAACCCATGAATACAAAACTATACGTTTTTTTTAACCATTTACAACTGGCATGATTTTGAAACCATTAAAGAGAAATTTAACTGGAAATTGGATCTAGGTTGTTCATTAGTTAATTGTTAGATTCGCAGGGTATTGGAGTTAGATTATGGTTGAAATGTGTTTTATCAAATGAACCGTGATTTTTTTAGGTTGTTGTTTATTTAAGTTTACTTTGGTCTGGTTGTTTCACCTATCGTAAATAAAAGTAAATACTATACTTTTTTTGTTTTATGGAGCTGTATGAAGCCGCTATTTATGCGTTAAAGAGAGTATCGCATTCAAATAGTCAAGTGTCTCTGGAAAATCTTCATGTGTTGAAGGGAATGGATGGAGAAAATATTGTGTTGTCAACGCTGGGACTCGGGTCCCGACTACTGATTAGCCCCATCCGCTATAATATGTACCAATCTGCTTGAAGCTAGGCTCATTAGGTGGACCTAGTTGGTGTGATAAAATTCCGGTTGCTTAACCGTATTAGATAAAAACTGTTAATAAACGGTTTTTTAAACAATTAACAGTTTGAATACCATCTTATTTATCATTATTTGTTTATTTTGAATAGTTTAATTGTTGATTATGGTTAAATGGCATTTAAACAAATTTAGAGAAAAGGTTATGGTTAAATGGCATTTAAACAAATGAGAGAGAGAGAGAGAGAGAGAGAGAGAGAGAGAGAGAGAGAGAGAGAGAAGCTATGCAGTGGTCGTGAAATGTCGTAAACCTGCTTCGCGGGTCGGCTGGTCACCTGTGGTGACCAAACATATGAATGAAAGCCAAAATCTAATGCTACCAGCCAACAAATATGTAAATATAATTAGATCCTTCTATATAATAACATACACAGCAAGACTTGAACTAAGTCAAAGAAAGAAGAGGCTAAAATCGCCAACTGTGAAAGAAAATTCTTGCCAGAAAAGAGAAGAGGGCAATTCTTGCAGGAAAAAATTTAATAAATGCAGAAATGTACAAAATTTATATGTAAATTGGTTTTACAAAATTTATAAAATTTAGCAGAATGAAATTTTTCTGGCATATTTGCAATTTAGGCACAGCTAGCCCAAGACATAGAATTTTTCAAAAATACACCTGTAGGAAGTAGAGCTAGAGGAAGTCCTAAACTTCGATGGTTGGACTCAATTAAGACAGATTTCAAAACACTGTGGTAATGAACTGGAAATATCTGACAAAAAAAAAAAAAAAAAAAAAAAAAAAAAAAAAAACTGTGTGGAGAAATCTTCAACGTAAGGTCAAGGTTAACCCTGGGATGTTAATATGCTGGCAAATGTTGATGATAATGGTGCTGGTATGGCAAATGATGATGATAATGCTGTGTTTACAGTATATTATACAGTACATTATACTTTATTTATATTATTCAGGTAATGTTTTTATTCAGGTATATTATACAGGTAAAAGCATTGTAATATCTTTATATTTTAATTATACTATACTTAAATAGTTATACTATACTTATACTTTAATTATACTCTAATTAAAGGTACTACTATACAATATAATTTAAGTATAATGCAATAGTTTAATGCAGATTACACTTGAGTTGGTATTTTTACAAAGTTTTTATTTTAAAAAGCAATTACTTCAGTGCTATTGGGTTGTATTTCGAATCTTATACAAGTATTTATAGAAAATTTTTTGAGCATAAACTTATAGCTAGAAAATGATTTGTATTAAACATGAATAGCATGTAACTTTTATTGTCAAATGGCCATTTTTAATTCTTCGCTTTGCGTGAAGAATTTTTTAAGGTGTCTTATATTTTTAACATTTTTATTTATTTATTTTTTAGTGGGACACAGCACTGGGTAGTGTGAGTATTTTAAAATAATATTTCTATAAATAGTTACTGTTTCTAGAAAATCAGCCTTTTATGTGTTATAATATCATGATATAGAAAAGGAATTATTTTTGAAATTTTGATTTAGAGCTGTAAAATATAATAAGTATTATGATACTTAAAGTGGTGCATTCGTTTTTTTAATATCGTATTAGCTTCTTCGAATTATGTGAATTTTATAAACTTGCTTTCGAAATTCTACAGAACCTATTGCTTCAGGTCATATAAGGAACGTATTTGACTGACTTATGTGTGCGGATGAAAGATGAGTGTTTAAATGAATTTTAAAATTACAAAGTCACGCAACAACGTATTTTAAAGTCTGAAGTTTTAGTTCTTACGTAAACGCTTACTATTATTTTATAAACTGTACTGCTTCAAGAGAATGGGCTCTAAAAACAAAAGAACTTTGTTAGTTTTTAGAGATAGGATGTTTTCAGTTGTTTGTTCTATGTACTCCAGTTTTTAACAATGCAGAATAAACTTTAAGAAAAACCTTAAAATGAGTAATAGATTATCAAATTTATGCTTCAGGTTTTCAGTAATCACTACCCTTAAAATAAAGTTTTAAAACGCTTGCCGAAAATAAAATCAAAATCTAAAAGCATTGGATTTTTTAAGTCAAAATTAAAATTAAAACTCAGTGGCGTGAAGGGCCAAGGCCAACTGTGCCGTTCTCAGTTCTTTTGATCTAGAGCTCTGGGGTGCAGAAGGAGATGTTCCAGTTGGGTCCTCAGACGTACGTGGAATTCCTATTATCCTACAAGAATGATTGGCACTCATTTCATTTTATTTAATATTATAACCATCGTTGAACAACCTACCCAGTTTTTCGGGTTTACGACTACTAATGTTCAATTCCGTAGCCTTGTAATTTTGAAACCAATCCGGAAGACAAGGAAACTCTTGGATCAAGTATTGGGGGAAATTTGCCTTCGTGGAGGACTTTTTGATGGAACTAATTCGCATTTGCATTACAAGGAGACAAAACCCACGAAAACCCCCACGGTTAGCCTGATGGCAAGGGGACTCTCACCCATGATTCGTCTACAGCTGAGGATACTTCTCGCCAGCACTGTGGTGGGTTTAAACCGGATGCGGTTTTCGAATCAACCAGTCATTGCTGGGATACGAACCCGGTTCACCTTGTTGGAAGGCATAAGCTCTATCCCCTGAGCCATCACGGCTAGTTCTCATTGATCAGCTGAAGTTATGAAAGGCTGAGCTAACCTTATCCGGTACATCGGTAGAGCATCGAAAGCGTGGAGTTTGATCGTTCTCTGGTTCAGTCCACAATTGAGATCAGAGCATGAATAAATGGATATGTGAATGGGTCTGCTCTATAAACGGGTTGTGACGTGTGTGTGGCTGAAATTGTAATTTGGCCATAGAGGGTGCCACTGAAAAAAGGAACAAAAAAAGAACATCCTCTGCCTTAAATTCCGTTAATCCGCCCTAATCCGTTCCGCTTAGTATCACCAAGCAAGCTTGCAGATATTGGCAGCAACAAATGATAATGCGAACACTACAACAAATGATAATGCGAAAGAAAATAAAACTTAAAAAGAAATCACACATTTCTTTTTACTTTTCAAGAACGATTTCATACAAATTTTGAACATTTTAATTTCAAAATTTAACGAATTTAAATAAAGTTAGAAACGAAATTTAAAATAAAGTTATTATTTTAACGCCTTAAATTTAAGAAAAGTTTTGGATCTTCATTAATCAAATTAAATTTCTTTTTAAACGTAGTAAGAATTTCATATTTCTTATAGAAATATTACTGTAATCAAAGAAAAATGTACTTTATAACTGATTTAATTAAATATTTCTAAAATTTCCTAAACTGAAATTAAAGATCAGGGATTCACACAAACAATCACTCTTCTGAATATACTATCGTTTCCGAATACGCGGATTACGGATTCGACGATTTTTGTGAGTAAATTAACAGAAAAAAATGAGTTCTCTAAGAATGATAATTACAACTGCATTCTGTATGCTGAGGTAAGACACATTCATCTTTTATATTTATTTATTTTTTTAGTTTATTTATTGGCTGTCACTTTTAACAAAACTCTGTTATTAATATTTCTAGGCATGTTACCGAAATGTTTCCATCAAATATGACCTTGTTTGGCCATAGTGAAAGCAAGAAGAGACAACTAATACAGTACAGAAATACTAAAATCAAAATTCTAAAGATCATGATTTACTATTGTTAACCATTATTACATGATTTGTTACAATTCTTTTCATTTTTTAAAACTTTATTTCGTATTATAAATTTCCCAAAAGAAAATATCTGTAAACTAAAAATAATAAAAAAAAAATGTGAGAAAAAACTCTCAAGTTTATTTACAGAAAAAGGTTTGTTGAGAAAATTTAAACCACTCATGTTATCTGATGGAATATTGATCGTAAAATCAAATAAATACATTGTTACGGAATTTTTCTGAACTATGCTTTGTACTTTTTTAGGGGCGTCCTTAAAAATATTCTTTAATGAATATTTTTGGAATGTTCTGCTAAAATTTTAGTCATAAGGAGTTATATTCGATAAAAATTTATCAGTTAATGTCAAGACAAAAAATATGCAATTAAAAAATGAAAATCGAGAACCAAAAATTTTTATTTTTGCTTTCTATAATTGCGAGTATCAAAAGAGCTTAAAAATTATTTCTAATCAACAATAAATTTTATTAAAAGCAATTCCGCCTTTTAAACTTATTTATATGTAAAAATGAATGTTTATCTCTGTGCGGGCGTGTGTGTTCTTCAGAGACTCCTAAGCCATCAAACCGAAGGCGATGAAATTTGGCATACAAAAAGTTAAAAACACCAGGAAGGTCTCTGTTGACATGAAAACATTCTACGACAAACCGTTCGAGTAGGATTAACAGGAAACAAAATGGAATTTTCTGATTTGTTAAGCCTCTACCATTGCTTTAAATTTAACAATTGACGATTCAATTTTTCTCATATTTCAAAGATAGCATCAGTGATAATTGCTAGTTTATAGTTCTATTTGATAAAAAGTAGTTTATTGCACTAATTTAAATATTTTATTATTTTATATTCGCTATGAATAAATAAATTCAATGAACAACATTACGTGGTAATACGCGTTATCTACGTCAACAAATTTATACTTTTAAAGTTGTCTGATCAAGTGCTTTTTTTATTTATATTAATTCTTTTAATATGTGTTTCTAAAAATATGATTATTTAAAATTAACGGTAATTGAATAGAAAAAAAATGTATTCAGTTTCAAAATTAATGGGAAAGTAATACTTATTCGTTTAGGAGAAAAGTAAAAAATTCTCACATTATTATTGACGCCAATGATATGATGCTTAATCATTTTAGATAATGTATGCACATTGAAATGAAAGAAATTAGCTTTGTACTAGAAGGCGAAAGTAAAGGAGTAAAGGTATTTATTTGTCTGGAAGAACATTAAGAAATCTTCATACTATCATTGACGATAATGATGCTTATTTAATGTTGATAATATGCATTAATTGAATAAAAAAATATCTTATGTACTTACAATATGGTAAAACCATCATGATAAAAGCAAAAATAATGAAAAAATATGCTTATTCATTTTAAGGAACTGCAAAATATCCCCGTAATGTTATTGACACTAAGGCTTAATTAAAATTGATAATATATTTAATTGGAATAAAATAAGCTAGGTACTAAAAAGCAAAGCTAATGGGAAACGGGTAATTAAAGGTTAAAAGTGAAATTTGACGAGGAAAAACAGTAGAAAATTGGAATTCACAGATGACGCTTAATTAATATGTACTATTGAGGGTAATATCAACTACTGGTAGTTGGTGCAGTTTTGATACGAATTCTACAACGGGTTTTTCGTAGTTTCAGAAAATATATTTTCCAGTATTTGCAAAGATAATGCATTAATATTTTGATGAATTAAAACTGGAAAAATACTTTTCCACTACTACTTATAAATATTTTAACAATAAAGTAAAGGTCAAATAGGGGAATGGTCATGCTCCAAAATACTTATCAAGTTCGGATAAGAATTCTATTTTTCTTTTATTTTTGCTTTATTTGACTGCCACTGACAAAAATGTATTTTGCACCAAACCATAAGTTGAAGGGGTATTTTATCCAATGGGATGAACCACAAAAAAAAAAGTTTCGCTTACTTAAATAACGCAAAGTCACCGAGAAGAGCAACACATAAAATTAAATTAAATAATTAAAATTATTTTAGCTACATTAATTAAAAAACCTAGTGGCAGAATCAGGTAAATTATATTTTCAGAACGAAAAGTAAGTTTTATCCGAGCTATTTTATTACCTATTTATTCAAAGACACGACTAATAATTCTTTGCTTTATTTTATTTACCACTGCCTAATTTGAAACAAAAATCATGCAATTATTTTGAAAACTAATGTGAATTATTTATGTTAAGGTTAAAGTGAAGGCAGAAACAGTTCTGTTGCATTAAACACACCATACCCATATTGATGCAAAAACTTGATTTTTTTTCTCTGATTCACTAACTCCCCTAAGAATGTCACTTTCCAGGATCTTAAATTAAGCTCTTCAATTAAGTAGGTATATGCCGTTCTGTTTTGAGCGCATAATTTAGTACCGTTTCTCAGTACTGATTTATTGATTCTTAGCTTTTTACATTCACCCCATGCAAAGAATGGGTATTAAGCTAGTAGAGAATAAAAAGTAAAAATTCTGTTAAAAAAAATGTTAGAAATGTAAAAACACTGTTAAAAATGTTATCGTATGCTTTTCTGACCTGGTAAATTTTAGTGTATTGAAAATTTTTTAAAAATTTCTTGAAGACAAAAATAACGGTAACTACTTAACACAAAAAGCTATGTGAGGAAACAGTGGTCATTCTTGTCGTGATTGAACACCAAGGACAGTTCTTGGTCTCCAAAAGCACCAGGGTGGTTCAATCTTACTATTTTGGATATAAAGTAATTGCCACCATATTTGGTGTTCATTGAGTCTTTAAACCCCTAAGATATACAAATAAGTGTCACTAAACTTATTTTTACGTTATAACAATTAACTTAGGACAGTTAATTTAGGATGCATTCTCACAATAATTCTATGATGAAGCTATAATATATGAATTAAATACTATATAACAATTGAAGTTATGAAATAAATTTTATATATTTGATATTGATATACAGGTGCATAATTGTTTAAGATTACTATTTTTTTTACAGAAAATTTACACTCACAATATTCACAATTTATTTAATTTATGTAAAACAAAATTTTGTTCATAAAATTAAAAAAATAATATTGTTTATTGTTTAGAATGTTTAGGCATATCATTATTGCACATTGTGACTTTAAAATCTTAATATTTGATTACATATTAATTTTATAAAATACAATGTGATCGTAATGCTACATCCCTAAAGTATGAATTTATTGCTAAAAAATTCAGGAAAAGCTTGAATGTATGGTTGTTAACCTTGATCAAAAAAGAGGTTACAAAAAGAGGTTACCAAAGATGCATCTAGCCAGGAAGATCTCAGCACAGTATCGATGATGGTTGGGTGTCTAAAATGAATGAAGATCCCTGAAATAAACGTGACTGCAAGCTTTTCTTGAGTTACTTTATTTTGTTAGGTCCACATCTCATCTTACAAACTCATGTCTGGAGATTCCTAGGATGTTTATAGGTTGTTAATTGTCTTTCAATTCCAGTTGAAATTAAATCTTCTCGAAGTCTTCTATCCAGATAAGTTAAAATTGTCAGTGCATCAGAGACTACTTTTAGATTCTACCTACTTGGCTCTTAATTGTCCAAATCCGTGCTTCCCACCTGCTCTCTCCAAATGCTGTGTGTCTGTGATCTAAGAAATATTAAACTTATTAGAAATTATGAATTTAAACTAATTGAAATTGCGTATAAATCTTACTTTTATTTTCTTTGATTCAGCAGATTATTTTGTATCACAACGGAGAGAAGTACAAAATAGGAAGCGTAAAACAAGATTTTATGAAATATTCCATGCATCGAGTCGTAAGCCACATATGGATCGAAGGTAACCTTGGGTCGGTTACAGTTAGGAAAAAGATAATCGATAATTTAAAAATAAAGTTAAAAGAGTAAAAATTCCATGCTGGTTAAAAGACAATAAACTAAATAAACCCAGTTAATAAAATACTAAATGTTAGAATTAAAACTAAAAATAAACTTAATTTATTTAATTTGCTGAATTGTGAATTGTTGGTTTTCATGGGATGTTGCAACAACAAAAATTCGTAAGATAAAAATTAGTTTCTAAATCAAACATACTCATAGGAAAGATGACGTTAAGACGAACTTGAGTTAGTCTTAATGGGGCAGATACGGATACAAATTAAATTTTAAAAAAAATGGCTTAATGCGATTAACAGATATTTTAAAATCAAAGCATTATTAACCTTATTATTTAGTTAAAAACATGCTTACATTTCATAATGGCGAACTGTTTTTTTTACTTGTAGATGTCTAATAGTATGGTAACCAGGAAAACTGGATTCGTACTGGATTGTAAACATTCTATTAATGATATCCAAAATACGCCAATATTGGCGATTTTGCAAGTGAAAATAACTCACGAATAATGTAAATGCATGTGAGCTTGGTGTAACGATTTTCCATTATTGGTCAATCAATTTAACTACACATTTAAATGTTGTAATGAACACTCGATTTAGTTTTAACTTAAAGTAATATTTTAAACTTTTTTTGAAGTATCCAACCCGAAATTCAGGGAAATTCTACATTGAAAAACGAGCTCGATTTCAGTCCCCCTTGATGACAACTATTTATTATTATTGAGATTAATCAGACATTCTTTAATTGAAGTAAACTGATTAAGGATACAGACAAATGTTTCTGATAATGTCGTATTTTGACAATCCAATGCATATTGCATGCAAATTTAAAACAAATGAATATAAAGAAACTGCTCTCTTTATTTTTTTTTAAAGTGGATGTAATTCTGCTGTTTTAATGACATTTAAAGTTTCAGAAATAATAATTTGATATCGTTCGTTCTATTCAGATTTTGCTTTTAATAAAGAACTTGCATATAATTTGTTTTAGAAACGTCTATTTAAACAAGGAAAAAAATTGGATAAACAATGAGTTCTGAACTTTAAAAAAAAAGAATAAAAATGTATGATATTTTATTTCCAGAAAGAAAAACATATCAACTGACAATCTGACAATCTTACATTTGATGTTCTCTCGGGATAATTTCAATTTTCAACATTTTACTGACAAAACTATCAAAGAACATTCCATCATTTTTACTCTTCACTTTCAATACCCTGAAAATGATGAGAGTAACTAATTAAAACTAGCCAAGAATTGGAGGGAAAAACTGCAGAAATAAAATTCCGGTCAATACATGAATTAAACAAACTTACTCATGCTTATAAAGATCCCACTTTCCCCTTGAACTACAGCAACATCATGATGAATGTAGTTTTTCTTATGCTACGCAGCTTTTATTTATTTATTTATTTTTCAAACATAATATATGAAGATGTTTAATAGTTTAACCGTGGTTTAAAAAGACGCAAAACTAATTATATTAATTATAATAAATTATGAACTATAAATTATAATTAGTAATAAGAGCATAATTTAAGAAAAATAGCACAATTGAATTTACACGTCAAAATCTATAAAAATGTTTTAATGTGAAGATTTAGTTTTTAAAATTTGAATGACGAACAATGGCGTTTTTCCTAAAGCAAAATAATGTCACTTTACATTTAATAATGCTACTTTATATTTCCTTTTACATTTTTATAAAAATGAAAGGCAAACACTTCTAAAAATATAAAGATTACTAATTTTATTAATTTTTCTAATATAATTTCGCTAAAGTACCAGATTTTAAATTAATTAACAGACTAAGACTACTATAAAATTTATTTAAGAACAAAACTAACTAATCCAAAATTTTTCTCATACGCTGAAGAGGTGGCAGAAAAATCGTCACTTCTTCAATGAAACGAAATTCTTCAAAATTAAAGAAATATTTCGTTATTCTACATTAAAAAAAAAAAAAAAAAACTTGCAGTGCCTAATGTTTCCAATTTTTTACTAATCACTTTAACGCGAGTGTGGGCACCATATAGACGCCATGAAACAACAGGGACAGATAGAAAAATTACTCTCATGCCCGACGAGGGATTTGAACTCCGGATCTTCCTTTGAACGAGGTACACTTCGTAACCACCATAAAAACCAGTCAGCGTCATTCCCAGTTTATTTTCGATTGTCTAGTCTTGATTCTAGTTTCGTAATTCTAGTTAACAATATCCCGAAACGAAGAGAAACACTACGAAGAGGTTTCGAAAGGAGAAAACATTTTCGACATGCATTTGAGAGTTCGCATTTCAACTCAAATCAAGTGATTCGCAACGAAAATTATTCTTAAAATCAACGAAATACTGATCAATTATTGTTAAATCGTCTGAGAGTTTTATTTCTGAGAGTAGAGTGCATTATATCTCAGCAGCTACATTGTATGAATATTTTTTTTTCATGCAGCAAAAAAAGATGCAACGAATCACTTTGTGATGTTGAAGCCGGGATGTTAAAATCAATTAAGATCACAGGAATAAATAAAATTTTGCACTAAAAAAAGAAAAAAGAATATTGATTAGGCATTCATCTAAAGAACTTGTGTTTAGGGGCTTTGGATAATATTGTGATATGCACCTTCAAAATTCCTTCCAGGTGGATGTAATACGACTTTTTCCTATTTTTTCTATAAATAACAGATACAAAGAAACGTATTTTTACCTGTATAAAAATCTATGTGTTATTCTTGAAAAATAACGCAGTCTGAAGCAAGATTAAAATGAAGGTCATAATTAAGCATTTTATTTTCCAATTTAAATTTATTTTTCACTGAAAGCTTTGAAAAAGTTCTCCTGAACGATTTGAAAATTTATATACATTGCACCAAGTACTTTCCTATATTTTATTCAGTGTAAGTTTTTTTGGAAGTGGCGTTTTGTCAAATTAGTTTTTGATTGATATTATAATGAAGACTTACAATAAGTTATTACTTTTATCATTTTGATTTGATCAATGTTATTATGTAGAAATTCAATTATATCGAAATGACGGCTGTAATAGATATTATTTTCCCAGCTGTTTAATTATATTGCTCTGCAAAAATTAATATGTCTTTTTTACTACGTTTTTTCCACTTTTTTAGTAATTGCGTTAAGCTCGGAAGAAAAATACATATGTTTCAATAACGTAACACTTGTATGCTGCAAGGTATATCATTTAACATTTCGTTTTTATATTGAAATTAAAATATCTTTTAGTTTTAGAATCTCTTGCAGTAGCTAATATCTAGGTCGATCCCAGGTATACAGGTATATACGAACTTAATTTTATATAAGTATTTCAACTTATTCGAGTGTTCTTATACAGTTTAAACAACATTAAGGAAACACTTGTAAAAATGTACTAATCAGAAATTTATGTGTGCTTTTTTTGCATAAAGGTACATTTAGGAACTACAGGAAAATTGTTTGTCATTTATATGAAAAATAGCAACCGTTTTGTTATTACATGCTTTTTAAAGAAAATATCAATCAAAATAATTTTAGGCTTAGTTCTTTTAGTGTTTGTTCCAGACTTCTTCAAAGTCATAATGTTTTCCAAGTCTGAAAACCGATTTTTTTTCACGCTTTTTAATTAAATAATAGTGCGCAGCAAAGAAATTCCATTATAATTCTTCTTACAGGGATTTAACACTTGATGGAATAGATAATACTACTTTAAATTAGCTTTAAATTTAGCTTCCAATAGCTTAATTTCCTATTTATTCACAAAATCTATAATATACTGAGGCAAAAGTTTTCATGAATGTTTACGCAAATTCATAAAACATTTTATAGTAGTTAAGATCAAATGAAAGGTTATAATTCCAAAGGCTATCAATCTATTGCTTTCAAAGGCACAACTAAAGTATGCAGCTGAATTTTCCAGTACTGAATTTTTCAAATAATGTTGTTTTGCATTACACTATAAATATCTCATATTAGCTCCATTTGTTAGAGGTCGACAAGAAAAACTATTTGAATTATTTTATAGTTTTTAATTTAGGCCATTAACTTTATATCAATTAGATAAAATAATAACTCGAATTACGATCCAGATAAAAAAATCATATTAATTTTTTCGTATGCTAGCTCCTACTGACTCTTCCTCATAAAATATTTATGGATATTTGTGAGTAAATTAATTTGGTTAATTAATATGATGCGCTAGTGTAATTTTAATATAAACTTAACTAAAATGTAACTTAGTAATTTCTATTTTTTTCACACATATTCAAATTTACGATAACAATGAATTGAAAACCTTACTTTCGATGATAAATTTTTTTCTGAAGTTTTTAGAAGCAAAATTATCATTGTACTGCCATAAACTTGAATATGGTCATTGAAAGATGAAGGTAGTAAAAGAATTCTTTTAACTCAAATAGTTTAAATTGATTATCTGATTTGTTATTTAGCTGAAATGATTTTTTCTGCAATTAAAAGTTAAATGCATTGCTTTTCCTAAATTCTTTAGCTATATTTTAGTTATAAATAAAACTAAAATATTATTACAATATTTTAGTTTTATTTATTATTATCTGAATGAAATTATTCTCTTTCATAAGTGCTTCATTTTTGTGTTTTAGCAAGAATGCTTTTTTCTGACAAAATGTATGGAGTCTGGATCGTTTTAATTTTCTATGTTCTATCAGTCATCGCAAGACCAGAAGATTTATGCGGTAAAGAAAAGTTTCAATCCTATTCATTGATAAGTTCATAATTATATTATATTTATCAATATTATATTGGTTTTATTTTTTTTCTAATATAGGTAAATTTAATGAAAAAATAGCAGCCGAATTAGATAAATGCAACCAACTTGCACCAGATTATGTAAGTATTTGTTAAGTTGTCTGAAATAAAAACTAAACTTGGAATTTTTTTAAGAAATAGCTCACTTTAATAGTGTATTACATTTAATTTAATTTAATGTCAATACATTATTTTCAGTTTGTATTACTCTTTTATTATATTTATATTATCTTTTTATTATATTATATTTAAATATAATAGTTTTAAATATTATCTTTTATACTATATTAGTTATAAATTAAACATAAAACGTATTTAATTTCTTCAATACAATAAATAAATTTATCTTAAGAATGAATATAGCACAAGGAAGTATGAAAATTGGGGGTTACAAATTGTTATTATAGTGATGAAAAATAGAAATCTTTTTGGCATTCTCTCTAAAGGTCATTAAGTAAAAGAATTAGGAGAGTTAGGAGTTATAAAATATTATTTGACTGAGTATTGTCATTCTCTATTAAGGTCTATAAGAAAGACAATACGAAGAGTAAGGAATTACAAGTGCTTATTTATGTAAGAAAGAATTGAAACATTTTCTCGCTTTCTATTAAAGTCATTAGGAAAAGTAATAAGAATAATTAAAAGTAATATATTATTTTTTAAATGAGAAAGAATAAATACTTTTTCTCACTTTCTATTAAGGTTAATAAGAACGAGAAAAAGAAGAATAAGGAGTTATAAATTATTATTTGAATGAAAAAGAATCGAAATGTTTTCTCACTGTCTATTAAGATCAATTTATATTTGTCGTGTGCCTGTTCAGGCAGTGGGTGTGCGATTGTTCCTGTTTTTCAGTGGCGCCATCTATGGCCAGGAATTCGACTTCTGCCACGCCGTTCACACAGCCACAACCCGTTTATAGGGCGGGTCACATTCACACACAAAGGAGAAAGGACATAGAACACAGAGAGAGAGAAACATCCATGCCTTGCCCGGGATTCCGGCCCAGGATCTTTCTGATGCAAGGACCCTGCCCCCTACACAGGCCGGTCGGCATTAAGGCCAATAAAGAAAGGAATAAGAATACTTAAGGATAATATATTATTATTTAAATGGGAGAGGTTAAATATGTTTTCTCCACTTCTATTAAGGTTATTAGGAAAAAGAACGAGAAGAGTTAGTGATACTAAAATATAAGAGAGAGAAAGGATCAAAATGTTTTCAGACTATGTATTAAGTTCAGTGAGAAAAGTAAGAAGAATAATTAGGGGCTAAAACTATTATTTGAGTGGGAAATCATAAAAAAATGAATTTAAACTATTTATTATGGCCAATCAGAAAGAGAATAAGAAAAATTAGGGGTAACAGAATTATGGTTTGATGCAGAAAGAATAATAATATTGTCACCCTGTCTGTTAAGATTAATAAAAAGAAATTAGAGATGAAAACCACTTAAAACAAATTTTATTTTGTAATTGAACACTAAAGATAAAATGTAGATTTAATAACTAGTCTGATTAGATAGATAAAGTGGTTCTTAATGGTTTTAATTCCATTTTTGCTTTTTTGATCCCAATTATAAGTTAGAGTTTAAAACCACATGTGTTTTCGACCACTTTAATTACTGACCTCTAATGTGCACCGTTTGTTAAACTAATTTTTTCATGTGCATTCTAAAAATAAATGTACATTGTGTTGCTGACTACACTTGGTTTTAGTTTAGTTGACTTTGATTTAACTGATTCAAATTACTTTGAAACATGATTTAAAAATTTTTAGTTATTTTAAAATTTATTTAAAAACAACGAGTTCCTTCCTGTAAATATTTAGCATTATTCTTAAGCTTGTTACACCAAGTGCCTAAAACAGAGAGTTTCACAACTGCACAGAGTACATGAAAAAGATGGTTTTCGCTCAATGTGATTCACATGCAGTGGAAACTAAATATCTATTAACATATCTCGTATCCAAGGACTTAAATAATAATAAAAAAGTATTATGGATAGATTTAAAATAGTAATGAGCTGAACAGATAATTCAAAGGGCTCTCAATCGATTAATTTTAGCTGTTATAAAGATGAAACATGGTGTAGAAACTTATCAACTAATCACTCCTAACTCAAAAAGCAGTTGGGTATGTTCTTTTTAGGATATCTTGCATCTTGCAGATTAACTTTATTTTCCTACTGGAAATGAAACTTTTAAAAAAAAATTATGAAAGTTAAAAAAACTACACGATAGGAAAAGTGAACAAGTTCACTTTCCCTATCGTGAATTAAAAATCACATAAAAGACCAGAAATCACCAGAATTAAAAATCACATAAAAAGCCAAAGTTGGCTATACTACGCAAAAGATAAAATCTATTAGGTATCCAATCTAACGAACTTTAAATGTTATTTTAGTCAGACACAAAAATAGAGAGAAAAAAATTAATGGAATAAATCCTAGTTTTGGCACAATTTAATTTGATAGAAAACTCTAATGAAGATATGTAAGTTAGTCATTTTACTTATATTTCATCAGAAATCAACGGTTATTTTCACGTTGACAAAAAACAATAATAAATAAGTAGGAAATACTTCAACAAGTCAAAAACAAAAATATTGAATATTCTAAAGAACCGTTGTTTTGAAACAAATTTATGCTGTTTAATTACTAAGATTGTAATTTACTTTTGTGCATATTTAACATTTCAGGTTCAGAAAATAATTAGTGACTGTCAATTAAGAGTGCTTCCAAATGAAGAAGTAAAAGAATTCACATTTCTAACTGCTGGATGCAAAGATAAATCTATTTTCAGTCAGGTAAAACAATGCTGTTTTCTAAACTGCTTTTTGAAGATTAAATTATGTCTATGTGTTACTAAATGAATATTATTTTAAACATTTTGAATGATTTTTCAAATATTTTTAGAATTATACAAACAAGCACCTGCAGTGAGCAAATAAAATTGACCACCCAGAGTAACTTTACATCTAATGATCGAATATTCACATTCGAGGACTCAATCCTAATGTTTCGAGAGGTTAACCTCAAATATGTTAGTTAATAATTAGAGCATACAATAGTTTCAGTTACAAAATCAGACACAAAAACGTTCTTTCTCTGAATAAATGTACCTTTTTTATGATGGCTTAAGATTTCTAAGCCTCAAAATATAGAGTAACCACAATCTAGGAAATATGGTCCCCACAGTTTAGCCAAGAGATCATTTGAAACTTAGTACCTTGTGACTCTTAAATGTTAATGTTACTTTTTTGCATTTCGCCATATTTCGAGAACTTTCTAGGCGAATAGAAAAATTCTTGCACAAAATTAGAAAATTCGTTTATCCAAAGATAATCTTGCGCAAAAAATAACTTTTAGTAAGTATTTATTATTTTCTATTGTTTTATTTAACAGTAGTCTAAAACATTTCAAACTGTAAGGTATAAAATTTTTTACAAAATCAAAGAATTTAATTTTGCAAGGTGAAATACAATGAAATAGGTCGAATAGTTTCGGGAAATTAAATTTTAAGTGAAAAAACTTTTTTTAAAACTTAGCTTTTTGACTGATTTCACTCAAATATTGCTATATGTTGTCACATTCAAGATACTGCATAAAACGCAAAAAAAAAAAAAAAAAAAAAAAAAAAAAAAAAAAAAAAAAAAAAAAAAAAAAAAATTGAGTTAAGATATATAAACTTTGGATCGCTCTCTTGACCATACTTTGGGACCATATTTCCCAGATTGCGCTACCCCTGTAATCTTAAGCTCTGAAATCTCAATCCTTCGAAGAAATCCTTTCTTTTTCGTAAATTCTTTTTGTCAATCAATCCTCAATCCTTTTTGCTTTCTCAGAAAAAGTACGGTTTTATGTCTGATTTCGTAATTTTAAATATCGTCTGCACTCAGGGTGCTTGGTGGGGCCCTAAGCTATTGAAAATGATGGGGCCCTTATAAGTTCAATTTCATTTCTATACACCTAAAGTAAACTGTCATTATTTTTTATTGTTGAGTATTAACATTATATTATTAAAAAATTTGATAATATTACTTTATTGTTAAATATATTAATTGTGATGAGACTATTATGTTATGTAGAACCTTTCTTTTATGGAACATATTTTTTTAACGAGGGAAAAAAAGTTACAAAAGAAACACATTTTAAGCACCGGGTAAAAATTTGGCGTACTGGGCCACTATACATTTAACAGAGTTTTTTTTTTTAAGATTCATTTTGAATATATTTTATTTGCAATTTTTAATGCTTTTTTCGCGATTTCTTTTCTCAATTGTTTTTTTCTTTACGTTACAAAAACGACTTAGAAACATGAAATTTTGAATGGGCGTAGAAAATATGCAAAAAGTTAGAAAGAAAACAAGAAAATACAATTTGATTATTAGTTTTATTTCTTTTATAACCGCCGTTGAAGAACCGACTCAATTTTGAGTTTACGGCTACCAATGTTTAACTCCGTAGCCTTGTAATTTTGAACCCAATCCAGAAGAACTGTTAGATTAGAACAAATAGGTATTTATTTGTTATGAGGGGTTGGAGGACTTTGCGACCCCAACAGATTTAACATGCACCAGTTACCATTTTATACATGGGTATTCTTCTGCCGGCTGGATTCAAACTCCCATTCTCACGAACACGAGTCCAACGCCCTATCAACCAGGTTATCCCGGCCAAATTTATTAGTTTATTTTATAACAGTCATTAAACAGCCGACCCAATTTAGAGTTTACGACTACTAATATTCAACTCCGTGGCCTTGTAATTTTGAACCCAATCCAGAAGACAAGGGAACTGCTATGTTAGTAACCAGAGGTATTTATTTGTTATGAGAACTTGGAGGACTTTGTGACTCCGACAGATTTAACATGCACCAGTCACCATTTTATACATGGGTATTCTTCTGCCGG